GGGGGGGGGGGGGCTGTGGCAAAGGCGCGCTTGGTTGTTGCTGTCGTGTGCTGAAGAGTGAACGAACGGCAGGTGCGCGCCCGATGAGGCAACGGCAACCTCAAGTGAAGGACAGGAGCACACACGCACACGCAGGAGCGACGGGAGAGGGAAACTGAGGGAGAGGTGTGCGCATGGAAGACTCGGAGCCCTGGAGAGCGCAGCGCAGTGAGCTGGCCTCCTCTTGCCCCAGGTCTCTGTTCGTTTTCGGTTTCCCCTGATGTCTTGGCGGCGACAGGGCTCGCGGAACGCCGTTACAGCTGCGTGTGAGGGGGCCATTCACCAATCACAACCCCCGCTTGCCCCGGACCTGCATCCCCTTCGCTTTTCCCGCTGCCATCAGCTGCACCTTTGCGCGAAGAATAAACATTTCCACCAGGCACACAACCACCAAACCACCGCATTTCAAAAAGCAGCGAATGCGCGGCCGGAGTGGACGCCCAAGGCTACCGCGACACCTTTCGCAATAGCAAGTGGCGTCGCAGAGCGGCAAGTCTCGGCTGATGTTCCCGTTTTAGAACTCACAGGCAGGTGACCCGATGATGCACGTCTTGCCTCGTTGGTGGAGCCGCCCGACGCAAATCACCACCTCCAGAAGCCCTTCGCCCATGACTACCACAGCTGCACCCCCTCAGTCTGCGGCGAACCACTGTTCTCGCCCGCTTCTAGGCGTAATGAGTGGAATCTCTCTGCTATTTCTGTTCGTATGTACATATATATATATATACTGCAGAACCTCACATTGATCGGAGAATCATCGTGGGCTGCATTTACAGTCGACTCCTCAAATAAAAATAACCCGGTCAGACCTCTAGTCGCCAAGATGCACGCTACTCTGACCCTGCCCTGACCGTTTCCTGCCAATTTACGAGCCTCGAATCGTGTCCTGCCAAACGGCAACGGCTGTGTCCGCTAAGTTGACAGTCGGCTCGGAAATTCCACCTCATCAAACTGTCGTCTCAACCTTCTCCCATGACTGCACACTGTCCTCCAGCTGTGGAGCGGCCACTTCATTCAAGGATACTCGCTGTATTCCTAACATCATCCCAACCAAACCACCCGGCACCCAATTTCCTACGATATCATAGGTCACGCTTCCTCTGCCTACTCGCCACACCCGCCGTGGATGCTTCTGCGTGAGTGCGTCAAAAACGGCGTTGTGCAGCTCTCGCAACGAGCTGCCCGTGCTGCTTGACTGGCTGAAGAGCCCTCTGCTGCGAGCCACGCGACTCTGGTTGACGTAGTTGGCTGCATAAAGCGCCCGTGCCGTCGTTGGCCACAGATTCGTCTTTGGACCGGCGATGGACTGAAGATGCTGTTTCCCTCCCACACTACTGCAATCAAACGTCCCCAGTTTGAATTGACAAACATCGATTCCTAGCGTGCCAAGCTCTCCCCGAAGAGACGCCGTGAACCCTTCCAGGGCGCTAACAATCGTGGTTTCGACGCTGTGAAACGGCGGTCGCAGTGACGCAACGATACTTGGTGTAAGCATCAAGACGCGCGCTTTGAACTCGCAAATTGTTGGTAGGAACGCTTGTGCTACTGCAACTGTGTTGAGCACTTTTGCATTCAATGCATCCGACCACAACTCTGGAGCAATCGTTTCGATGGGGCCAGATGGGAATACCAGGTCGGGTACTAGCACCAGTCCTCCAAAATGTAGGTTGTGTGGAGATGCGCCTGAGAATGCGATATGAGGCCTTAATAGTAGGTTGTTGAAGCGCTCCATTGCTTCTTGAGTACCAAGTACATTGGAGACATCCAAATGCAGCGGTCTGACATCGACTCTCGATTCGCCGTGCACCTGCTGTTCTTCTTCGACATCCGAGCAGACAATGTAAACGATGAACCCACGGCGTTCAAGGTCTAGCGATATCGACTTCGTCATGGGAGAGCACGGCGGGCCAGCCACCACAATGACCTCTCTCCTCGCACCATTGCTGGCTCTCCGTGCCCGCCGTTTCCTTGTGTGCTTCCTCCTCTCCCTCATCAGCAAGTATCCACCTGTCCCAAAAAACGCAGCGATGGCAGCGGTTAGCGCCCGGTTCCGTGAAACCCAGTCTTGCAGGCGGTGCACATATGTGGCGGACGCTGGAAGCGGGGGCGGGGATGGAGGAGCAGGCCGGGCATATTCAGGAAGCCAGTTCTCGGGCACACTTCTTTTGATGTAGGAAGCCACGGAAGCAAAATGTCGGTCGCTTGCGTCCCATATATTGCCTGTAAAATGCCTGATGTCGCTCGAATACTCTGCTAGCTTTCTAGTACTTTAGCACATATCAAGGAACATAAAAGGAGATTTAATCTCTTAAACTTTTGCTGGGTTCAAGGAGATTGCAACGGGATGCGAACATGTGTCATGCATTCGCCGCCAGAGGCCAACCCTTGGAGGAGACACAGCAAAAGAAACCAACGCGATAAAGAAACAGAGGCAAACTTACCACATCGAGGAAGTGCTGGTCGTCGCTCGTCATTATGACTCTCGCTGGTGGTAGATAGTGCTACAGAGCGTGGTGTTGAGCTCCTCCCTGGGCGGCGCAGTGGGGTAGCTGCAAGTTGTGTAGTGGCTTAAATCCGCCACCTGACTGAGAACATGCAACAGGAATCGGATCACCTCACCATTGATCTGAAATCAACATCTCAATTCCTATTTACTCTAGTATGGAAACATTCAACAGGAATTTAACAGCGCATCGAATAAGTGCTGAGAAGCCTCGAAAGGAATTCTCAGATAATCAGGCATCAGCATACGCCCTCGCCCGATAAGGCACAACCACCGCGCCTCGCCGCACACGTGATGCCGCATCTCCGCGAGACCCTGGAACCTCCGTCTCGTCCAAAGTCTGTAAGACCGCTGACGTGCAGCGGCGCCTCCTTCACCACCTTGCAGAAGAGTTCCGTAGATGCGAAGTCCGGCGCCTAGAGACTATTCTCTCTTTCATGATCGCTCCTCTAATATCGCCTTAGCTCATCGAGACCGCGTGAACATAGCTTACGTGGCCGGGGTTGCCTCTTCTTCTACGATTCCACAACCTTCTGCGCCGCTTCACGTCTCTGCATAGGTGTTCGAGTGATCTTTTAATCATAGCGATCTGCCGGTCCTTCACGCCATACATTTAGCGAGCAGGGTTCAACATCAACGTTATCAAGTACGCACACGTAGGAGTAACGGACCCGTAACACTAGGAAGTATCATCACCCATAGCAGGCACCATGAGGGAGATTGATGCGCATTTCGATGCGTATGAGCATCTGAAGCACCTCCCGAGGGAGCAAGAAGCTCTGATTATGCTCCGCAAGGCTGCATCTCTCGTCAAACCTATGATGAGAAAACGAGGCTGGAAAGTTGGCACTCTTGCAGAGTTTCTTCCAGACGAACCTCAACTCCTAGGTAAGGCTGATCTGCAAGCGTTTGACAGGCGGTACTAAGATATCTGTAGGCCTGAACATCAACCGAACAGAGAGAATCCTTATTCGGTTACGCTACCATCACGATTCACGACAATTTCTACCTATGGAGCAAGTTACTGATACCCTACTACACGAACTCTCACATATAGTATGGGGGCCCCACGACCATAATTTCAACAACCTCTGGAACGAACTCCGTGAAGAACACCAGTCCCTCGTCTCTAAAGGATATACCGGCGAAGGCTTCCTCTCACCAGGCCATAAGCTTGGTGGCAAGCGTATACCTCTCGATGAAATGCGAAGACAAGCTCGACTCGCTGCCGAAAAGCGGAAAGCCACCACAAATGCGAGCTCGGCTGGGCGTCGGTTAGGCGGAACGTCAGTCACCCGAGGAGTTGATATGCGAAAGATTATCGCAGATGCGGCAACGAGGAGGAACAGCATCACGAAGGGATGTGCGAGTGGAAGTGACCAAGCTGGGAAATTGGTGAACCAGGCTGAGAGGGGAGGTTTCCGGACCAAGGCTGGGGAGGACGATGCCAACGATGCTGCCATTGCACGAGCGCTGCAGGAGCTCATGGAAGAGGAGGAAATTCAAAAATTAGAACAGCTGTGCGCTCCAAACGGAGGAGGGGGCTTAGCATGGGATCGTGAGAATGGTCTCCAGTTCGACAGCAATCCTCCATCACGAACCTCATCGCCTGGCCTCCTTCCCCCGTCAAAACCCACGCCCTCCTCCCCAAGAGACCCGCCACTCAATTCTCAAGGACGACCACTGTCCCGCTTGGTCATGGGTAACTCTTCGAAGCCGAAACCCAAGGCCCCCATCCCGCCCGAATCACACCCAATATCCGAAGAAGCAAACTACCGTGACAAAATTCTACCGGATCCACCAGAAGAATCCCCCGCTCCAGTATCCACCGATCCCACAAAATGGGCTTGCCCACAATGCACACTCTTTAACTCGCTCGAATTCCTCTCATGTGAAGCATGCGGCTTAGAGCAACCTCCCCAGCCCATTCCACGAAATAAGCGTTACGGACCAGCAAATCTACCGCCTACCTTGCCTGCACCACCACCTGCGTCCGCGCTAAGAGGCCCAGCTGCAACTCCTTTTGAGCCTGCAAAAGGGAGAATAGGCTGGAATTGTTTGAATTGTGGAACATTCATGGAGAATCAGTGGTGGACGTGCTCGCTGTGTGGGACTATGAAGGCGGAGTCATAAGGCAAGGAAGAGAGTACTTTCATGATGTTATGACTTGGAGAGGGGCTTACTAGAGGGTGCGAGCACGACCCATAGATAGCGAAGGCATTGGCGCTTCACACATACCTGCATTTCATAATCCGCTCGGTAAGATAGATACCTTATTAGAGAAATGGCTTGGCATGTAGGTTAATGAATTTGCTATAGTGCTTCACACGATACTGAGGCCACTACAAAAATGACTTAATAGTTCATCATACTCCCAACCATTCTCCTCTGATACTTATCCACCACCTCTTGGCACCTGATCACCACCCCGGCTGCCAACACTCTCACTTTCTCATCCTCCTCACTCCCCGCTCCCAGTCCTTCGAATACTTGCCTCACCCACTCCTGCGTCTCCACCAATTCCTTTGCCTGCTCTGTTGCTAATCTCTCTTTATTCTCATTTGTCTCTAGCAGCATCAAGAACGCAAACAGCAGGGCCCCCAACACAGTCTTATCCCCCAAAGCAAATCCTCTTACAGAAAGCAGCAACTCCCAAAACTCGCGCGTCATCTGCGGAAGCGCAAGCGTATTTGGACCAGCCGTATTCATTAGAATCGCCAGGGTATGCAGATACGGAGGGAGTAGGTGAGGAGACGTGTAGAGATCACTTCTATGAGCTTGTGAGGAATGCGTGTTCATCCACCAACGCCCTGTAAGCGGGAAAAAGAAATTATCGGCCACAATTTGCGCCAGTGCATTGGGTATCGGTTTCTTCCGCCGCTTCTCCACTTCCATGCGTGAAGAGAAGGTTCGAACCTTGAGGATGTTGGGGCCGGTGAGATGGTCTGCGGCGCTAGCGGCTATTGGAGATAGGATCTGCTTTGCGAGCCCTTCTGTAATTTGGGCTACAGGGTCTGAATCGAGGGCGTATATATTGTGGAGGTGTGGCGGGAGTGTTTTGCTGGGGAAGGATGGAGTTGCGGGGACAAGGTCTTCAGTGGAAGAGTCTTTGCGACCAGCTAGTTCGCGGGCACTCAGACCGAGGGTTGTGAGTATGGCGATGCGTTGAGAGAGAGAGTAGTCACCGGAGAAGAAAGAACGAGCGAACCATTGTGCCATGGGCCCTGGTTTGGCGAGGAGAATGGCGATAAGAGCCCGTTGGCGCTCTTCGTTAAATTCAGGAAAATCAAAGGTATCGTTCAATCCAGTCATAACAGAGGCAAGTTCTTCAACGTGGTCGGTGACCTCACTGCCGAAGTTCGTTTTGCGCCGGATTAGGGACGCTGCTGTGGAAAGCGCAAGCTGATGGCGGTCGTAGTTCTCTTGATCACGAAGACCAGCCATTAGATCGCGAATGTAGGCCGGAGCCGTGAGTTTTTTCCGGTCCAGCATTTCTGGGTCGTCTCCGTCATCTTCAGGATCTGAATCAGGCTTCGCATAGGGTATGAGATCGTCGTCTTCGTCTTCTGGGTCGGAGAGGATTTCAACTATACGTGGACCATTAATCTCTGTGATGGTGGGCTTATCAGATGCTTTGACGGTGCCTTCGGTACTCGAAAGATATTTCCTCTGGTCAGGGCTCTTTTCTCTAGGTGCTGACATCAATTCTCGAGCTTTGAGATCTTTGATCGAGCCAATGCGGTCATCGACTTGAGTGAGCCGCTGGTACCATTTAGCTTCAACAGCCTCGTTGCCTTCTAAATCAAACTTGAGTTGCAACTCCGGCTTGTCAACGATTCGGGAGATAGCGGTACCAACTGCCATTCCTAAATAGCGAGCTCGGGGCGAAGATGCTCCGATCCGGTTTGACATTCCTGCTACGTGGTAACTTGATTTTGCCGTCATTGTTAGAAACATTGGTACAGATCGTTGGACATAGCCGCACGAGATAGCAAGGGTTTGAGCAAGGGCTACTTAGTTAGTCAAGACTAAGGGGAATATGAGAGTACTAACCTTCCTGCTGCAATACGGGAGTATGCTTAATATAGAAAGTATCTCCAAATAGTTTGAGACTCTTCTCCAAAGCATTTTGAAGTTTTTCTAATCGTTTTCAGCTCAGATAAGTAGAGAAACCGGGGGCGTATTTACCTTCATTCTGGGCTAATGCGGCAATCACGCTTCTACGGGCGGCAAGGGAATCATCTAGAACAGGTAGTGCAGAGCTGGTGAGCAGTAAAACGGTGTGGTCTTCCAGGGCCTCGTTGCCCTTGATGAGCTCGTGTACAATGGCAGCCGCAGCAGAGATGGCTGGTGAAGGTTTCAGGGGACTATCTTCTCGACTATCGATGATAGATGCCAAGTAATGTTTGGCTAGGAAGGAAATCGCGGAGTTGAGGTACTGGCGTTGCTCGTGAGCTCTCATCTTTGGCAAGAATTCTTTCAATATCATGCTTGACTCCGAGTTCACCATGGATAGCACTATGGAGGCAATAACACGATCTAGGTGGTCAGCACTCAATAAATTACGGACCATTTAGGAGACAAACCAGTGTACCCCAATGTCAGAGCTTTTCCACAAATGTCCACAACTGCAGACACTGATTCATCAAGAGCAATGTTGTCTCTCATAAGAGTAACCATGGTACGACCCAGCCATGAGGCATACTCTTTACCGTTTGCTAGCCACGATTCTTTTCGTGATATTCCCCTCTCTTTCAAAATATCTTCTGCTTGTGCTGCAGTTGACAGCAGTCTTCCTGAAGTAGTCTGTGCAACATACTCCCTCCACATCAACCTCTTCTGGATTGGATTTTGTGCATGGGCTTGGATGTCATCCCATATCTGACTCGAGGTTCGGTCTCCGTTTAAAATCTCTCCAAGAGCATCAAGTAAATCTTCTATGTGTACAGACGCATCTCGCGTCTGATCAACGGGTTTCCTCTTCCGACAATCATCAATCAAATGGCGAAATCGATTTAAGATTGCACCAAGACCGCTAGGATTCTGCAAGCACTTGACTAGCTGCTTCAAATTCCTGTTGTTGTCCTTGAAAATACGCCAATAGTCTGGAATGGTAGTCGTGACCAAGGTGTCGACAATCTGTGCTTGAAGAGGACCAGGGGTGATTAAACTAAATCCAGCTCTTTTAGATGATTCAACCGCAAAGTATCTAAGGATTTGGCCCACAGCGTCTAGGCTTGGTTGATCCTTCAGAAGTTTATAAGCTTCTTCTGGTGACTCTAAAGTTGGAACTTCGATGGCTGTACTACAGCTGTGAGGCGACCGGCTATTCCAAGATTCGGGCTCCTTAGGTCGTTTTACCGTGGTAGTGGAGATGGGAGTGAGGAAATCGCCCATGGTGCCGATTCCATATTCAGAGTCTGCCAGTTCCAAAGCTCCTAATCTGAGTGAGAGTGGGCAGAAATACTGAATAATGGCAAGTGAATGGTTTCGCAAAGCTGATGCCTTATCGATAGGCTAGCGTCTTGGCGTCGTGTTGTGGGTCTCTGTAGCTGCCTACTCGGGTTGTCACACTTAAGTTCTGCAACAGGACTCCTTCCACAACCATTCAAACATGGACGAGGCCCCAGCAGCGAGTCTTCCAAATGGCTCGGATGGCCAACGGACGCGATGGTAAATTCGGACCTCTCTTAGGCGTTTGGAAGACTAACTGTGCGCCGAAGGAAGTACCTGGACAACATCCTCAACCGACTTGGTCCTTTCACAGACCCAGATTGGGAGCATGGGGAGGCGGCTATCGAGGGTTTATCGAGAGCGAAGATACTGTATGTTTGCTTCTAATTAGGGAAATATTGTCCATGCCTAGCTAACAGACCCTAGTGTCATGTGAGCCTCGACAGTGACACCTGAAATCTAATCGAACTAACTTAGTGCAGCGGTGCAGGTGGATTAGGATGTGAGATTCTTAAAAGCCTTGCGCTCTCTGGTTTTCAAGATATTCACGTAATTGACATGGACACCATCGACGTATCGAACTTGAACCGGCAGTTCCTATTCCGCCAAGCTGATGTAGGAAAGTACAAGGCCGAGGTTGCCGCCAATTTCGTCGAGAAACGAGTTAAAGGCGCCAAAATTACGCCTTATTGCGGAAAGATCCAAGATAAGGATGAAGAGTACTACATGCAGTTTGCCATAATCGTGTGCGGTCTTGACAGCATCGAAGCTCGGCGTTGGATTAATGCTACTCTTGTTGGTATGGTCGACGAACAGAACCCGGATTCAATGAAACCATTGATCGATGGGGGGACAGAGGGATTTAAGGGTCAAGCGAGGGTTATCTTTCCAACTATGACCAGCTGCATTGAGTGTCAGCTAGACATGCACGCCCCCCGTGCTGCGGTTCCTCTGTGTACGCTTGCAACTATCCCCCGACAGCCACAACATTGCATCGAATGGGCTCACATCATCGCTTGGGAAGAGGAACGTAAGGACATTACCTTGGACAACGATGACCCAGAGCACATTACCTGGCTCTATCAGAAAGCACTCAAGCGCGCTCAGGAATTCAATATTCCAGGCGTCACTTACTCAATGACTCAAGGTGTCGTCAAAAATATTATTCCAGCCATCGCATCTACCAATGCCATCGTTGCTGCCAGCTGCTGCAATGAGGCTTTCAAGCTCGCCACGAACACCAACCCATTCCTAGGTTTCCCAGAAACAGACAACTATATGATGTATACGGGCGATGAGAGCATATATACATATACATTTCAGCACATGAAGAAGTCGGACTGCCCGGTTTGCGGCGACGATAGCATTGCACGGCCACTGCAGATTGATTCGAACTTCACCTTGCAGGAGTTCTTAGACAGCCTAGCAGAGCGGCCAGAATCGTTCGTTAAACCCCGGTGCCCTTGCTATTGCATGAACCTGCTGATGTTCTTTCTAGTCAACTCAAGAAACCAACAATTCGGACTGAGGAGAAGTCCTTGTACTATCAGTTTCCCCCGGATCTACGGCAACAGACGCAACCGAATCTCTCCAAGAAGATCTACGAGCTTGTTGAAAATGGCGAGGAAGTAGCTATCACAGATCCGGCATTCCCTCTTCAGTTCAAGTACAAGCTCATATTCAAGGACTAGGTGACGTCGGTCTGCGTGTATGAGATGGTGGTAAGTGGAAAGAAGACCAGCATTCTCTCGGCGTCACTGTGCTTGGGTCATATGAAGGCATTTTGAAGGATAGTGCAGAGCGCAATCATTGGAAAGGCAGGTCATAGGTGGCACTCACGTCTAAGCGACCAGAATACAATCCATGACCCATTACCCGGTTTGCGAATGGGGTGACATGGACGTTCTTGTTACAGATTGAACGTGCGCATATGCTACAAGTCTAGTGCTGTTCATAATGCTAGTAATCTCATACCCCGTGCATATTTTGTATACCTATAGTGTATTCCAGTCTTCCGGGTTTCTTCTTCTTCGGTGCCTCTCCCTTGAATAGCTCCTTCGAGGATTGTACGAGCTCTGTCACCGCAGTACTGCCCTTTGTGTATATGGGATGATAGGGCACCCTGTCCCACTCTTGCCTCTGCAACCTCAGTAAATGCTGCACCATCCCATTCGATAGTGTGTCCTCAAGTTTGTCATCCTGCTCTTCAACCCGCCCGGATGAGGATCCATCCTGATTTCTTTGCCGCATTTTTGGGCCCGACTCATTCCCACGGCCTACGGTTCGACCCTCACTTGATCTGGAGCCTTGCCGGGCGCGAAGATTAGGCCCAGGAGGGTTCGTACCGACCGCATTGCGGGTGATGCGGAGGGTTGAAGGTGCGCGAACCATTGTACCAGGCGGTGGACCAGAACCAAACTCTTTGCGGACCAGCGGCGGTGAGCCTGCAACGTATTGTTTTCGAATTAGGGGTCTGCTAGAGGATGAAGAGTCTTCTGCGCCCTCCGTAGATGGGTTGGAAGCATCGTCAACGGGCTGTCCGCTGGGGAAAATGCCTGCTGCGAGACCTCCTCGGCGTGAAAGGTCGGTGACTTGTCGAAAGGCATTAGCCGACCGTGTTCGGCGAGTCTCGCGGGGCGCTGAGGCATCTGGGCAGGAATCATTAGACAGTGTTCATTTTCGAGGTGATTTAATGTCCCTACTAGGTGAAGCTGGGGAGTCGCTTGAACAGCCTCCTTCAAGCCCTCGCGCGGAGGCATGAAAGTGGTGGGCAGTGCAATTTGCTATGGCTGTTACACCTCGTGTCAATGGACGCCGTATCGCGCCTATTGAGGGGCACATGTGTCGTTGATACATAGTTGTCGCTCAAGTTGAAGCTCCCTCGCCAAACTTTCGATCTGATCTCTCGAGGCTTGGCGCGACTTGGGTCTTGTTTTAACCGTGCGCGTCCACGTGAACAATCATTCACCGTCATCCTCTCACTCCAACTGTGATTTGCTTATCGTCTGATATTTTGTTTTCTTTAAGATCTAGCTCCTCTTAAACTTTCTCATCGGCGCCGTGTTGTCCCATCGCGTCTGTAAATAAACACCACAACACCCACTCCATATTCATCCACATTCGTCGCATACTCACTACTACCTACATTCCACCGTCAATTTCTCAATATTATTCTAAGGTGTCAGCCAACGTTCCACGCTCAGTATGCTGCGTCGCGCCCCGACCACTATCACCCTCACGGCTGCGGATGTCGAGCAGTTCGAGGCCAACCGTCAGCGCAAACTGTGGGAGAAGCAACAGGCTCAGCAGCAGGTCTCGTCCCCATCGGCCACCAGCTCTCAAAATGTCAAAGAAAAGAAGTCAAAGAATGGCGTAAACCTGTCTGCGAATGGCAAGAGCAAGAAGGACCGGATCATGGGGACGGGTAACTAGCTCTCTCCATGGTTCTTCAAGAGAATTGGTTTACTGCAGTAAGATCTCGTCGTATCTCTGACGAATTATCGATTACTTCGGCCACATATTTCGTTTCAACTATCTCGATAGAGTCTGGTGCTACGGGTCAATTCTCTATCGTCTCTTCGATCAAAGCTTGCGTTCCGGATCAATCAAACCAGTCTGATGGCTCAGATGATTTCTCCCTTGTCTCTCCCACCAATTCTTCCCTTACGGATGACTTGGTCAAATCTGACGGCTCGGGTGAGTTCTCTAATGTGTCCTTCAAGCCTGGTATTATGGACGAGAATGAATGGGCCAATGTTTCGGATACTTAAGATGACGCTTCACCCTCTGCCCCGAATCTCAACTAGGCACTTGGGCTGTTTGGATTTCTCTTTGGAGTCTAGTAAGCTCTTGCGGTCTCACAGTCTTGCTTTGTCCATCCAGGCTAACCTTGGCTCAGGTAGAAGCTAGGGTTTGGCTAGGATGCATCGGTTGTGTAGCGGTTTATTCTGGATCCCACCCACACTCAGAGTCATAGGCTCTTTGTCACGATAATCTTACACGTTTAACATTTACTGTTGCATGGGAGGTGTAGGTTTCTATTGCGCCTAATATTCCTCAATTTTTCTGACTGCAACCTGGGTTCTGCAATTCTTGGTACACACAAATGGGAACGACTTTAGATACCACACAGCTCAAGTCCTTTCGAACTGGCGTTGCCCATCTCCCCCATGGCACTCAACGTATCCCCCAATCTTCCCAATCCCCCAGTGTCTCAGAAATGTGCGAATGCCTTTAATTAGACATGATCCACGACTGAGTCCGCTATCTACCTCGCTCTCATATTCTATTCTTGGTGCGACACAGCACCGCTCGTGATATTCTGTCTCATATCGTGGGCAGTGGTCTTACTACTGCTAAATGCTTTCCCCCCGTGGTACCAGCTCACCCAGCACTGCACTCCCGAGAATTTCTTCGATGCGTTCAATTTCTTCATATTTCGGTTCCTACCCTCCCCACCAAGACTATGTCATGCTAAGGAGCTCCACGGGACCCAGACCCTCCTGTAGGTTTCGTGAAATACGTCCTCTACTCCATGGCAGCTTCAACAGGGTTGGTTAATAACACCTCTGATGATGCTTATCTCGACGTCTACCATACGAACATCTACCTGGCCATCGGTTAACGCGGCCGGAGTGTTAGGCTCGGAATTAAAAACGACATTCGCTGAAGGATTGGTTGTCTTAGACCTCACACACACATACCAGCTGGTTGCGGGGCATGGCCAACATTCTGGACCACTGGGCTTCGAGATTAGCGTGTTGAATGGGCCGTAGTACGCTCAGTAGTTTACGGCGTCGTAATGCCGGGGCCCCGTAAGTAGCTTAGTAGAATTTCAGAGCTGATGTAACAGTAGTTGACTCAAATTTGGCCGTATTTTAAACCTCAACGGGTGAGGCTTTCGATGGCCATACAAAGCTCACTATCGCAACTTTTCTGGGTGTTGAGTTTTCCAAATTAGTGGCTTTTTAGATCGTGTTTTAGCTCTCGAATCGCCAAGTGATGATTGACGAGTATAACCCGTAATTCACCCTTGGCGCCATACTGTGACTACGCCCCGTGCTGTTTTTTCCTAGTCTCTGTACGTAAGTAGTCCACATAAAATCCGTAGCGTAGTACGCTACGTTAAACACGCCGTTCAAGATTGACCACCAACGGGAAAATTGCTATGCGCTCTAGGTTTTCTTGAATCTTAAAGTCTCCGTTGCATGGATCGGGATGGGGAGATTGAGGACTCTGGCCAAATACAGATATCATGGAAAGCATCAACGAGAGGGCTTCCAACGGGGCGTACTACTGTCTATACAAAGTGAGCCATACCGGTCACATGTTTAGTACGAACGTACTCAGTTTGTGAGCTGCACCGTACATTTAATGATGCCATAGGTAAGGTACATAGCACCGGTCGTATTACCCTTTTAGTTTGCATAGCGGTTCTGGGGGGATAGGAGGGCTCTGGCGAGTAGAGCTAGAGGTGGATTATCTTGCCCTGCCGCGATTAGTCTTCAGCTATAGACAACGTACTACAGCAGGATGAGGCAAGAGACGCAGTGTTGAGGGCTCTTAACTTCTGCAGCCTAGGTAAGAGACTGCACAAAGCAGACAACAGACGTACCTGATCAATTAGATGAGGCCTGTAAGTATCTAAGATGTTTCGACTAGAGTACGGCGTATTTCAATTGAATTGTACTACTTGTACCGGCCACGTGAGCCGTAGCAACTACGACACATACACCTGCCTCTTATCCTCCCTGCCGTACGAACGTACGCAAAATCTTACGCGTACAAGTATCGGAATAGCCCAATCGCACAGTACTACGGTTCGTTGGAATCGCTGATCAACGACGCAACCCGCAGCAGAGCCGCTCTCCATATCACTGACGAATGCCTGGCTGACAGCCCTGTCAATCAGACCGCCGGGTGGAAAGGCATGAACCACAATACCGAGCATGGCGGAAACAAAGGTTGTGACTTAGACTTCACCGAAGACTATAATTACGGCAAAGGCTTTAATAAAAATAGCGGCAGATTCTACGAAACGGAATGGGCTGATGAATCAATCAAAATATGGTTTATCCCCTCGGCGCTTGCACCATACTCGTTCTCCGCTTCTTCCCCCCAACATTCTTGAAGCCCTTCCTCTAGTCGTCGTACCTAGAACCGCTCTAGCGCATCATTCTCAAGACCTTGTTCTTAATCATTTGGTGGCAAGTTCTTCAACCACACTAACGTCTTCAATACAACGTTTTGTGGAGGTTACGTTGGCGGTAACTTCAAAATAGGATACGACATAGCATATCCAAAGGTCGAGGGCTTGGGCACACGGGAGAGCTGGAAGATTTTTATAGCGAGCAATCCTGAGGCATTCACAGAAGTATATTAGATAATCAAAAGTCTAAGAGTTTGGGAAAAGGTTTCTGGATACGCTTTGTCGTAGAATACGGATGAGACGGCGGCTAAGAATGGAGCATTGTCCAGTTTGGATCAGATCCAGGCGTCCCGTTGACGGGCTCTCACTTCTAATGTTATCAACGAGCAAGGCGAGCTAGGCAAATTGGCATCTAATACGAAGGAAGACTTGGAAGTACTAGCTGGAGGTGACAAGTTGGAAGTGCCCGGGGCCGAAGCCATTCACTTGAAACCAGAGTATGGAGACGGCGCCGACGACATAGGAAACACAGAAACAATAAAGGCAGCGAAGCTAGTCTCAATCAATAGCGAGATCCCACATTAATCTCCAATCTATTGGGGGCAGAGAGACTTTATGATCTTGAAGCCATGAAAGCTATCGATCCAGGAGTCGGGGACGCCATGGTTCTGGAAACATTCGAACCTGTTCATGACCAACCTACGGTTGAAGAATTAAACGCATAAATTCCTCACGTAAAAAATGGGAGAAAATGCCTTCTTACCCGGTGTCGGCGCCTCCATCCACCCCTCAAACGGGATGTGAGGGTACTGAACAACTACCAACACTGAGCCACTAGGACTCCCAAGACAACGACTCCCAAACCCAACTTCTAGCGTTAGTAAGCGTAGTTATCTCACCTGTATCCTCGAAACCTAGAATCACACTTTAAGTTTCTGCTCTTGACTCCAAATATACTAGCAAAGAAGTGACCACTATATTTAGCCTCGTTGATGAATTTAATGAAGGGTCAATTAGTACGCTGGCTATCGCCATTAGCTCAAGGTGAGGGGCGGAACATTGCGGCAGGACGTCGACACCACTTACAATCCGGGGGTTCAAGACAGCACTCAGTATTTCAAGGGATTGAACGGAGAGACATTCGGAAGCCAAGAACATAATAGCAGTGAAAGTGCCCAAAGATCAGACTATTGGTAAAAGTTTCGTGCTACAATTAGCAGACCTGTTAAGCAATTCTGAAATTCACTGGGTGATGATGCGAAGAATCGGTTGCTGGCTTGGTTGGTGCAGCACTACCGGATATTATACGCTAAACGTATAATCGAGACCAAGGCCAATTCACAACTACCAGGCCCTTGAGATGAGGTTGAAGACGCTGAAAGAGATGTCATACATGCTGATGATATGTCTGATGCTGAGATCGAGGATGTTATTAACACACACTTCGGAGGGGCAATCAAGATACTAGCCTACGCCTAGGAGAATGCGGACACTAGCTCGAGTGAGTGAATCGTAGAGGCTCGCTTGCTGACTAAGTCGGGAATAGGTTCCTAAATGCGATCAATTCACCACCTGCGGAGTTAAATGAAGTCAATGGACCTATGGCCCGATAAATTGTGAAGGACAAGTAGGACTAAGAAATGAAGACGTGTTTTAGGACGTTGCATTCTTCAAGCCTTTACAAGTGTTGTATAGTATTGCTTTTTTATGTTTCAGTCCTAAGATAGAGGTCAGCTGCCGAGACTGCAGGCGGTTTGTTGAGCAAGGCACATTCTGTAGCAACGATGAATCTGGGTTCTTGATTAGATAGCTGTGATAGTAAAATATATTCTCAACTAAGTCGTGGTTTTGGATCTGGCGCGATTATAAGAGTCAAGGAGACTGGAATGAGATGTCAAAGACTGGACCAACATGCAGCATGTGCAAAAACATCCCTGAACACTTAAAGCTTATTTTGTTAGCCCAAACCAAGACCAACATGTTGGAAAAAGAAGCACGTTCACGGTGCCTTGAATGACGGTCCATGGCTCACAGCACGCTACCTAACGTGGCAAACGACGAATTTTGTACCTCCTTTCCGCAAATCTTGGTCCCTGGGCTCAAGTCTAATGATACGGAAAGGCGGTTGCACCTGCCGTGGTTTGTTTCACCTTCCGCGTTTTCGGAGCACTGGCCAAAAATGGCCGTCATGTCGCAATGTGGTGTGGTAGCCGAACCGCACGTCAACAACCCTCGTCGTGGGCTTACGATTAAGCTGCTGAGAACAGCAGGTCGGGGTTATGTCTCTCACCGAGGCACTGTTCCCTCTCAGCCGTCACTCAATTTCAGATGATTATTTTTGCTTTTTTGCATTCTCGGGTCGGAGCGTCTCCCCATTAGCAAAAGCCATGCATGTGGTTCAAAGAAGCCTAGGAAAAGAGCAAAGATCTCCTTGAGTGGCTGGACGTGCGCCGATTCGGTGAAGCTCGCGATTGTCAGGCTTGTCGCTGAGTGGCTGGAAGGAAAGAATGTGTGCCTCGTATCTTAAAATGACAGATGACGGGGTTGAATGTCGTTAACGTCGACGCGTCATCGAGTCAAGATGCTCTTCCAGAAGAGCGGGAGAACGCGATAAAAATGACATTTAATGCATGGGATAATCATGCGGCAAGAATTCCATAGTGGTGAGGGTTAGACAACGCCAGCGCTCAATCCAAAGCGATCTTGTTTGCACATGCGTTGAGTATGATGGAGGCTGTGTTCCTTGGTGCAGTAAAGACATTGTGTATCTGGGACGCGATGTAGCCGTGAAGCTACATGTATGTACGTCAAAGGAGTTGGCTATGGTGAGAGATATTTTGAAGGTCACTCCAAGAACAGTCAGCGAGTAGCTTGGGCTTCTCTTGCTGCAACGCTCGAGGGAACGCTACATTGTCGTGAGTACCAGTCTCCCATGATGGCTGACAGATAGCGTAAGGCAGTGCTTTGATAGAAGGTTAGAAGGCTGGAGGGAGTTTCTCAGATGAAATCTGTTCTGGTTCAAATGATGATTTAGGTTTCCAGAAGGGAGAACAAAGGTCCCACCTGTCAAACTTTGAAATGCAAGCGCAGGGGCTGAAATGAAAGTGAGCAACAGAGTTGCAGCATGAGGCAGACTAGCAGTGACACCCTTCTGAACGAGTTATAGTTGGAATCCTGCACACACTGCTGGGCACCTGAACGGAACGAGGTAAGGAACGGAACGGGAACCTTGGGGATGATGTCGACAAGGCTGCAGAAGTTCGCTTTGCAATTTAACTTTGCTTGTGATATATAGGTGTACATTAACAAGATATGAATGTTGGTGTTCATGTGAAGGACCTTTTCCATGTGCCCTAAATGCGTACATCAGCACCTAGTGTTGGTCGACGAGGAGCATGTGGGGAACCCTGTTAGAAGACCTGTTCACCCATGGCTCTACGATTGCTCTTCTTGAAAGGGTTACTGTCTCAAGTAAAGTCAAGCTCCAGCCTTAACCTAGGGCAGAGCTAAGTTGACGTGGCATGACTACGCGGAGATCAGTGACCATGAACGAGAACCTAATTTAGTCTAATTAGCCCCCTCTAGCTTTAAAAAAAAGAGTGGAGGTGACAGTGCCCAACAGGCTGGTCATGAGCAGCCCCAGAACTTTCAGAACAGCAGCTTCGAGTGTGGGAATTGGGTCGGGACGAGGATGAAGGGCTTCATTCCTTCCCACAATTCGAAGCATTGCTTGCATTGGACTTGGTGTCGGGGAAGTGACTTGAACAAGGGAGTCGATAACCTTAAGTTCCCCATGGTCGTCAAGTTCGTTGACACCCAACAAAGGCATTTATGCTTACTGCAACAGTTTACTATTGGAGGGGAAGGATAGATAGGTGCTCTGGATGAAATATCCAGTTCATTGACTCAAGCGTGGGTGTCTGCATGTTTCGAAAAATACCCCTTCGTGGAGTTCTTGGTGACGAATTGAAGACAGCGGATTCCTCAGTCGGAACTATATACGCCAGAGAGGAGGACTAATCGGAATAGCAAACACACTTCGTACAACGGGAAAGGAGGCCGTGCTACCAAAGCATAAGTTCCAGAGAGGAGTATTTTGCAGTGGTAACGTGTGCAAAATGGTGGAACGTGACCTCCGGATCCAGAAGGTCGGATGGGGATGCCGCTTCTCCAAAAATCTCCACAGGTAAGGCACCGCGTTTGAGACAAACGCGCGGGCTAGAGAGTAAAAGTTTGCTGCTTGCGCTGGCCCTCCCTAACTTGACGAAGCGACGTATCGATAGGGCGGACATTGACGACATTTTCCTACTCCTGAATATTTCACCCAAGAGAATTGGTGGGTGGTAGGCTCCAGCGCACCCCTATCATTGCGATCGAAAGTGGACTGTTGAGTAAGAGCAAGGAACGCATTTTGCATTTCGTAATGAGTTTGCACCACCCTGCCGGTCAGCATCTACTGGCCGCTTGACGAAATAGGGAAAGTGTCGGCACAAGAAGAAGGCATTTTCGAAATGTTGACCAACGACTTTTGGGTATCTTGCCCCGTTGCCCAAGAGCATAAGGAAACTTAGCGTATAAGACGAGGAGAACTCGGATCAGCGCAGGCTGCAGGAACCCATGCACGAAGAAGGATGCTCTCAATTTTCAAGGTTACTACTCAGGATTTATCCGTTTGGTGATGATGAATTGGCTCAAGGGCTCGTGAACTCGGGATGGAATATTCAGTGGACAAGGAAAGCACGAGATTGAGGAGAAGATAAGAGGCAACAGTAGAGAACAACCTCGCCGTCTCTCCAGAAGCCAACCTCGGGACATATTGTGGGACAGGTTTGCTAGGCCTAAATAGGTTACATCCCTTCATGCGTCCCCCCCACACACGAGACGCCCATCAACGGTCTGCTGTCCACTAAAAGCTTTGAAGTGCACCTGCAGCCGACTTCGACGCCAATCGACAAATCATGCGCGTCTCACGCGTCCGTTCGGCGTTTGGCGCTGCTTTCGACATGAAGAAGCAGAGCCCCCAGCCCGTCAGTGTTGCACGAATTTTGAAAAGTGAGCACAGTCTTTATCGAACCTGTGGAGGCGTAAGCCCACCACAGGGTCAATTCGCACGGCGAAAGGCGATCGGCGCATTTCCTGCGAGGCATCAATGTTCTGGAAGTCTAAACTCGCATCGGAGAAGCCCGTTCGTTGCGGATCACGCCTCTTCAATATTTTTACTAAGTTGGCTGCGCAGGCAGAACGATGTGGAACAACGAGGCACAGCAGCACACTGGACCCCTATGATATCTCTTTTTTGGACCTCTGTCCAATTCAAGAGTCCTCAAATATTGCTCAGCCCACGTGAGAAGCAATCATGGGTCCTCATTGGGGCTCTTCAACCAAGCTGAGCGCTGCGGAGGAGCCACTCACGGGAGCCTTTCCACCACTCAGCGCCCCGCATCGGCCATCGCTCGTGAAGAAGGATGAGCTCTCCTCTGCGAAGTATCGATTACCTCCTCATGACTGGCCCTGGAAACGACGATGAGATATCACAAAGTCTAGCGATCTGTCCTGTTCAAGCCGCAGTCGCGCGACCTGTCAGCAACAATTATCGCTGCCAAGCGATGTATAGCTGGGCATGATTTGCTGCCGTTCTTGGACCACAGGCCTGAGGCAGATGAGCATCATCGTTTCTTTTGGGTTCTACTCTCGCGTCACCTGCTACGCGCCAGACGACAACCAGGCGCTGAAAAGTGTGCGTGGAGCTGTCATGCCTTTGTGGATTGTGTCGCGCTTCTCTGTTGCGCAAATCATGGGCAATAGTGGATGCCTGTCGTTTAATCCCGACGGCTCCTCCGGCCACGCCAGCTCCGGCAAGTCTGTGTTCCTGGGCCCCCGTCCCTGCCTTGTCCCGCCACAAAAACGATCCCGGCCTCTCAGCAAGGTCTCCCTGTCCTTGGCCTTGCAAGGGGTTCTTTTAGCTCAACCGGCGCTGCGTGTACGCCCAAGTCATGGCGCACAAGTCTGCAGGGGGCAACTTGGTCTGATCGTGCTTGGATCGTCGCGCTCATTCACTGATGACCACCAAGCCGGTGCTCCAACCAGAATTCGACCTCTGGGCCCAGGTCCTCGACTAGCCGGGCATGCAGCCATGCTTCCGTGCCGTAGCGTGTCCATCTACATTACTGTACTGTGTCCCGCCGTCCTGCATTCCCTCGCGTTTGGACCTCCCTCGTGTGCCTTTTTGATACTGACCATATTTCTCAAACCTCATCCTCTCTTTACGCCATCTCAATCTTCGCACGCTTCGAACCAATCGAACCCGGCATTTTTATCTCGTTTTGTTTCTACACTGTCACAGTCCTTTCACCCTAACTTTCCTCGTCATTGACGGTTTCATCTTGTGCATGAATTAGCATCACTAGTAACTCTCACGTCCAATCCCATCACCACATATCCCAAATCAAGTACACATTCCACATTAGATACGGACATTGCTTGCACTACTGCACGCTCTTGTAGATCTGCGAACTCAAATCTATATATCGCCCTCACGCCGAAGTCCTGCTTACGCCTGAATCGTCCATGTTGAACTTTGGGTGGTCTTGAACGGGTCTGACACCGCTCACAACAATTACAAGGAGCTGGGAATGGCAAACCTTACTATATCATCACCACTTCGAGGGCTGTGCCCCGCTCCATTCTTCGATGCCACTAAATTCTCAAACGGAGGATGTAAGTGTTATTGTGGCTTTCAATGACGGAACGAGAGACTGATCGCAGTAGTTGTTGCAGGAAGATTCTGCGCTCCTGTTCCTCAGATAAAAGCAGACCTTGTGTGCTGTTTACCCTGTCCAGTGACAGATCTCCTCTATCCTCCAGGTGAGCTTCCCTCATGAGCGTCAATGTCAAATTCACTGACATAATATCATAGAATTCAAAACATGGTATAGAGTTGCAGAGGGATTGAACGTTGGTGGGCTTGTCGCTCTAGCTTTTCTCCTGCTCTCTTTCCTGTGTCTGCCTCCAGAGAAAACCAGGCGCCACTACCTGAGTTATTGCTTGATTATTGGCGCCATTCTTCTTGCCGTAAGTCGCAGAGCATTGTAGTAATACAGCGTTGCTGACATAGATATAGCTAGGCTTCGTAGTACCCTTTGGGGCAGAGCCTCCCCAGTGCTACGATGAGATCACACCAAATGACATGTTCTCTAACTTGACCTGTGCTTTTTCCGGCGCCTTTCTCATCTCTGGTGGCCTGGCCATAGACGTGTGGAGTGAGTATAAATTGTCGCAAGTATTCGGCGGGGCCACGCTAATGTCTTTCCCAGTCTTCATTCGTGCGCTATCGATGCATCTCCAGATTTGCTGGGATGTGATGCCAGGAAAGAAATTCTTCTATTGGGCGCAAGGCCTTGGTTGGGGGGTTATTGCAACTTTTTTTACCATCACCATCACCATTACGGGCGTATCCTTCAGGTTTGGGGATGTGTGCCACGTGAACTCGGCCAACTCTATGAAAGATTTTTGGGGGCCGCTGCTTGCGATTGCTGGTGCAGCAATGGTCGTACAACTCGCAACGTCAGTACAATCACGCCTTTGATCGTGATGTGCCTGTTAACAATCATGTAGCTTCACCTACTGCATCAAGGTCTACATCAAGAACATGTGGAGTGACGAGAAGACTGAGACCCAGAGCAGTGCTGGTCTTCCCTCGTATACAACCAGTGTCCGAACTCGCTCCGCACGGGTAGTCTACAGACGCGTACGCAAGGTTGTCTGGCTTCAATGGCGAGGTATCCTCATTGTTGTTTTTATTCTCGTAGACGTCATCTTTTTCTCCGTCGTATTTGTCTACCTTAATTCGGTCGAAACACATGTCGTCAACGACGTAGACAAGGCAATGCCCTACTTGCTTTGTCTAATTTCGAATGCGGCAAAGATCGAAAAATGCTTCGCGCTCGGTCAGGAACTATTCGTCAATCAGTCAACTGTCATTGCCATATTAATGATGCTTTCTGTAAGTCCGATGTTTGTTTTAAGACTACATTCAACCATGCTGACAATGACCACAAGGTTGCGGGTTTGCAATGTTTCATCCTTTTAGCACGAGCATCCATGTTTCCCGCCTGGTGGGAATTCATACGGTCAAAATTCAGCTCAAAGCGGGAATTCGTCTCTTTAGATGCTAAGGCGTATACCACTGATGCCCGCAACTTCGAGTTGATGAAAGTCGCAACCAGCCCCACGAAAGCCCCCGAGAGCGCAGTCACTAGCCCTAGTAGCCCCGGCGCGGACTTTGATCCTTACCGACGGTCATTAACAGATACTCCTGATTACTTTGGAAAGGAGGTTCAACGAGAGTACCGGAGTCCAACCTTGTCCTTCTCGACACCGCGGGCACCATCGCAGGCAGCAATGCGTGTTGAGTGGGATCCAAGAGCAACCCATGCAAGGGGAGGATTGGGTTTTCACCCTCCAGCCACTGAAGATGAGGATGGGATGAAAAACAGAATATGAGCATTAATATGCCTTCATTTGTCATAAGATTTGAAAAGCTATTGCAAACGCATGAAAAAATAGGAGTCCTCACTGGGATCAAAAGCGTGCCTGAGACTTCCGAAGGGAATAACCATGAGCTCGGCCAGCCCTCGTTACTGCGCGAAACACCAAAAGCGAAGACTATCACCAATTTTACCGTGTCTCCATGTCGAGAGGCGCAATTTTCTATATATATATATACCCGATATCCGCGCGAGCGATCTGAGCAGTCTTTACTGGAAGTATTAAATCAGGAGTATACAGGACTGGATATCGGCCACGGCGGCTCTTGTGTCATGTCTCATGCGTCGACAGGGGATCAATTGGTTGTTCAATCATGGCGATGGAGTTATGACTGGGCGCTATTTTCTGGATTTCTTTTGGATTCCCCATGTTTTCCAGCCTTCTCATTTCCCGTCACTCTTTCCATCTCACGTCCCAATCTTCTGTTAATACCCGGACCCCTCGCTTCCGCATTTGAAGCGCTCGAACAATGTCCGCCCGCACGAGACAATCAGCCCTACCACCGGGACTGACGAAGCCCGGTAGGGCGGATTTTCATACTATGTCTCTTTCACGGCGGATTATTATGGCGCCTTGTGGTACCATACCCTACACTTTGCACGGGGCAACCCATTCGCATAGAGTGCATTTCGCACCACCAAATGCTGTAAAGTAACACCTCCTGCATAAAGCTTCTTGCTTTCAGCCACGCGAGGGCCCCACCGTGAGCTTCGCTTGCCAAAAAAATTCAAAGAATTCTGAAACAAAATCGCTTGCAACGAAGACTCGCTTCGGGTTTTGTTGGGACTTCCGATCTCGACACATTTCGTCACGCCAGCCTCATCAAGGGCTAGGGTTAGAGAAATACTTTGGATAAATGCAGCTGATATGGCGGGCTTGGCAGGGCAGAGGATGGAATTAGAGCACCCGGTTCTCCCAGTCCTATGTTAAGATTGCCAGTAGAGCATCAGTACTTTGCTGACAGCGCGGGAGGGTCAGGTACAAATGACGACGGTTGGCGATTGGGAGTTAGGCGACGAGGCGCAAAGACCTCGAAGAGATTCTGATTTGGGGGAGCTCGGATGGGGAGTCCTTTCTCCTTTGACCATAATCACCTTACTAACACACTATTAAACTGCGAGATCCATGGCCGAATCTTCCAATGCCCTGGTCAAAGGAATTGCATCGTAACTACCCCAGAGGGGTGATGGCGCGCAACGGCGGCCTTCCAGAATCAGAGGGAAGGCCTTTTCGCGGTTGAAACCCAGAAGCACGCTCTGCCTATTGGTAACTGCATGCGGCAACATTGCCGCGGGAAAGGCTATTTTCGGGTTCCCGACTGGTTTTCGGTGGGGAAGAGGTTCGGCAAAGGAGCTCGTTCTGGCTGGAGTGCATGGCTGCTAATGTTAACCTTATTAATGATGGGGAGAGAACGTCTTGGAGCTGGGACGAGACAAGGGGAATGTCTGGGGTGATGTGCACTGAGCAGACCACCGGTTAATAACAAGCTCTGTTAAGATATGATTTGTTGATATGTGAAATGTTAGTGAGCGGCGAGGGCTGCCAGAGTTTCGGTGTGTCATGTTAAATTGAGATATTTATGTCCGAGGGGAAGATATTCAACGTGTGTGCAAGCATCTTCCGAACAAGCCCTTTGTGGTACTTCAAACTTTGTACGCCCTGCTTTAGGAAAGGTATATGCATACGCGGGCGCCGGCCGTCAGACCCCTAATGCGATGTGATAGAGACTTGGAGTTTCATTCGAGAGTGAAGTGGTGAAATCGCGTGTAGCATGATCGATAAGTGAGAAAGAATTTGCAGGCGCAAGGAGACTTGAGGGCATTTTTGATCCTTCAGAGATGAGGTTCATGCAGTGGAGAAGACCTACGATCAGAACACTTGAAAGACGGGGATGAGCGTCAGCAGCCGAAGGCTTTCGTTGTTTGCCCCATCCTCATCCACTTCTCACAAATCCTTGCGTTGGGCGCCGGGTCGAGGCGTCATGGTGATGCAAAATGGACAAACTTCTCCAGTAGAAGAACTCAAATACTTTCTTAGTGTTGTTGAGTAAGATACGAAGGGTCTACTTTGGAGCAGTGAGGCGCATCCCCAGTTGGACAGAGGTCAAGAGCCCTGGAAAGTTTTGGCGTCACACAACCTATTTAAGGCGTTTGAGAAATCCCTCACGATCGAATCGGGGAGGTGTTCATGCTTTCTTTTGCGACCGTTCTCTGCAAATTTTGACCACCACGGAGTCTCCCACCATCCTGAAACACGACTGGCTGTCGGCATTCTGTTGCGGTCGCAGGTTGTTTATTGAACCAAGGGCCCATGGTGCGACCGGCAGTTGAGACGCTATGATCCCCCACTTCAATTGATGAATGCCATGACAATATTAGATTTGAGAGAACGTTTGCTTTTGCAAATATCGCAGACACAAAGCTACTCGCTGGGTGTGTATGTCCGAGAGGCTGGTTCGCAACCAGAGGACATGTCGCAAAGTCCGTCGCAAACCGCCTGATTGGTAATCTTCCTGGGGGCCGCTCCTCCATCCTACGGACTCAATTTCAACCTTGACATGAAGTTGATAGTCGGAATTCACCATCGCTTCCATCACAATCTATGTTACAGCAAACTCCGGTCTCACTCTGAAGCTTCACTTCAATTGATACCAGTCCCGTCACAAGCATTTGTCCGCTATGGTCGCAATGGGAGGCGGTCCAGAAGTTCCGTCGCGGGGAGACTCAAAGGAGCTGCTTCTTTGCGTGCTTCCTTGGCCCCAAAAGTCGTCGGAAAAGATGATGAATGAAATCAGGGATGAGTTTCCGAATCTGGATCTGCAGTATGTTCAAGAGAAGTATGAGAAGAGGTCTGACCGAGGGACAATGGTCTTACCTGAAGGTAATCAATAAGTCTGCCTTTGTATTACCATGCTCCTACGGCATCTTTGTTTATACCTCTTTTCTCAATTGCCTTATGTTCATATCACGTGGGCATTTCCTATCAATCGCCTGTTGCTTCTTCGGTATCTTTTTCTTACATTAGAATCTGCAGAAATCTACAAGCACGCCCACGTACTTGCGACTCTACATTGGCTACCCCCCAAAGCCTCAGCTGTTCCTGAGCTGGACCTGATCCAATTCTTCTCAGCCGGGACTAATCATGTTGCACATCATCCAATATACAAGGATTCAACGATCCCGCTGACCACCGCATCCGGGGTTCATGGCCCTCAAATCTCTGAATGGGTTATCATGATGCACCTCGTGCATAGCCACAACTACATCCCGTTGTATGAGGCTCAGAAGCGGAAGGAATGGGAGGGAGTTGCTGGGCGCTCCGTAAGAGACGCAGTTGGACAGAGGGTCGGAGTTTTGGGGTATGGTAGCATAGGGCGACAAGGTAAGTTTCGGAGGTGATTCTTTCAGCCAAAGTATTTTTTTCCACATTCTTTTGATCCGCGTCCCAAGCTCTCCCACAACGGCCCCAAAACGTCCCGTAAGCGTCAAATTGGGCGTTCGCTGCCACAAGTACGGGGTTATCGCACGCCCCTTCCGTTCGCCCCCTTCCCACCCTCACAAACTCAAAAACACGCAATTTCCCCAAGCGCTTTCCGGCTGCCAGGATACGAATCCCTCCGACACCCGACAGAATCCTCCACGGAGGCGCTTCCGTTTTCCGTTTTGTCCACACCTTAAACATCCCATTGGTCTTGGCTCACTGAACCCCGGAGATAATTTCTCCACAGCGCTGACTCGTTCTGCGGGAATTGCTTGTTGCAGTAACATTAGCGATGCTGGAGCATTGACTGACTGTGCCACAGTGGCGCGGGTGGCGAAAGCGATGGGAATGAATGTCATCGCCTACACCGCTTCACCGCGAACAACGCCTGAGTCGAAGCGAGACGAGGGATTCATCGTCCCTGGTACCGGTGACCCCGATGGAAGCATACCCTCGGCATGGTACAATGGATTGGACAAGAAGAGCTTACATGAGTTTCTGAAGCAAGAAATCGATCTATTGGTTCTCTGCGTGCCTTTGACGTGAGTGCTTTCTTTTTCAGCTTTGCAAGGTTGGCTGCCTATTATTTTCCTCATGTTCCATCCATTTTCTTTACAATTTACCTTAGCGTCGATAGTGTCAGCCGATGCTCTCTCCTTATCTCTATGTAGCCTCGCCTCATCTATGTCATTCTCACCTTTTGATTACATGCTAAATGCTTCGCAGTAAGGATACGACACACTTCATTTCAACCGACGAATTCTCGGTCCTCGAGAAATCGAATCCGCATGGAACTTACATAGCCAACATCTCCCGTGGCGGCATTATCAACCAGGCTGCCTTGATCAAAGCTCTTGAGACGAAGCAGATCAGTGGCGCAGCTCTCGACGTCACGGATCCCGAACCTTTGCCTTCAGATGACCCACTATGGTCAGCACCAAACTGCCTAATCACCCCACATGTGAGTGGAAATACCGCCGTGTATGCCGAGCGCGCCTTCCAGGTCCTCAGGGAGAATCTTCGTCGGAGAATGGATGGCAAGAAGCTAGTAAATCAGGTTGACCGAAAGAGAGGGTATTGAGCGGAAAGGGCAGATCCTTACGTATTATTGCAACATAGATGGCAAGATACAGAATCAGGATCAGTTACCTTTTACTATTCTTAGTATCTCTCTTAAATCTTCAGTGAAAGCACTCATTTCTTTGACTGTTTATGACGCTAGGTGCGCACACCTTGTACCTTCACCACCTTTCGTTACGGCTCTGCTGACCTCTCTTGAGGCTGCTAGCAATGCACACAGTACCTTCTCTTCACCTCCCCTCGAGCAGAGAATTTCTCCAGAGAGAAACCTCAAGACTTACTACTAAATCTGATTCGTTACACAGCGGTGTTATAATCGAACTAAGCGCTTTAATATATCCAAGTCAAATGACCCTGACTCTAGAACACTCAACTAACCTGCTTTGTTTGAATTCCTTTGAGGAGTTAGAAAGTTTGGTGATTGTATAGATTGGTAATTAAAAGCCAAGGAGGCCTAGTTATATATATTCGATAGTGAATAGCAAGGAATTTCAGGGTTCCAGGGGTTTCACTACTGAGGAAAGGGTTTTTACACTTGGTGCTTTGTGTGCTGCGGTGCACGATGCACGATGCACAGCTACAAACGGAATCGTAGTCTCAATGAAGTTAATGTTATAAAAGCAACAGGCAAAAAAGCAAACAACGATGGCGTTATAAACCTAGGACAGCAAACATCAAGCCGCAGCTTATTAACATAACGAGGTCGCTAGCTCTCTTGCACATCACATGTTCGAAAGTTCGAAACGGCTGGTTGATACTCTACCGGCTCTAGCGGCTAAGAGGGTTTGCAATAACAGTAATGTAGCCGTCACACTCGATTAGCTAACTCCGAGAACCACCAAAACCAGTTCCACTTCATCCTCTTCGCTGATGTTATCGTCATCAAAGGTTCCAGAGATAGTGTAGGGGCTGGTATGCACAAAGTATGTAGGGCTCATTCGAGCTAAGATGTGCGGAACTGTAGACAGTGGAGTGTTAAATGGCATCCAACTTCCCTTCTCGCCTCTGGCAACACACAAAGATTTGAGTCGATAAAGACTAGACTACAAAGTTCAGAGAAAGGACTGCTAGAAAACGGAGGGCGTGTTCTATGTCTTGGGTAAGGCAGGGGCAGAAATGGGGGATAAGGTGACTCTTTGGTTGGGCGAGATAAGGCATAGCCGTTCACTGTTGTGCAAACTCCTTGTTTCCTCCAACAAGGGTGAAGGCGAAATTGGCATTGATACTGACACGGATTAACACGTTAACTAATGCAATCAGTTGTAACTCTGCGAATACCGAATCTGAAAGGGGTATCATATCTATCTCACTATCCGTAGCAAATATTCAACTACCCGGTAGAAATCCGAACATGTCATCTACGGCTCTACCGGCCCCTCCTCATTCCCTGGCTCTCAACGTTATTGGCATGCGCTAGTAGATACTTGCAGCACGTCAACGTATACTTGCAGGCCTTTGTCCAAAGCTCCTCCTTATTCAACGCCAGCTTGATACTCTGATCATGAATCTTGTCCTTCCGTATCTCATACGGCATCTTAACTGTACCTAAACCCCCAGGTCCTCCACCGCCGTGAGCGGCTCCGGAGGACTCGACGAACTCCCCGAGTTGACGCAAGCATTCCAGGAAGGCGACCATGGCAGCGTCGAACTTGCGATGGAGGAAGGTGAAATTTAGCGGGAAGTCCCCGGAGGAGTAGAGTTCGAGGCGTTGCCTAGTCACAGTGGGTGGGGATGTCGTGGAAGAGATGCGGTCGGTGCTTGTGACACTGCTCCCGCCTTTTGCTTCGAGCTTAAGGATTGTGGAGTTGGAACCCATGGGACAGAGCTCATAACCCTGGAATTTGTAGCCGAGCCGTTCGGCGAGCGTTGCGAGCAAGAGACAGGTTTGCCCCCACGCGGCGTTGATCTCGGGCCAGTCGACATATGGAGAGGGCAAGCGGCCTAGACGGAGACCGTTGATGGTAGCGAAGTGGTTGTCATGAGTAATATTGAAGGTATCGTTATAGACACTGCGACGCTGGAGTTGAGTTAAAATGTGGGCATCGTGCGCATGTTTCGCTATGAGGGCATCCCGCTCGTTTTGGAAACTAGACAGAGTGGAGGAAAATGCGTTTCTGTCGCGCCAGAAGTCCGATTCGGTTTCATCGAGGGCGCGGGATTCGGCTTCAAGAGCGGCGAGTTCGGCGTCCAGCTCTGCCTTTTCGGCCTCGAGCTTTTCGAGTGAGGATATAGCGGCAGCCTCATCCCGGCTAGCAGATTTGAGCGCCACCTGCGCAGAGGTGATCTCTTCGGCGGAAGGCACGTCCGTGTTAGCGCGGCGGAGGTAGTCGACGTAGGCGTCCCGTTCTCTTGTAGCGACACCGAGACGCTTCTGGAGGCCGTCGACAAGGAGTTCAGTACACTCAACGCAAATAGGGTGGTCGATGTCGGAGCGTGCGGACAGGATCTCGAACATGCGGTTGGTGGTTTCCATGCCGTCGGCCATGCGGCCCGCCCCTTCAACGCCGGGAGCTCCAGTCACGCTTGCTCGGCGCGTCATTTCCGCACCGTTGCTTTCACTCTCCTCTCGCACTAATTGTCTGTCGGGGGTGCGGTTGGAGGGGGATGACGGTGGTGAGAGCATCGACTCGGACAAGTGCACGTTGACAAAGGACATGGCAGGATTGCGGCCGCCATGCTGGGTGTAGCGGGTCGGCGGGACACTGCGCTTGAATGTTGGATTTCGGGCGGACTGGATGGCAGCATCATAGGTTTGATAGCGAGCGGAGGGGTAGGTTGGGCGGGACTGGCGCGGTGGGGTGTTTCGTGCTTGCTGTAGCTGCGGAGTTAGCAGCTTGAAGGCCGCTGGATTGAGCTGGTCGAGGGAGGCGTCGATTTCGATGGGGGTCCGACACTTCTGACAGTAGAGCCGGGGGGGGTTCTTGTCGCTGGCCATGGGATACCCGAGCCGCGGAAGGGCACTGGGGAGAACGAAGTTGACGTCCAGTTTAGGGGTTCGCTGATGATTGCCTTCCGGTTATCACCCGCAGAGGCGCACGACCTTCCCGTGGACTTGGCTAGTCGTCATGGCGCTGGTGGGGGACCTGGAGCCGAGGCGGCGGGCGCGTCCCAGCCATCCAATGCACAAGCAGCCTTGCATGCAGGTCGCGTTCCTTTGCTCGGTCCCCCCCGTCCAAACACCAACTTCAACATCAACACTAACACCCTCCATGGAGCCGCCCGCAAAGCGTGCGCGCACCGCCGCCGATGGACCTGGTGGACCCGGTGGACCCGATGGACCCGATGGACCCGATGAACCCAATGTCGACCCTGTGCTGCTCCAACAACAGAGCCGCGCCCTCCTGAAAAGTAGATTCGAATCCATCTTCGCCCAGTTTGAGAACATGCCGGCTGAGGAGCAGGATGAAATCGATCTGAACGACAAGTACAGGATCGTCGTTGACAGGGGCCATGTCAAGAGCATGCAGGATCTGGGCCGGACGGGCGCAATGGGCCAAATCGCACTGGACTTGCTGTCGGACAACGAAGGCGAAGACGATGTGGATGAGCTTGCACCGTCACCCCCGCTGGCCCCGAGCCCCAAGCCCCGAAGGCAGCAAGATCCAGAAGCAGACAGAGGCGTAGAAGCAGAAGGCAAAGAAGAGCAGCCCAAACTCACGAAACCCGTGGAGCCCGCCAACTTGATCATGCAGCTCACCCAGCTCACCAGCCTCCCGCAGACACCAGCTGCACCTCAGCACCAGAGCGCCTTCATTTCGCAGCTCTCTATCGCCATATCGCAGGCTGTCACAAGCACGCTCTCAAACTATCTCGGAACCGCCGTCACCAATCCCTCGGCCAGTGACGTCGGCCTCAAGCGTCCAACAGACCCCGCATGGTACTATCCTCCCTTGCCGGAGCCGACCAGGACGCCTCGACCCACGCTTGCTCCTTCTACTCCTCCCATACTTGCTCCTTCTGCTCCAACCATACTTGCTCCTTCTACCTTAGCCGTACTTGCTCCTTCTACGTCAGCCATACTTGCTCCTTCTACGTCACCCATACTTGCTCCTTCTACCCCAGCCATACTCGCTCCTTCTACATCAGCCATACTTGCCCCTTCTCCTCCTGCCATACTTGCTCCTTCTGTTCCAGTCACACTTGCCCCTGACTCTTCGGCTTCATCTGCGCCCGCTACTGCGCAGACCAAACGCAGGTGGTCCTCGCCCCGCTACGACCAACCTTTTCAATTCAAACGCAAGAGGCAAAGAGGGAACGTAGTTAGAGCACCCGCGGAGAATGCTACCACCAAGCTAGCAAAGGCACCAGTCTCTCTAGATAGGGACACCGATAGCAATATTTCGAAAATTAGAAGCTATCTCGAGGAAACTCGGAAGTATCGAACAATTTCGAGGTTGCGCAAGTATAATTTCAGCATTGAAGATGAACTATTCATCATCGAACAGAAGGAGATATACAACACCTCGTGGAGAGACATTAAAGAGAGCCGGGGTGCTTGGAAAGATTGGCCAGATTTTGTGCTCTCTCAATATTACAAAGATCACCTTCGAGACAGAGATGAGGATGTTGATGAAGACTGTGCCCTGCAGGGTGTGGGGGAAGCCGCGCAAGATCAGGCCGAAGTCATGGAAGCATCGGTCCCCGCTGTCGAAACTCCCGTTCTATCTAGCAAGTCCTCACAGCCGAAACGGCTGAACGCCGCGAAGCCGGTCAGCCAAGACCACCATAGCTATCCATCCCACCAGAGGCAGCTGCTTACCCCAAGTACCTTTGGTTCTGTCAACAGCACAGACTCTCCAGAGGCCATCCATTATAACAGATCCAGACTTGATGGCTCCAATGACACAGACCTTCTAGATACCACAGACGATTACACGGGCATATCGTTGGCGGGACTCGACGGGCTAAAGGAGCAGGTTACTGAAGAGGCTCGCGGCGCGGTGACATCAAGCATCGCACCAGAAGACATCATTCCGTCCATTGAGACAAGAATCCCTATTCCCGAGGATCGTCTTCCCAACCCCCAGCCTCGAACTCCTCTTGCTCACACTCCCACAAATAGAAAGTCAAAGCCTGCCTCTGGACCCCTCTCATCAGCCAAGCGGCGAAATCCCCACCCCACCAACTTCAAAGTTGACTCTGACTCTGACTCTGGCTCTGACTCTGATGATCTCGATCTCGTCCCCACTGGCGAGGAAGACTTGACAAAACCTTTCATCTGCAACACTTGCGGAAAACGATATAAACGCCAGGGTAATCTCAGTAAACACATAAAGCACTCACCGAATGGCCACGTCAAATCTGGAGCAAGTCTGCCAACCGCCAACCTCGACAACTTCGACGACCAAACCACGTCCCCCATACCTAAGATCAAACAAGAGCCTTCAACACCAGGTCCTTCCCTCCTCCTTCTCCTCAGCACGCCGAGGTCTGCACCGCAACCCAACACACTCCTCCCTTCTGCCGTGAGATCAATCCCCAAGTTAAGCAAGAAAAAAATCCAGACAGAAGTTAAGGCAGCCTGGGCGAAGCGCGCAAAGAGATATGGTACTCCTGCGTTGAAGGAGCATCAGAGTATGCTTGAGTTGTCATCGAGGAGGGATGAAAGTGATGATGAGTTGGCATGAGAGAGCCCCGTTGCTGCCTGTCTGCTATTATTTTCATTAGGCGCTGATGTTGTTTTTACAATGTGGAGAGGATCCACAGGGGATATTTGCAGGTTGGAAAAGTGTGTTTATGAATTGCGTGAATATGTTCCCTATATCAACGACATGATGTTTTTGGAAACACCCCGGTGGCAAACCGCCTACATTATTCCTTTAACTCTAATCTCCTAGCACATACGACCATAGGATCAAGAGTCCGACCCGATCCCGTCCGATCTCGGATAGTCAATCTTGATACCGGCGGATTAGTACTCAGGTGGGTGACCACTGGGGAATACCTGCTGTTGTATGTTTTTATGCATTTTTTGGACGGGGCGCGGCTAGGCTCCACGTTTTTTTGGAAAATTGAGCCTGAGCTTTTTCGCGATACATATAGCGATGTTGGTTTTACATTCATGAGTTGGATGAATGGCATGGAGGGGATATGGATATCGGCAGTATTTATCGACATACACCTCGTCACAAGAATCTATGAAATGAAATATACATACAGTACAATGGCTTTCTAGACTGTTTCCTTTGTCCCTTGGCCATACGTTCTGGTTGACAATTTTGAATGAAGGTAGGTCTGAGACAGCAAAGGATTACACTCAGCTAGCCTAACGGAGACCACAAAATGACGGTAGTAAGTTCTATATACGAAGTGTACGTTGTGTCTCACAGCACCGAAGCATACGGAGATGCTAGATAAATATATGAGGCACTGAAGTTTGTCCAAAAAAAAAAAAAAAGTACTAGATTGATATCAATAGCCACTTAGTACATACATATGTGCATACAAGTCCCACACGCACCCTCAAAAACTTTTAGTTCCCCGCCCCTAAACACCACCAAGAAAAGCAAGGAAAGCACTAAATCGGCGCTGATCTGGATCTGATCCGATCGTCAGAAACAAACTACCATATGTACAAGAACCTGGATCTGGACTAGACATCCGACTCGGTCTACCTCTTCGTTTATCTCTGCCATGCAACCTTTCTGCTCTTCGTTGTTGTTCTACCGCATCTATGGCATCGTAGATTTAGGTTCCCTCGTGTCGGAGAGAAAGATCGGCGGTCTACAACGGCCGGCCACCAATGAAGTCACTCCACGGCCTGACTTCACTCGGGATACCATCCTTCCTCGGCAGTTTCTCGCTCATGCATTGTGCGAAGAGCACCGCAGTCTGTGTGATGTCACCTATTAGCATTATCCCTCAGCCATCTTCAATCATGGGCAAACTCACCTTTGGCTCCATAAAGAGTGGAACACCAAAGTCGACGGCATTCCTCCTCATAACGTAATCCTCATCGATCAAGCTAGCAGCCCTGAACTTAGCCAAATTGAACACACCGCGGATGTCGTATTTCTGGAACACTTCGCGGAGAGCGCGCTTGTCTTCCTTGGGGAACTCGATGACTTCAACACTGACGCCCTCGGCTTTGGATTCTAGAAGTTGTTTGACGGCCTTGTTGGCAGCGAAGAACTTGTAGCCGAGAGGATGCACATAGTTAGCTATTTGAACGAGTGCGTCTGATGATGTGTCACCGCCGAAGAGGAGGCCTTCGCCCGGTTGTGGAAGGCGGAAGTTCATCGTCGATTGCATCGAGGCCCAGTAGGCTTCGACGAGATCTTTCCCAAAGCAAGCCATTTCGCCCGTAGATGCCATTTCGACACCAAGGTATGGGTCGGCGCCTGCTAACCTGGTCCATGAAAATTGTGGGACTTTAGTTGCCAGGTAGTTCCTCTCGACTGCCATCAGATCCACTGGCTCAGGGACTTCGCGACCGACGAGAGCCTTGGTCGCAACGTCGATGAAGTTTGTACCGAGAACTTTGCTGACGAAGGGGAACGAGCGGGACGCGCGAAGGTTGCATTCAATGACCTTCAACAGTGGCTCGCCGCCTTCGGGATGCTTCTCTTTGATGATCTGCATGTTGAAGGGACCGGTGATGCTCCAGGCCTTTGCGACCTTCTGGGCGATCTCCTTGACTCTCTCCTTGATGCTGTCGTTGAGGTTCACTGGTGGCAGGACGAGCGTGGCATCCCCAGAGTGTACGCCAGCATTTTCGACATGCTCGCTAATAGCGTGGACTAGAAGGTTACCGTTTTCAGCGACCGCATCGCAGTCGATCTCCTGTGCTCCGTCAATGTATTGGGTGATGACTACCGGATGGTCGGGGGAAACGTCCGCCGCGGCAAGAAGCTTCTCCTTGAGTTCGTCTTCGCTTCGAATAACGGTCATGGCAGCGCCGGAGAGAACGTACGAAGGCCGAACAAGGACAGGATATCCAACAGATTTTGCAAACTTCTGCGCATCCTCAAAGGAGGTAAGTTCCTTCCAGGCAGGCTGATCGACGCCGATGGAGTCAAGAATCTGAGAAAACTTGTGGCGATCCTCTGCCTTGTCGATGTCATGGGGATCGGTTCCGAGCACCTTGGCCTTGCCAGATTCTTGTAGTTTGAGGGCAATGTTCTGAGGAAGTTGGCCTCCGACTGACACCACAACTCCGCTAGCTGATTCCAATTCGTATATATCCATGACTCGCTCATAGCTCAACTCCTCAAAGTAAAGCTTATCGGCGACGTCGAAATCGGTGGAGTATGTTTCTGGATTGTAGTTGATCATGACAGTCTTCTTTCCAAGCTTACCAAGAGACAGCGTAGCATTGACAGCACACCAATCAAACTCCACAGAGCTTCCGATGCGGTATACGCCACTTCCAAGAACAATAGTACCATGGTCATCGAAGGTGACATCGTGGGAGGAGGCGTTATAAGTCGTGTACAGGTAGTTGGTGTCAGCGGGGAACTCTGCCGCAAGAGTATCAATCTTTTTGACCCACGGCCTGATTCCGAAGCCCTTTCTGCGTGCCCGGACTTCGTCTTCGGTGCTGTTGACCGCTTTCGCAATCTGCTTATCAGAGAAACCTAGCTTCTTTGCCTTCAATATCATTTCTTTCTTGAGGCCAAAGAGGCTGCCAATATCCTGAAGCTCGTGTGTGCAGTCAACAATGTTTTGAAGCTTGTATAGAAACCACTTGTCGATTTTAGTCAGATGATGTACTTTATCAACTGAGTAGCCCTCGTGGAACATAGCTTGGCCAACAGCGAGCCACCGGCGATCCGTAGGATTTTGGAGAACCTCGTCAAGGTCTTCGAATTCAGCTCCTTGGAAACCTAAGAACTTAGGGTCAACTTGTCGGCAAGCCTTCTGGAAAGATTCTTCGAAGGTGCGTCCAATGGCCATAACCTCGCCGACAGACTTCATAGAGCTGCCAATGTCTCTCTTGACATTCTGGAATTTGGCCAGATCCCATCGAGGCATTTTGGTGACAATGTAGTCTAAGCTTGGCTCGAAATTGGCAGTTGTAGTCTTGGTGACAGCATTTGGCAGTTCCGGTAAGGTGTGTCCGAGGCCGATCTTTGCGGCAGTGTATGCCAGTGGGTATCCGGTGGCTTTCGAGGCCAAAGCAGAGGACCGAGACAAACGAGCATTGACTTCAATGACCCTGTAATCTAATCCATCGGGTTGAAGCGCGTATTGAACGTTGCACTCTCCGACAACACCCAAGTGGCGAACAATCTTGATGGAGGCAGAACGGAGCATGTGGTATTCCTCATCGCTAAATGTTTGACTTGGAGATACCACAATACTATCGCCGGTATGTACTCCGAGGGGATCAAAGTTCTCCATGTTGCAAACCGTGATACAATTGTCGCTTGCATCGCGCACAACCTCGTACTCTGCCTCCTTCCAGCCTTTCAGCGACTTCTCGACAAGGATCTGTGGGGACAGGGTGAGAGATCTGGCAGAGAGATTCCTGAGCTCTTCCGCATTGTTTGCGAAACCCGATCCTAACCCACCCAAGGCGTACGCAGCACGGACGATAATAGGATATCCAACTTTCTCGGCGGCATCCAGAGCTTCATCGATAGAGGAAACCGCAATAGACTTGGCGATTGGAATGTCGATCTCGTCGAGCGCTCGTGCGAACAGATCACGATCCTCGCTGGTCTCTAAAGTTTTAATGCTCGTTCCAAGAACCTTGACGCCATACTTCTCAAAGATGCCCTTCTTGTTCATGTTCACGCCCAAGTTCAACGCAGTTTGACCACCGAAACTGAGGAAGATGCCATCGGGCTTCTCTTTCTGGATCACATATTCGACGTATTCAGGAGTAACAGGGAGGTAGTAGATTTCGTCGGCGAGCACGTGCGACGTCTGAATGGTTGCGATATTTGGATTGATGAGAACTGAACGAACACCAGCCTCCTTCAGAGCTTTCAGAGCTTGCGACCCTGGCGATGAAGTTAGAAATGAGCTCCACCATAGCAGAAAGCATGCCAATTGATATGCTCGTACCAGAGTAGTCGAACTCTCCAGCCTGACCAATGCTCAGACCACCAGAGCCAATGACCAAGACCTTCTTCACATCTACCAAATTCTGAGCTCCAGCAATTACACCGCTATTGATGTATGCCTGAGCATTAGGCGCGGTTTGGCTCTGGTCCCAGGTCGCCGAGAGCTTGGAGAAGGCTCGTAGCTGTCGGTAGGGCATAGGTGACTCATGGTTGGTTCGAACAGGTAGAAAGCGTGTCGAAGTTCGAGAAGTAAAGGTCCTAGCTGAGACCGAGGGAGTTGACAAACGACATTGTCGCGTGAAAGCTGGTGCGCGACGTGCGAGACGCCCGCAGAGAGCCATATCAAGTGGCCACAGCACGCAGGCGAGAGCTTCGGAGCTCCTTCAGGTGGCAAGGGGACAGCAGGACAGGGGAAGGATCGAGCACACGCGAAAGAAGTCCTACAAGGCCGGGAAGGTCCAATTGAGTCGTACAAAGGCCTTTGCTTGCGATTGAAGACCAGACAAAGCTCTCTTTGATGGTGTGAAGATATATCGCGGGGTGGAAATTTTCTGGAGAGCTGTGATTTGAATGATTCACCAATCAGCTCGCTTCCGATAAGGCTTGCCAGATCTTCTGTGGGCGGTGAGGCTGGCGGACCCTTGTAGCTATTCAAGAGCCAGAACAATGAACGAAGGACAGCAACGGTAACTTGCAAGTTGAGTCCAGAGAAAGCACAGTAGGACCTGTATGAAGAGTAAACATCACGGTCAAGTTAGATTCTAGCAACTCAGGAAGATTTGCCATCTGTACAGCTAGGGCGAATTTTCGCAGGATGAGACCGATGACCGGCGCCGCGAGGTCGAACAATTTTTTTTTCTTTCGAAAACTGCACCATGGTGCATGGAACATTGCATCACCCACGCTTCAAGCCGGGGACGAACTCAACTCAAGTTTTTGCAAAGTCACAAGGCGACGCTAGCCGCTTGCAAAATCCCTCCACTGGCTGCAGATGGCATTCTCAGCATCCAATCAGTGTCTGGTCCAGCATGTGAACAGGTGCACGAGTTCCCGGACCCCCCCCTCTGTGGGCTGCGCAGTCTGTGTGGTGCTTGAGCGAATTGTCAATTCATCCTGCTTTCTTCTGCTTCTCTGCTGCTGTATGGCGAGTCTTGTAGTCTCTTGGGCTTTCGACCGCCTTCGGTTGCTCCCCTCGCAATCGTCCCAAGATGGTGGGTTTCGTCCACATACCTACTTTGTCTTCCCTTGCCTTCTTCTCAGCGTCCCGGTACCTTTGCTCAAAATCTCCAAATTCAGATCCAGTTTTCGCTTCATACACAGTTCCTAGACCCATTCTGAGCATTTCTAGCCCGACGTCCTTCTTCAAAAACCACTTTCGCACAAAGACTTGTGCTACCACTCGGCCGTACTGGTCACGCCTGTAGATGTATGCTCGAACTCGCCGATTGAGTATGTATTCCGAAAGCCAGTCAAGCGCCTCTTTGGAATATGGTTGGGCTTCTCGTCCCCAGTGAGCCAGCTCCGGAGCATCGACGCCGGCAATTCGTATGTGTATCTACGGATTATAAAAATTACTGATTGAAATTTGATGTCGAGCGCACGAAGACCAAAATACATACCGTTTTATTCACTAAAAACTCTCTTGCGGTAGGCACTCTCTTCCATGGTAGCCACCCCCATCCAGCCATCCTTCCTCCAGGTGTGTGGAACAGCCTGAAGTTGTCGGCATCTCCAACGGCTGTAACACGGCCGAACAGACTTCTTCGCCGGAAATAGTCTGGTTTTATATGGTTGACACTTGGAATTCGTCGTAGATATGACTTGTACAAGCGGATTCCGGTAACTGTTGAAACCGTGAAGATGAGAGATGGTATGAGGGTTCGAGGTTCCGTGAACATAGACAACCAATTCATCGTCTTTACTGTCTCCACCCATGAAGTGGGGCTAGTTATTTTCTTATCATCTTCGCCACGCGACCAAGGCCATCGCATCGCTGGACCTGCTGAATGGCGGTGGTTTCGTGAGGTTGTGTGAGCACATGGTTGCTCGTGCCATGGCGCTATTCAGCACTTTCTCCGCTCGCGCGATTCCGCGACTAGATGGCACGTGATCGGCTGGATTCCGCTGCGCTCTACAGGTGTCAGGCCCATTTACGAGGGGCTTGATAATCCTCAACTTAACAAATATCTTTCCGTACGGAGCACAAAATCGCAAGAGTCGATTTGGTTCGCATACACTTGATGTGGCCATTAACCCTCTTTAGATGGATCGATTTATCTTATCTGTATGGCTGATCGAAGAAAGCAGGCTCAATCGAACGAGAAATCAAATAAAAGTTTCAGCTTCTAAACCTTCTGCGGCGTTCGTATGTGTGTATCCCAAACGGTACCCAAGCAGAGTCTTCACGTCTCTTGGACCCGAGCGCCTTTCAGACATGCCAGGGAGGAGCCGCACCACTACCACAGCTTCTTCTGCAGCATCATGAGATCAATGAGATAGCTTGCCATTCAAACCAGTCTATTGTATAAACACGCTAGTGAATGATCGTAATCCATCTAGGTGAGCATTCACTAAGCCCTTTGCCTTCGTGAGGGAGCTTGACGTTTTCTAAAGAGTAGCCCTAACTATCGCCTTGTATGCGAGGTTGACGCGCTGGTCTCGTTCCGCTTCCGCACTTGTGAACAGTGGAGAGTGTCTCCTAATCGCCGGTAGTCATGGTGTCATTGGAGTGATCCTGTAATCCATATTAGCAAACAAAAATCCCATGGCAGACCCTCAAAAAGGCTGTCAAGATCATAATTTATTGAGAATGGAAATGCATGTATTGTTATATACTTACAATATAGATGTTCATAGACGGAGTTCTAGCAGGCCCATGCCTGAAATACTGCAATGCTAGCTGAGAGTTACTGTTCAAGTCACCAATAATCGGTTAGTCACATCTCGGCGAAGGCAAGAGCGGACTACTAGGGTAGCCGTGAGAGGATTCTAATGAGATCTCTAACACTGCCTTTGATATCCTAAGAAGGTTGAGGAAGTGATGTTGAAGTGAAGCAGGTGTATCACCTCGAGTACCCAATCGGGCGGGCATGGGTACGGCACGAGCCGAAAATAACCGTTCGATGAAGCTAGACAGGCACAAAATAACTGCATTACGGTTGCAGCAACTGTAAAGGAGTGTTGGACATAGGTCGGTGAGCCTCAAGTGGTGAGAGAAGGTTGAAAAGCAGGGATGGGACGGACCTCCGGGCTGAAGCGCTCTTCCCGAAAAGGAATGGCACAGAGGCAGAACCTCAATCCTCGAGACAAATTGTATGACCACCACGCCATCAGACTTCGAAGAACGGAATTTCATTTGCTTTTCATATACCCTTCATTTCCTTTCTTTCTTTTCTGATACCCTAACATCTAGGCGAATGGTTCATTGCGACCGTTAGCGTTTGCCTCTCACAATCGGGTGGCTGATGCCGTTCTCTGTGGAGGGCCATCATGTATTCAACACTCGCTGCTTCGACCGACGACGATGCGCTCGTTGGGAGTCCACTCCCAAGCCCATTCCTCTTCAACCAAAACCACGATGAACTTTTATCGATTTCGATGTCAAACGAAAGCGCGCATATGAAGCCTCACGGTCTTACTGGTGTTCCCATGTCTGGGCTTAATAATCTCATCACTGGGCAATACAGTGAATCGACTCCATCGTCAACTCACAATGGCGATGTGCATGACTTTTCTGAACCTAATGGTAGCCATATGAGCGGCAGAGAGGACCGGGATGGCTCCAACTCGAGCGGGTTGGTAAATGGGCACGAGCGTAGTCACGCTCTTTCCCCCTTGCACTATCCTCACGGGCCTCAACGTTCCCAATTCAACGACGCTGCCGCTGAGGCGAAACTATATGTACCCGTGAAACTAGATGGCCACAAATTGGTATCTCTGGCGGCCAATGGAACTGTTACTGCAAGACCGGCAGCTTCTTCACCGCAAAATAAAGAAGCAATTCTCAACAACAATCCTATGGCGAAATCTTCGGGACCTTTTGGCCGAGACCTGAAACTTTCTTCCACACCGGAATTATCGCAATCCCAAGAGCATGCTGGCAGGCATCGCTCGGCAGGCACCAGTTCAGTCAGAGGAAAAGTTAGAGAATTTAGAGCGAGCTCATCAATACCCGCTGCGCTGTCATGGGAAGAATTTGCGAGACAATCCATATTAGCAGCTGAGAGCTCACGTCTCAACCCCTTTTCTCTGCACCCGGAAGAATACAAAATGCTGAGGGATCACATTACCCACGCACAGGTTACGATCTACCTAAACATTAGGAACGGAATCCTCAGACTCTGGACGCGAAACCCTCTTGTACACGTTACAATAGAAGAGGCGGTGGGATGCGCTCGAGAGAAGCGTTATTTCAGCCTCGCAAAAGTGGCATATCACTGGCTAATGAGAAATGGCTATATTAATTTTGGATGCGTCGAAGTTTCGAACACAGCAGGTCCCATTCCCCGTGTGAAAGCCAAAGGCGGGCCTCGACGAACAGTGCTCGTCTTAGGTGCTGGTATGTCAGGACTCGGATGCGCGAGACACCTCGAGGGGCTATTCGCACAACTGGGTGGTCAGTGGACAGAACAGGGCGAGCGGCCACCAAAAGTTATTGTTCTCGAAGCACGGCCCCGCGTCGGTGGAAGAGTGTATTCTCATCCGTTGCGCAATCAATCCCAATCCACCATTCCGGCAGGACACCGAAATACTGCTGAAATGGGCGCGCAGATTGTCACTGGCTACGAGCACGGTAATCCTATGAATGCGATAGTTCGAGGCCAACTCGGCATCCCTTATCACGGCCTACGCGATAACACGATACTCTATGATCATGACGGGTCAAAGGTTGAGCGCAGTCAGGACATACTGGTAGAGAAGCTATACAACGATATTCTAGAGCGCGCTAGTGTATATCGGCATAAATCTGCTACTTTTCGGGTTGTTGAAGGAGACCGTAACCTGATATTGTTCGGACGTGATCCGAGTGACACTGGAGGGGCAACTATAGCGACATTGGAGAACTCCAACACCCCATTACCTGCCAGCGCCAGTACCACTGCCTCTACTACGGAGGAAAAGCCTTCAACAGGAGTTGAGAAACTAGCTGGACGGGCTTACCAGCTCTCTGCTGGGTTCAATCCTAATATTCCTGCAGCAGAGGCCGTCACTACGATGGGGTGGCAGCTTCGATCTGGCGCTTCCAATTCCCAGTCTTTGCAATTAGACACAATTGCGAAATCATCCCCGTATCCCACCTTAGGCGAAACCATGGATAATGGCATCAGCCAGTACCAGGCGATCCTTGATCTCAAACCGAAAGACCTGCGCCTCCTGAATTGGCACCACGCAAATCTCGAGTACGCGAACGCAGTGAGCGTTAACCAATTGAGTCTCAGCGGGTGGGATCAAGATATCGGTAATGAGTTTGAAGGGGAACACTCAGAAATCATTGGAGGCTACCAACAAGTACCGCGTGGGCTTTGGCAGTGCCCTGGTAAGCTAGATGTTCACTTCAAATCAGTTGTCAAATCCATCCGTTACAACCCTCAAGACAATAGTAAAGGGAAGGCTGTGAAAGTCGAATGCACCAACGGGGAAGTATTCGAGGCCGACCAGATTGTAATAACGACGCCACTCGGCGTTCTCAAATCAGGATCTATCAGATTTGAACCTCCACTCCCCGAATGGAAGCAAGGGGTTATTGAGCGCATGGGATTTGGTCTACTAAACAAAGTTAGTACAACACATACTACCCTCATTATGTCTTTGCTAATGCCCTCCTTAGGTCATCCTTGTTTACGAGGAAGCATTCTGGGAGCCCGACCGTGACATGTTTGGGTTATTGAATGAAGCAGAACATCAAATGAGTCTCGATCAGAGCGACTATGCGACACGGAGAGGCCGTTTCTACCTTTTCTGGAATTGCATTAAGACGAGTGGTCGGCCGATGCTGGTGGCTCTTATGGCGGGAGAAGCAGCTCACTTTGCTGAAGCAACTCCAGATGGTCAACTGATCAAGGAGGTCACAGGCCGGCTGGCCACGATGTTCGCGCCTAACCCAGTCCCTCTTCCCTCAGAAACAATTGTCACTCGATGGAAGAAAGATCCTTTCGCGTGTGGAAGCTATTCCTATGTTGGGGCAAAGACACAGGCGGGTGACTACGATGTCATGGCGAGGCCGCACGGCCCTCTACACTTTGCTGGCGAAGCCACGTGCGGCACACATCCTGCAACGGTTCATGGCGCCTACCTGTCGGGTCTCCGCGCCGCTGCAGAAGTCGTAGAGTCTATGATTGGACCCATCAAAATCCCGAGCCCACTTGTAGAGAAACGGATTAAACTTGAGCTCTCGATAACCCCAGTCATCATGGAGTCAAAACGCAAACTCGGGCCAGAAATCAGTCAATTAGACAGTCGAACTGCAGAACAACTCCGTGAGGAAGATTATGAAGCATCCATCATTGGCGCAATCCTCAACGAAATTGGTGAGCGTCCGATCAAACCTGGCCGGGCTGGGGTGAACCCTTTCTTGCTGTATACGAAGGACAACTGGTACAAGTGCAAGGCCGATTGCGATGCCGCACGCAAAGTGACAACTGGAGATGCTAACGCGAAAGCCTCCAAGACGGAGATCCGAGCAGCACTTGGACTCATGTGGCGGACTGCAAGCCCAGACATCAAGAAGCCGTACCTGGACCAGACACAGAACGCTAGGGACGGCGCTGCAGCAAATGCAGCCAACTTTAAAGAACGTGTAGCTACCTGGGATCGTGAAGCAACACGCATTCGTCAAGAATACATCCAGACCCACCCACCCCCAAATGGGAATGAAAACATGATGAACAGCCGCACGGCAATCGAATTAGGGACTGGGAAACGGCTTCGCCGATTAGGAGCGTAATACGTTAGACTCCATCTGCATTCTCATACTACGTCTTTCTATGCATAGCCCGGCGTGGCGTCAGCATTTGCGGCGGCGTTCGGGCAGTCACATCTTTTCTCTCTTATACTAGTTACATGTTCTACAAACGTGTTTGAGCAGTATGTTTGCCCAACCGGCCCATGTCCGGGTGAATAGGCTCGGACCACCGGTGGTTAATGTGCATTATATGGATTGCATTGCTATTTGCATGGGACCGCAGCGCGATAGTTGAGCACGGCGAGCTCTGGTGGGATAGACACCACTTAGTTACAGGTACGGCATGGCTCTGAGTTGTACTGTCCAGTACACTGCACTGTCAGACTTTAGTGTACGGAGAAGGTAACTAGACATGAAATACGTTGTGTTGTGAAGGCGGAACGGTTAAATGTTTCTCTTGTCTTAGTTTGTGGTCACACATAATGCTATATAGAAAACACTGGACGCCTCGCCAGGCTCACAAGCAGCCAACAGCGCACACGCATGGCAATCACAAGTCATGCCGTTCTTGGGCAAACGTGCAAGACGGCGCCACCTTGCTTGTGGTCTCTGCTAGCTCTCGATTCTCGAAGCTAGGCGTCGAGCGAGCTGCATGAATGGTGGGTATTTAGCCACCAAGCGCAACGCTCCAGGGACGCCCGCCCGCTTGAGTCGTTGCCACCGAGGTGTTGGAGGAGAGTCCCCGCAAGGAGGGTTGCAGTTGCAGAGTCCCTCACGACGGGTTCTGGGGCGATGAAGTGGGGAGTGGGGACCAAGAGTCGTTCTGGCGGATGTCGTGCGTGATGGGCTGGGGAAAAAGACCCCAGCGGTTGCTCTTCCCTCGTGGCGGGGCCCTGTCAATAGACGCTGGACTGGCAGTGATTGGCTTCCGCAATCCAGGTCGCGGAAACGCTGTTCGGGCTTCGGCGCAGCCTCGCTCGTTCGCGCAGGTGAAGGTCGCAACGCCTGCGCCGCGTATTATTAGCAGCACCACCAAGCCTCTGGCCTCCTCCTCCTCCTCCTCCGTTTCCAGCCTTTCTCCGTCCGCTCTGTCACCACTCAAGTCACGTCCCCATGCTGGACACCGCCATATCGTACCATCTGGGGAACCACCCTGCGCAGGGCGTCGCTACGTAAGGACGAATGCGCCTGTGCCCGACACCTCTATACCTATCTCTCCACCCCCACTGCAGCGTTCGTCCCCCCAGCTGCAGACGGCCATCATGACCTCCTTCTTTGGCAGGTTCAAGGGTACTGTAAGTAGATCTATGCGCCATGGCCGCGCCGCGCTGTCTTGCAATGCCTGATTCTAATTGCTGAGCAGAGTCCCGCGAGCCCAGCTTCGAGTAACACCCCGGCGAAGAAAGATCCCCACCTTCCGCAACCCACACCTCTAGAGAAGCTCCTTGCCGATGCTGGCCCTCTACGCGGCGATGGAAGCGACAAGTTCTTTGGATTCGAAAATGTATTTCGCCCTATGCCTCTCATCTTTCTTTTGGAGAGTCCGCTTGCTGACCGCGCCAAATCCCGCAGTTTGGGAGCACATGGTAATTGAGTCTCCTCACCCCATATTGCGCCGATTAAGTGCTTACGCAATCGTTCCAGTTACTGCAATTCAATAATCCAATGCCTTTACTACTCGGTACCGTTCCGAGAACAAGTCATAAACTTTCCTTCCAGATCGCCACCAGAAGTTCTCGAGAGACCAGCACAGGGGCCTCTACCGCGGCTAAACACCGATTTGTCCCCCCTCGCGAATAGTCAAAATGCAGCGCTTTCCCCCAAAGGGAGGAATTCCATATCGAGTCCAAGCACGGCATCGCCGAGGAAACCCGTCACGACCCCAGGCGCGGTTAATAACCCGCAAGGGATGAAGCCCGAGGATAACAAGGACTCACCAGAATACAAGAAGAAAATGGCTATGGCGGCAGGGCCAGTCCTAACCATGGACTATGAGAACTCGAAAGCATATGGCATGTCGGAGTCTCTCTTTACATCGCTTAAGGACATCTTCGAGGCAGTAATCGCGCATCGGTCACGCATGGGCGTAGTGAGCCCCAACAAATTTCTTGAAATTCTGCGGAGGGAGAATGAGATGTTCAGGACTCCAATGCACCAGGATGCACACGAATTTCTGAATCTACTGCTAAACGAAGTAATGGAGAACGTAGAGCAGTTTTCGAGGCAACGAATAACAGAGGTTGGCGATTCGGACTCGAAATCTGACTCAAATGCCCTTTCCGTCGCATCGACACAGACAGCTTCCGTCCCAGATCGTACTTCGGTGCCATCACTAAACAATACTGGTTGGGTACACGAACTCTTCGAGGGCACGCTGACGTCAGAAACAAGATGTCTCACATGTGAGAACACCTCACAACGAGATGAAGCATTTTTGGACCTGTCGGTAGACCTAGACCAGCATTCTTCGGTGACAAGCTGTCTGAGGAAGTTCTCCGAGGAGGAGATGCTTTGCGAACGCAACAAATTCCACTGCGACAACTGCGGGGGCCTACAAGAGGCAGAAAAGAGAATGAAGATCAAGAGACTACCGAGGATCTTGGCACTTCACCTAAAGAGGTTCAAGTACACTGAGGATTTACAGCGGCTACAAAAATTATTCCACAGAGTCGTATATCCCTACTATCTCCGACTATTCAACACTACCGACGACGCTGAAGACCCGGACAGGCTCTACGAGCTGTATGCGGTCGTTGTTCATATTGGTGGCGGACCGTATCATGGACACTATGTCTCTATCATTAAGACGCAGGATCGAGGCTGGCTGTTGTTCGATGACGAAATGGTCGAGCCCGTCGATAAAGCCTATGTCCGAAACTTCTTTGGGGGTGAGAACGCTCTCGCATGCGCCTACGTCCTTTTCTATCAGGAAACAACATTAGAGGCTATGCAGAAAGAGCAGGAAGCCGAGGGTCTAGCTGCTGCTAAACATGCTACCGAACTTCACCAGGAGCCGCTCTCCGCTGCAATTCCCAAGCAGAATGGCGTTGCTAATGGCCATCCGCTTCAGCATGCCACTACCCCAGTTGTGGAGAGCGAGGATCAGTTTGTGAGCTTGGGTCACGCTGCGACAGCACCTCCAATACCGCACGACCCACATAATCCACCAGAGAATATTGTGACGAGTATACCGATTCTGAGTCCGAAGAAGAGCAACCTCCAATCGAAGAAAGAGAAAGCAGAGAAGGCAAAAGAAGAGAAGGAGAAAAAGGCACAAGAAAAGGAACTCGAAAAGCAAGCGAAACAAAAGCGGAAAGAAATGGAACTTAAACGTAGAGAGAACTACAAGAAGCAAGAGGAAGACCTTCGAGCTGCGTTAGCCGCAAGCAAACTATCAGCGAAAAATGAGGCAGATCTACGCCGAAGTCACACCCAAGTCGATGGGAGCGAAAATTTGAGCGAAAAGGAACCACATGTGCAAGAGAAGGAGAAGGAAAATGGGTTCACCAGTAAAGGTGGTCTGAGCCGCTTCCGACACAGCAGTATGAGCATCCGCCACAAACCCAAATTTTGGTCTCACAGAGACAAGCATGAATCAGAGGCCAAGACAGACACGGAGCATGTAGGCCCACAGACGCCAGGCGTGGAGACAGGTAGTCAGGACGTGACACCGAATGCAACACCGGACAAACCTGAGAAAGAGAAGTCAAAGAATCGCTTTAGCTTAGGGAGGAAGAAATCAACCTTCCATCTCTAGACACGACGCCTTTTCTCATTATGAAGCTGCAGGTCTCTGGGCTCTTCGAATTCTGTTTGTGGAAATAATCATATTTCTCATCACTGGATATTTGTATATTTCAAACTAGGTACGAGGCTCTCTGTGCATACTTCTCCCTTCCTAAATCCAGAGCCATGAAGGTTCTTATGTATAACAAGATTTTTCGTAAATTGGAGGTTCGGCATGTCCTTTATAGGGATGACGAGATGTGATGCTTAGCATGGCATAAGCGAGCATGGTAGCTCCAAGAGGAGCTTGCTTCTTGCTGGTGGATGAAGAAGTGTTCATTTGTTCATAGCTAATGAATTGAGAGGCGTGAGGGCGCGCAATCTAAGGACGACTCGTCACTGCGAGGAGTAAAGTGAAGAATATTATGTTAGGATAACCCTCGACGATTATTGATAGGCGAGACGCGTCTATACAGTGTGTGTTCTTTTGCCCCAGTAGGAAGCGTGTTGGGTGTAACGCAGTCCTAGCAATCTCCAGCCATTTCGTGATGATGGCTGCAGTAGCAACACTTCATTTGTTCGTGGAACTCCAGGAAGCGTCCGCCCTATTCTATGCCTCCCGTCACCATTCCGCGAACTAAATGCCACCGTATCACACCTCCCTGTACCCCAGTCTCCCCTTCCTGGTATGTACATAATTCCTAACGCCCAGTCACCGCACTCACCCGAGAATCAATTCGTAGAGGATAATGACTGTATTGATGAACATAAGAGGTACTGCACGTTTCCGTTAACACAATCCTTCTTGGCTCACTATGAGAGACAACGTACTTCTCATTAGCGTCCGAACCGACGAAACGAGGTTTACAAGCCGTGCTTTTACGCTGGCGTCGTCGCGCGCACCGCCGAAGCCAGGGTCAGCAGACGACGTCCAGCCGACTAGCAGCAGAATTAGTCTACCTAGTATGTAGCGGGATGGTCTAACGGGAGAGAAGGCGTACTGCGTGCGAGGAAGCGGTCTTCGGAGAGGATGGCGATGCCGTTGATGAGGAGGACTGCGACTGCTGGGGGTGAGCAATGGCACTTTTCAGTTTCGAGAGGGATATGAAGAACCATATATGAGACCACCGAGGCCGAAGAGCACCATGGTGAGCGCGGCGGTTGTACGCTTTTCTTCGGTGGAGCGCGGAGAAGTGTTTCGTGGAGTTGCCTGCCAGGTCAACAGATGCCAGATGTGGCTTCTGGCCTTCCGATTCCGACGCCAAGACCCAGGCATCTGGTGCGCTCACGTGACTTGATTCACACCCCAAGATACCTGGAGACTGCATCTTGTCACCTCATGTGGAACATAGCAGATGGGCTCTAAACTACCCCAGTCATATTCCATGTTACAAGAGTAGGCGAAGCGATGGAGTACAAGGATACTATCTCTGTTTGTATATGTACAACTAATCCGTACTAAGCAAACCATTCAACCCTGAAGGATTTCATAAGTCTGTCAGAGTACTTCACAGCTTCCTTAATCGGTTTCGCGATCATGGGTTCTTGAAGCACCTTTGGACAGGGGTCTGCACATCGTACCTTCCCTCAGCCATTCAGACGCCAATATTTTATCCAAAGCTTCGCGGCTCGTCTTTCGTTCGCAATTCTCTTTCTTCGGAAATCCTGCACGTCAAGGGATGCTGCGCACTGTGATATAGCACAGAGCGTCTTTCAGAAATCGCGGAGTGATCGACACGATCAACCAGGGTCCTCACGACGTTTGAAAAGATCCCCATTCACAGCATTTGACTTTCCCGTTGCTCGATTATTCCAATTGCGGGACTCGGCGCTAGAACCGGCGCCGGTCGCTGGCTGTCCGCAAGCCTAGAGCGACTTTCTTTCATGCACCATTCCTTGTCCATTAGCGACGTCATATGCGAATTGAAGTAGTAGCTGTGTTCTGGAACCCGCACGTTTTCGGCTCCTAGCTCCCTCCAGTCGCTCAACATTCTCCAACTTCTTTGTACTTCCTCACAGTCCACCTGTCTTTATTTTCTCTACACATACTGGGGCTTTTTTCTTTTTTGCTTTCAAGTTCCGCAAAGAGCCATAGCAGCTCCTAATATACTCGCTTAAGAATTGGGCTCCGAACCTTGCCATCCACACCAGTGTTCTAGACTTCCTGGACATCCCTACGTACCTAGGCCACCAAAACAGCTCTTTAAACACTCCTCCATACTCAAGAGAGCCTTTTCGTCGCGTCGACAAACTTTACTTTCTTTCAACTTTGTGGTTGAATTGGAGAGGCCTGGGGACTCCCATGTTCTGGCTTTCGCGACTATTCTTTGGTTAGTAGCTGGATGGCGGGCCCTCTCGGAACGCCGTAAGGAACACGCACAACACGTCTATTGACCGGGAGATTCTCCCGGTATCGGCTTTTCTGGATGGCGGAAACAACATTTCCATCAAGGCCTAGTGGCAAGCTCAATTTACCCTCTCCGTTAAACACGATGACTGGTGGTGATGCTGGAGTGGCTGGGTACTTTAACTTGTGTGAAAGAGGCGTGCAATCGCCAAGCTCTGCAAACAGCAACGACCCTCTGCCCATACAGCTACCGTCATCGCCATCAAATACCATGGCCGCTCTCACCGCACTGCAGTATCTGCCCATTCCGCTGTTGGTATTGTCCTCTCTCAAGACCGTAGTTCTCGCCAATGAAGCTATGGGAAGACTACTGGGTATCGACTTTGAAAAGACTGTCAGAGACGGAATGTTAATAAAAGAAATCCTACAGGGTAAATCTATGGGTGAGCTAGGCATTGATATCCTTCAGAATGGCTCACCGATTCTTGTGCCGTGGGAGGTAAGTCATGTACAGCTATGCTTCTTGCTATTTCGTCACTAAATATGCTACAGGACTTCTTAGATTCCATCCTGGAGGACTCATCAGTAGATACGGACACTGACGAAGACAACGACAACGACAACGATGGGCTATCTGCATGCGAGAGCGGGGGCAGCACGCCCACCCCGGCACCTCCCATCAACGATCCTCTTATCGCCCACTCCAAGTCATTGTTGCCTCAATTGAGTAGCTCCAACCTGGCCAGAACCACCGTGCACGATGTCGCAGTTGACGTGGTCATTGCTCCTCTGCGTGGGGTTACAGGCGAATGGCCCTGTCCAGATAAATCTACACTAGTACACAATGCGATGCAAGCCAACCTGATCGTCTCGGTGTGGTACATTGAGGACACCCAATACTACACGTTAACATTTACCAGTGCCAGCCCAGCTAACACATCAATAACCTCCCGCCCCTCGAGCCGAGTGGTTACAAGGACGAGTACTGGTTTACATTTGAACAAATCCCGCAGTTCAGGTTCAAGTTCCTCTTCCTCCGGGCAACGCTCGGGCAAATCATCTAATCCAAACTCCAAAACCGTGACGCCAACCTTCCAAACCCCGGATTTCCCTCCGCGTGGCCCACCCTTGAGGAATACAAATGACATATCATCCAATGCTTCAATATTCCAAAAGGCAACTCAGATGAAAGATGCAATTCTAAATTCGATAAACCTTCCAGCATATGGTTAGTTTAGTCTCAAACACAACACTTTTCTAGCTAACTTTAGTGGTAGCAATGTGGAAAGATGAAAGTTTTGGAATCCCCAATAAAGCCTTACTCCGACTGATGCCAAAAAACGGGAAGTATTCTCCCGGTGACCAGCGAGCATTTCTATCACAATACAGCCTCTACACTGAGGATTTTAAACGCGAGCTTACATTAGACGAGTTTCCAATCATCGAGCTTTGCCGTAGTAGGCAACGATTTGATGGCCGACGTATTGGAATGCGTAATCCGAATTCAGGGAACCGGATAGTTTATGACGTTACAGGCGAACCTGTTCTACACGATGAGAGTGGAGAATTCTTGGGCGGGATAGTAATTTTTAAAGATGTCACCGAATACACCAAAAGGATTGCGGCGCAAATCGAAGAGAACGAAAGACAATTCGAGTACATTGCAAATTTCATGCCGGTCATGGTATGGACCACCACACCAGATGGGATGCATGACTGGTTTAGCCAGAGGTGGTATGACTACACCGGCCTTACGGTTGAAGAGTCCCTTGGAGAGGGATGGAGGTTACCTTTCCACCCAGAGGACATGCCGGCGACCGCTAAGAGATGGCTACACTCACTGGAGACTGGCGATGAGTACAACACCGAGTATCGGTGTCGGAGGCACGACGGAGAGTGGCGCTGGATGCTGGGTCGAGCAGTACCCTTTGTTGACGATGATGGCCATATCATCAAATGGTTCGGAACTTGTACTGACATCCACGACTTAGTTGAGGCCCGCCAGGAAGCAAGGCAGACTAGGGCACAGCTTCTTCGCGTTATTGAGCATGCTCGGGTCACGCTTTGGGCTGTAAACAAAGACAGCGAGTTGATACTCCTGGAGGGTGACCTATCGTGGCGCGACGTTGAAGGTGTACCAACAATAGAACGTGACATATACGAATCATTTGGAAAGAAAGAGTCAAGAGAATTGGAGCGATGGCACGACCCAATACAAGAGATTCTACAGGGCCATGCGCACGATGAGATTGTTGAAAAATACATTGACGGTGCCCGTTGCTATCGCACCCGCCTTGTTCCATTATGGAGCACCTCCCGAGTTGGGGGGGTAGAGGGAGAGTCTTACATTGATGGCGTTATAGGTGTGTCAATGGATGTCACTGAGCTCCGTTGCCGTGAATTGCAATTAAGGGAACAAGAGAAAGAGAACTCGAGACTATTGGCGAATGCGGTGGCAGCGAAGGAGGCCTCCAGGATGAAATCACAGTTTCTGGCAAACATGTCTCACGAAATCCGTACCCCTATCGCCGGAGTCATTGGCATGAGTGAGCTTCTCCTGGATATGAACCTGAGCGACGAGCAAAAAGAATGTGCCGAGAACATTCAACGATCAGCAAACGGCCTCCTTGCTGTGATCAACGATATTCTAGACTTCTCGAAAGTGGAGAGTGGGCGATTGGATGTTGAAGAAGTGCAATTCAGCTTGTCGGTGGTGTTACGAGATGTCAACAAGATGATGTCCTTCGCAGCCCAAAGAAAGAACATTGCCTACAAAAGTCACATCCAACCAGAAGTAGAGCGAGACCTGAGAGTCATGGGTGATCCAGGAAGACTACGACAAATATTGACCAATGTTTTAACCAACAGCATCAAGTTCACTTCTGAAGGGCATGTCCAGCTATTTGTATCCATTACCAGAGAGACCCAGGAGACCGTAACGGTGCATTTCGTAGTTGAGGATACTGGTATTGGGATTGAAGAGGATGTCAGGAAGCGTTTATTTCAGCCGTTTTCTCAAGCGGATTCTTCCACTGCTCGTAGATTTGGTGGAACGGGCCTAGGTCTAACGATCAGTAAAAACGTAAGTCGAAATCTCTCACTCGTATATTACGTACCGACCTACCGTCCTCGTAGCGGTCAATTCGATTCCGGCAGGGTCTCGCAGATCTCTTCCCCTAGTTAAATGTCCCGTAGAAGATGCTGTTGGACTGACTGATAGTAGCTTGTGGAACTGATGCGAGGTGACATCGGACTTGAATCGAACCTCGGTCAAGGAACAAAAGCTACATTTTGGATTCCCTTCAACAAAGCTCCGTACCAGGACGATGGTTCACCGTTGATCGATCTGGCGTCGATTCCTGATCGACTTCAGTCTGACGTGTCGGTCTCATGCGGAAGTTCCGAAGATCATGCAACAGCATCTCAAACTCCAAAACTGTATAATGGAAGCCATAGAAAACCTTACGGATGGGGCAACTCAGAAGCATCGCAGCAGATTTCGATGTCGCCGCTCGTCAACCGAAGCATTCCAGACCATCTAATAACCCTATCAGAGAATGAGAGGCAGAAGATTCACATCTTAGTGGTAGAAGACAAGTACGATTAACCCTCCCCAAGCCTTCATTCCACACTGCCCCTTTTCTCAACCTACGTGCCGCCTTGCTAATTTCGCTGTTACAGTCAGATCAATCAACAGATTGCTCTCAAGACGATTAAGAAATTGCATTTCTCAGTCAATGCTGTTTGGAACGGCCAGGAGGCGCTGGACTATTTGCTAAAGGAACCGTCTCCAGAGCATCCCCGTCCCCATATTATCCTAATGGATGTTCAGGTATATGGACACTTTGTGTTCGCATAGCGCGGGTGCTGATAACTGCTTCTCAGATGCCTATACGTGACGGTTATAGTGCGACTCACGCCATCCGCACCGAAGCCCCTTTTAAAGACATTCCTGATGTTCGGCATGTCCCAATCGTGGCCATGACTGCATCTGCAATACAGGGGGATAAGGAGAAGTGCCAACAAGCTGGGATGGATGTGAGTACACGGGTGTCCGCTTGGACCCCTACTGCTGCTAACTCTAAACCACTGCAGGATTATTTGGCTAAGCCAGTCAAGGCGAAACTTTTGGAAAAGATGTTAGTACGATGGGCACTTGAGGGTAGGAAAAAGCTAGCCAAGATGCCCATTTCCAGAACTGTTGAAGATCATCAACCCGCGTCCACTCCAACGAAGGACAAGCCAAACACACCCGCCCGACCTAGCAACGATCAACAACAGATATTTCAGCACCCTACCGCACCTGAAACGGTGGCGCAATATCCAGCGCTCACGGCTGATCTTGATCGCCTTCACTTTGAGAGCAATGCCGCCTTGGCCAAAACCGAAGAAACGGACGGCGACCGGGCTTTGCGACGTATCGAAGCCGAAGAAATGGCATCCAACCTTAGAGATGATAAACTCCTCTCTTGGGCTGGGCCTCCACGAATACACCGCCATCATAATTATCAAGGGGCGGGGGGCCCGACCCATGAGCTGACACAGGAGAACATGCAGAAATTCACGCACGAACGGGAGGGAGAGCCCACCCACCCTCGGAGAGCGCGTGAGCATGATGCCAACTCAAGTGTAGCCATGGAGCCCCGTAGTCGGAGCGAAAGCAGAGCCAGGGATTCGCCATCCTTGAGACCTTCGCTGTCCGATGTCCGTCTTCGCGAAAGTGAGAGAACGGTTACGCCGCGGATAATGAAAAGAGACAAATGAGACACAATACCCTCTTTTTGCATATTGCTGCAGAGTTGAGTCCACTGGATGTTGCCAGGCTCACTTCACCTGTTCCTGTTCGTCCTTCTAGGCTGGATGCTTGGTCCGCAAAGCCGATCCATGACAAGGATAATGGTGTCAATTCTTGAGAATGCAAGACAACACCTAGTTGCTCTTCTGAGTGCACCCCACCATGGGAGGAGCTTAGTCAATTTAATTATGATAAAGTGGCTCTGATATCAGAAACCAGGAGGTGTTCATGGTTAGATAGTGCAGGTCGGCGGCCGCGCAGCCTCACTTTATTGGCACCGACCTCCAAGACAGTTTGGCGCAGCGCTGTTAGACTTTTCACGATTTTGCGTCGTTCATTTACGTCCAAGCAGTCACGACAAGGTCTTCGTTGGTTGGCCCTGGAGAAGTCCATTCTCGTAAGATGTTCTTCGACGACTTGCTTCTAGACCCGAGCAACAACGCTGAACGAACGGATTAGCCGCACCAGACAACATCAAATTAGACTCAGAATTGAGCGTAGCACGATGGTCACGGTCCCTAAATCGTCATTACGCCTTTAACAAACCTGAATTTCGCGCAGAGTCGTTGGCGGGTGCCAATAATGTCCTAGATCTTAACGAGCAAATGTTGGGGACACTTCAACGGCCTAGAATACACTGGACCTGGTGTTGCGAAAGTTTGTTGATGTGAGGTTCAAGCTCCCTGTAGCACGTGAGTGTAAGGCTAATATTCAGACTGAAGCTGCGGATGAACAATGAGCAAGTGGCCAATACAACTAAACACTTGTACCAATTTCCCAGGAAACAAACGATTAGATTGCCTGACAGCTTTTCCTCGCGCCTTCGAGCTCTTCTCGCCGTGATTTCGCCACATGACTTCCCGACACTGCTTGGCACCCTTCCTTTTTGATATTTTCAAAAAGTCACTTTACTTGATACATTGATCTCGTTGACAAAAGGTCTTGGGGTTGGATAAAGGAAATGAATTAGCGCACGTCTTTTGCATGTTCGGGTTCGGGAATAAGATGGACCATTCGTGGACGCCCTCTTGAAAACAAAAATTAATTTTTTTGGAAATCTTTCTTCAGCGTTGCGCCTCTAGCTTGGAAGCGATATCTTGCAACAAGAATGGGGATTCTCTACATTCCTCGAACGCAGGGTTTTAAACGGCTATCACAGAATTTTGTTGTGTCGGGAATAAGATGTGCAGAAAAATCTTGGCCGACATGGAGTGAGCCTGAAGGATAACAAAAAGGCAACGGCCAAACTCTGTTCATCTGTCAGTGTGTAATGCAGGGTCCACCAGGGAAGTGCCAAGCACGGCAACCCTGGGAAATACTTGGGCTTGGATCTTTGGTCGGCGAGGAGGAGCTTCTGGTTGGATGCTAGCGCCATCCTGCCTCCCCCTCAACCTGCACCAAGATGTACATGGCTTCGAAAAGTCACAGGAAGTGTGGCCCGCACTTGCATCGACCTTCCTGCACTAGCTTTACACGCCATTTTAGCACGAGCAGCCGATAACTGTGGTACAAACGACATGAATCGAGGGGAAAAAAATAGATACTAGACCTCCATGTATGCTTAGAATCACTTGCTGGAGAGCGGATGCCGGAATGCAATAGGGTGATCTTTGTCAGGTTGTATTACTGTGGCGGCAAGTCGTCAAACACAGGGAGGCGCGAGGCAACAAGCGAGTGAGCATCAATGTGAGGCAAACGTTGAGCATCGACAAGCCTCCGGCAGCCCTGCATGAAAACACCAGCGGAGAAAGAGGGCAGGGAGGACCTGACTCCGTGCAGTGCAAATGCAAGGCGGCCCTCCGGCTCCAAAACCCAGCCACTCACAGCCGCTGCAAAAGATGCCGGACCGCAGTGGTGAGATGGGAGCTACCCGAAGTGCTTTTTCTGCACGGGTTGCCACTTGGGGACAGTAACCTGACTGGCTCTGGAGGGTCGGATGAGGGTCGATAGAAACAAAGGAAGTCTGCCAAGCCAGATACGACCAGTGCACAGGGCGACGGTGATTGATGGTTCTTGATGTCTTTGGGATGGAGAGGAGCAGCAAGGGTTCGAAGGCACATCTCCCGTCCCCCCTCGACCACTCTTATCCCATAGCGTCATCTTGCATGCACTTCATCCCGATACAACGGGCGGCCCCACTTATTCTCTCTTGGCTGTTAAAACACCCAAACAAGCCCTGTGCAGCAGCCAACTAGTGCTCTTTTGACTAGGGCCCGTGCGGCAACCCAGGGTGCAGCGCCAAGGGCGGAGTGAGGCAACTCAGCTCCAGTGACGACATCAGGGCGTCTTTCCAACAAGCCTGCCGGTTCCTCGCTCTTATCCCACCACGTCGTGTCAGCAGAAATTGTCTTGGCTCTCATCATTTATGAGAACTAACAGCTTCGTCGTCATCCGCAATAAGGCTGTAAAAGCTAGCTCGTTGTAAGCTCCAAGCGGCACACAGCACAAAGACTTTCTCCGTCCAACTGGGAGTTAAATCCTCACGTCGGTTGCGGAAATACAGACGCGATGCTGTCACCTGGCTTGTCGGGAACACGTACCGGGACGCGCTCGGCATCAACATGGTTCGTGGCCAGCGACTTGACATCATGTAGCTCGGGGGAGGAATCTGTAGCCAAGTATTCGCCGCGGTAATTGGCTGGCGGGCGGACGCGCTCAGCCCCAAGAGCGGAATGCGCTGGTCGCGCTCCTCGAAGCAGGTACGACAGCAGCCCACCATCTTGTCCACACTAGAGGGCAATTGACCATGCACGTACCGCAATGGAGCGGGCTGTGGCCCTGGCGTCGCCCGAGATTGTATCTTCTTAGCTCGTGACCAGAGCGAGCATAACAATCTGGTTAAGCTACAAAATCGGGCTAGTTGAAGTAATTCTGACGGGCGATCAAACGCTTGCCTATTGCTTAACGCGCCGCGCAGAGACTCTCAGGGGAGGCTAATTTCACTTCGGGCTGCCGTGGTGCTCGCTCAAGAGGCTCGAGGGTAGAACGGGATTGCTTTCGGTCGTGGATACACCGCGCGCATCGTCCCAAACACTAATTAGGGAGCCATCCATCGAGAAGGGGAATGGGACGAAAGTTACCTGACGCAATTACGCTTCCAGCACCACCTGGGTTTCCCCCCTTCCATTCACCTCTTTTCAACGCTCTGCAAGCCGTTGAGCTTCAGCACGCCTGCTGAAAGCACTTCTGATCTAAGGCCACGCCAGCGTGGATCATGGCCAGCAAAGCACACCGCCGCACCCGTGCACTGCTTCACACCGGAGAATTAAGGTCAAATCTCCCTAAATCGCGGCGCTGTTCAAAATCCTGTCCGCCTGATTGTGGTTAGGCCGCATTCCTCAATACGGGATTTAGCGGCCGTCGAGTAGCCCAAACGGGTAGTGAGTGCTTGGGAGTGAATTCGCTAGGCCCTGTTTGGGAGGCCATGACAAGGCGGCAGACAAGTGGCGGCACGCCAAAACAAAAGGCAAAAAGACCCACCCTGCCTCCCGCCTCCACCGCGTCTTGATTCGCTCTCCGCGCCAGCCACACGGCGAGATGATGAATGGTTTGATGCCGGGGGCGACGGTGGGCTGCCAGGCGCATCACCCGTGGTTTTGCTGCTTTGGCGTTGCTAGGCCGCTCGAACGCTGAGTTTCTGCGATTGGGCTTATAGCGGACAGCGGCGCCTTTCTTTGTCGGCGTCTTCACGGCCCTTTAGCACAGTTAGGAAAGTTCAACTCCAAGTTGGGTGCCAGTGGGAGTGAGGAGCTTTGACCAATATCTCCCATCCCAAAAGCAGCCTCCGGAAATCCTTGTGTTAGCGGCGCTTGATGCCCTGCACGGTCTGCACCTGCACGTAGTGCGCCGGGATGTTGTGGTGGCTACACTTGAGCCAGCTTGCTCACTCCTAGCCTTGGCTATCTAGCCTCTGATGACGCTCTGTGATTCGGACGTGAATTCCAAGCACGCGAATTTATCAATCAGCCCTCCCCAATTGATGCCCGCTGATCAACAGTTACTGCCTCAAATGCTCACTCAATTCCAAATCGTCGCTTGCAACAACAACACCACCGTTAGTCAATCAATACTTTGTTCAGCATCGCTCAGGCTCTCATCACTTCTGCTTTGTTGCTGGTCTCACCCCTCCGACAGCCAGCCAGTAACATTTGGAATCCGATCCGAAACCACACCTTCACCGCAACGACTGCACACCCACGCAGAGACGACCGCGGACCGCCCCTGCGCCCGCTCCTAGCAAGACTTCTCCACACTTTTACGCTGCTCTTGAAACGCTCAGCACCTGCCACGCCGTCATCTGCACACCGCAAGGCCCGAAAACTCAATCTCTCTGGTCCATCGCCACGGCTCCTGCTTTGGACTGATCTTGCGATCGGCAACTCACGCTGTTCATCATTACCCTGTCCGGAAACCCTTAAGGCGGGAGTTCCCAGTGTCAGACTCAGGTTCAAAAGGTCACGTCTGCGTGCCAGTGATCGTCTCAGTCCCCACGTTTCTCGACCCTCGATCCGTCTTGTTTCAGCTTTTAGAGCACTACTCCGAGTAACGTGCTCTCCACGATAGTATCATTACTTGTTCGTTTGTACTCCTTCAGCATCGTCGTTGAGAGGGGAGTTCCCCTTACTGAGTATTCCTCATTCCCGCTATGGCAATGACCGTCGACAATCGCCAGCAGCCCCAGCTCAACGGCATGGGCTACGATCCTCTGCGTTACCCATCACCACACTTCACCAACCCATGGGTGTCAGACCCTGGGGCGAACTCACAACAGTTGTATCCGACATCGCTCGCGGCGAATCCGTCTGGACTTAGCAAGTACGACCACGCGACAAGTCAATCTCAGCAAGTCCAGCGACCCACCAGCATCGCCATACCATATCATGGCCTCCCAGTGACTGCGCCTCCCCTAGGATCAGGTATTGCTCTCCCGGATGGATCTTTTCAAGCAGACAACTTACTCGATGCATCGCAAGATCTTCTATCGCGGAGCTATACAGGCGGATATGCGTCATCTACATCCTCAAACACAAACACGTATGCACCCACTTCGGCTCCTTACTCTCAAGTAGACTATGGAAATAGTACACGCAGCCCCTATGCATATCAGCAGGACACTGCCCGTCGCTCGTCTCATCCGTCAGTACCCTCAGCAGCGTTCTTTGACAGCGCCATTGAGACCCAAAGACAACGCCAGAGTTCCCTAGTTGACATCAGCAGAATGAATTCCCAGCCATCGCAACGCAACAGCTTTAGCGACGCACTCGACGCGAGTCGAGGGATGGTATCCTTGAGCCAGGCGGATATTACCCCAAGGAATATTTATGGCACCCAAGGATCCAGTCGGAGCTCGGCCGACTCTTACGGCTTCCCATCCACTCACTCGGCGCACTCCTCGATCTCGTCGGCCAGCTACAACCCTTCGTACTATAATGGCGCCGAAGGTTCTGTCACAGACTACAGTTCCGCGTCTGAATCTGTAGACCTTACCCACTCCCGCACACTCCCACGTCCAAGTGCGTTGATGAGTGGCGCAAGCATACCCCCGGCGCCGCAGTCCATGATGGGCCAATTTAGCTCAAAGGTCTCATCAAGTTCGCAGAAGAAGCACAAATGCAAGATTTGCGACAAGCGATTTACTCGGCCGAGTTCGCTACAAACACATATGTACAGCCACACTGGAGAGAAGCGTAAGTGTGACTTTTATGAGAGTGCACCCTTTCAATGTTAATACTTGTGTAGCATTCGCTTGTGAAGTTGAGGGCTGTGGACGTCACTTCTCAGTTGTGTCGAACCTGAGGAGGCACCGTAAAGTGCACAAAGGTGAACATCAGCATGATCATCCTTCGCCAGACGACGCATGATTAACAGCCGGTCACCGTTGAGCGATTAACCTCTCGGTTACGTTTCTTTACGCCTACCGTTCGGGATTTCTGCCTCATTGTTTCCAGTCTCTTCGTTTGATGTGTATATTTGAGATATCCGTTGTCGCGTTTCTTCGCAGTACAGAGCGTTCGGGTTGGTATGCAAGAGTAGGCGCTCTCTGACGAAAAAAGGAGACGAATTTTCTTGTTCCTTCAGTCGCTGCTCAATAGGGGTTTGATATCACGACCCCCTTTGTGCATTGAAGGGGGCTGATTGGAGTTTTTCGGAGTTTTTGGTTCACTCGATCGATTCCCCCAACACGAGCGAGTTTTTCTCGTCCGTACTGTACCATTATGCGCTACACTTGGCTTGTTTGATTCGGGCTCATTTGTTCTTCTCTTTTTCTATTTTCGCATTTCAAGTCCCGCACTTGCCGTGGGCTCTTGCTCCTATCAAATGGGGCACGATCATTCACTATACCCTTTTAATGTTTTAGACCCTCATTAGCAGAGTCTCTGAGCATCACAATGTTCATAGGTGGCTGCATGACGTTTGTATAGTAGCTTGGAAGCGACTGTTTTAGAAAGGTTGCCTATTCCCTATAGTGGCTTGTCTCTGAGGTGAGAATCTAGGGGCTTACGAGAGAGCGAGGGAAATCCATCCCTCGTTTCAAACGAATATAGCGAGCAGAGTGGCGCGTTTCCTCTGGGATATGAAGAATTGCTCGAGCCAAAATATAGACTCCGTATTACCAAATAAAAGTGACTACAGTCTGACTTACGTCGTGGCGACCTTTCCCGGTATCTGGGATGACTGGCAGTATGGCACAAAAGTCGCCATGAGATATGAGGCGTCAATGGGCTTCTGATATCATCACCATCTCGTATATTAGTTTGTCAATTTGTCGCTTGATCCTATGCTTGTTTGCTGGCGAGAGCGACAGACACAAAAGCAGCGCCACGTCTGCCCGGCCTGCCGTGAGAGCCGGCACTGACAACAGGCCTCAAAACACACCCACGTAGTTACTTCTCAGGCCCTAGGGTGTGTGGTGGCTCACTCACAAGGCTTTAGGAACCCTGGCGAGCCACTGATGTCATTCTGCTTTGCGGCCTCGACTAGCATGGACCCTGGACGCATGAGCGCTTTCCCCTTTGCGATCGCTTGGCCGACCTTTTTCCTCCCACGGGCTGTGCGGCTGCGGGTGGGGCACTTCGTCGAGTGCAACATGGGCTTGCGGGCGATGTTACATCCTGTGCGCTGGCGCCCCTTTAACCCTTTGCTCGCCCCCCGGTTCTCCGTGTGTCGGTGTGCCGCCTGTGAGAGATTGGGTGGTGAGGGCTCAACATGTCGTCGGTAAGTAGTTGTGTGTCTCACATGCCGCGGCGGCGTCGGGAACCCTTCTTTCTCGCCATGTTATTCGCCTCTGCAATCGCTGTCTTTGGCGGTTGGAGGCGAGCCTGGCTTTCTTTAGCCCGGGAATGGGGGGTCAGATCCGCAGGGTGCCTGAGATGCTCCGCCTAAAGTCGCCATCCAACCATTCGTTCAATGGAGCACCAAAGAAGCCTAAAACGGATCCCGATGCATCTCGTTTCGACGGTGCAAGGCTGAAGGGGGGCAGAGCTCGGCAGTGACGGCGAGGGATTCAAACATGCCATCATAGCCAATTCGCTGTCTTCCGCTCAGATGTGTCATTCGTGCTCTCTTGCCACCGCTTGTAGGCTTGAGGGACTGCAGCCTCAATACCTATTCTTGCCTCTCTGCCTGTGATATGGGAGTTGTTCCCCGATATGGACAGCATGCTACACGTGAAACTAGCAACAAAAATTCAACACTTGACAGCTTACAGACACGTACCCCGACAATCTTTCCAGCGATTCGGAAAGGACCCCTTCGCCAGATGCCAAACTTTCTGCGGTCCATATTATCCACGGATGCGAAGTTGAGATACTGTAACTGAATCGTACAGACGCCACACTCCATGATGATCCGTGCGCGATGGTGGGACAGGCGAGCAAAAGCGGCGCACTACTGTCTCAGGTTTACGAGCACACTCTCGGATCCATGCTCTCTGCTGCCTTTGGCACGGTGCATCCTTCTTTTCGCATTCTGGAAAACGTCCACGCAACGGGCATAATGCACTGATGATCTTGCAGGTTACGAGGGTTGATATTGATAGGGATGCAATGTGGAGCAGGCATGCAGTTTTCTGTCCATGTGGCCGTTCTTCTCCAGTGGGTTGGAGGGCCCGCAGAGCATACCCCGCGACTGTTGCATCAACTGTCATCCGCCCCTGGACCGGGATCATGGTCTAATTATCTAATATTAATCTATTTCTTTCTAAAGGAGTACGAGGGAAGGTTCTCAGCCTCTTCCATGTGAGTCCGAGCTTTTTGAGAATACGATGCCGTTGATGAAGCAATTCAAGTCACCGTGGAATTGGACAAACGAGGTGTTGGGGAATAAAGTCGTTCATTCAATGCGAAATTCGTACCCCTCTCACTCACATAACTCCACTCGCCAATTGCTGCGTATGTAGCGGACGACAGCTCGCTAGTTACCAAGAGCATACGTACCACACTCCTCATCAACTAGTCGAGCGACTCTGACGGGGTCTTCGCGCCACCACATACGAAGTACCATGTAGAAGCGAAACCGGACCCAACGTTCCCCGATGAGAGATATTGTGGTACCCTGCCTCAGATTGAGATAACCTCCACCTCTCTCCCGCGACGACTAGGCACCCCATGGTTGCCATAGGATCAATGAAAGACTCTTGAAATGCCGCCCATGAATCAGGTATTCAAGGCTAGCGCGTGCCGCTGGGAGAAGTCCATTAAACGGCAGCATGGTCATGGATGGAACCACATCTCCATCTACATCGTGAAACAGCCTCTTCCATGTTTCCCGTCGATGGAGCCGCATGACGAACGGCAAGAAGCTCAGTAGCATGTACCGGATATGGTACAATGCTTCTCAACTCCCTTCCCATAGTTCTTTGCATCGGTTTCCCATAGCTCATCGTCGAGTTACAAGCTGCTTTCTCAATCTCTGCCGTATGTAATCTTTCCTCGCTTCGCTGGCTTACCATCAGTATCCTCGTCGGTGTCTGGGGCCTTCTTCTTTTTGCTTGCTACAGCAGTGGATTTGCTCGGTCCGTTCGGCGTTGGCTGACTACTTTCACGTGTGGGGAAGGATGATGTCGGGGTAGGGGCATGTGATGGGGTTGTCTGGGTGGAGCCAGGCGTCGATGCCTCCTGCGAGCGGAATCAGCAGCACTCCTTTCCACCCCTCTCACTGCTTCGAAAGCGTCCTCATACCCTCATGAAGCTTGCTGAGCTCCGGCTGAATATCCTGTCCGCATCGCTAATCGGAGCCTTTCGACGCGTCGCCGTGCCTGGACCGCTCGTTGTGGACGTTGCCGTTGCCCCTTTGATATAGTTGTCAAAGCCCTTGATGATGTTTCCAGCGCTCGTCTCTTCGAGATACGACGTCTCTGCTCTCAGGATGGTTTCTTCGATTTGCGCCTTCAACTAAGGTAAGCAGTTGTCGCATCCATGTGAAACTCCACGGAACACACCAGATTCGTGTCTATTTGGCGTTTCTTGTGGAGGGATTCTCGCAAGTCGCGTCGTAGCTTCTCGTAGTAGGGCATGCCACGCGAGGCATCAGTCCCTGCGTTTGCAGCTCCGGCGGGTGGTGCATTTTCAGCCATTGCAGGAAGAATTTCAGGAATCACTCTGTGTGATGCAGTGGAAGATCTTGCGAGTTGTTAGAGAGTGCACGGGGGGTGTTTCCACTGTTTGTGAACGTGTTTCGTGGAGCTTCGACCAGCGATGAAGGTGAGGTTTGGTGCTAGTGTCTTGGCATACCTCGAGCCCTCAACTGCAAACGACAACTTCATTCACTTTGGTGAACTGCTTTCTCCCGCCTCCCCCGACCCTGCTTATAAATACCCCGTAATCGCCTTCACCTCGCCTCCAAAGCTTTGCAGGACCACTGCAGCCACAGCCTTCCGACTCACAACACCACGCGCATCGTACACAGCCGTCATGGACGTCAGAGAAGTCGAGCTCCGCGGCAAGTCCATCGCCAAAGCCATGGCCGAGAACGAGCCCTCTTCCTCTTTTATGAAGCTGCTAGGCGACCTGAAGACGGGGGTGAAGGCCGACGAGGACCTTCTCCGCAAGACTAAAATCGGCGTCACGGTCAACCGCCTCCGCACGCACAAGGACCCCGCTGTCGCAAGGCTGGCACAAGAGCTGGTCAACAAGTGGAAAGACGAAGTGAAGAAGGGCAAGGGAGGTGCGGGAGTAGCAAGAGCGGTGAATGGTACTGCATCCCCCGCGCCAGGCTCCGGGACACAGTCTCCCACTCCCGCGAAGGCACCAGTGAGGAAGCATAATGTGGATCCAGACAAGAGGAGTCATAAGACGGACAAGATTGATTATCATGTCACTGGTAATGAGACTCGGGACAACTGTGTCAGGCTGCTGTACGACGGTCTGGCACTGATGACAGACGAGCGTATGCATTGGGCATTAATGTTTTATAAGTCACGAAGTACTAACCTTCAATAGTACCCGAAGACGTTCTCTCCGTCGCCAAAGCCACCGAGGCTGCCGCCTTCGCCAACGCAGATTCCCTCACCAACGACACCTACAAAACCAAGATCCGCTCCCTTTTCCAAAACCTCAAGAACAAGTCCAACCCCGGACTGCGCAAGCGTGTGCTCTCCGGCGAGATCACCCCCAAGCGCTTTGTCATCATGACCCACGACGAGCTCAAGTCCGCTGAACGGCGCGCAGAGGACGAGCGCATGGAGAAGGAGAACATGAACAATGCGATGGTGGCGCAGGTCGAGAAGAGCATCTCCAAGGAGTTCCAATGCGGAAAGTGCAAGCAGAAACAGGTCAGCTACAGCCAGGCGCAGACAAGATCTGCCGATGAACCGATGACAACGTTCTGCGAGTGCATGAATTGTGGGAACCGTTGGAAGTTCTCCTGATCGGCCTGAATCCTTGGTCAGTGATGTACAACCCTCATGCATTATGGGCTGGAGCTTGCGGAGCTTTGAGGTGTGTACGATGTTCTATGTGTATTCACGGCTTGTAGAGGGGGCGTTTCAACGGGAATGGAGGCGTCTGCTGGATTACTTGGCGAGCTTTGAGCTTTGGCTCTTTCATCTCGGAATGGCTAACTAACTTTCAGCTTTGGTTGGTTCATTGGGCCTTTTGAGCACCAAAGCTAAAATTCTTCCCGATCTTTGCTTTTAGCAACCCTGGACTGAGCACGAGAGCAATGCTAAAAGCTTCTTCCTTCTGAGTACAGATAGTTTTATTTGATAAATGTAGTGTGAAGAGGCACTTGGGCTTTTCTCTCCCTTTCTCTATTCTCCTCTTAGGATAAGTGCTGCATTAGCTATCAAATATCACCTACTAAATAATCTATCTCTAACTGCCCAAAACTCCCAAAAAATTCAAAGGGAGGGTTGCGGAACAGTCAAAAACTACCTTCAATATTTTACAATGCTCTCATATAAAGCTTATTTCAGTCCGAGTACCATCTTGCAGTAGTACTCGAACTTCTGTAGCTTTTGCCCTCTTTCAATAAGAAAGGGTAAATTTGTGCACTAACTTACTACACCACCGCCCTTCGACATCACTATATGCTCCTAGCTCCCAACTGCTAGCTCTTACATCCTAGCTCCTAGCCCCTAGCCCCGGGCTCCTTACCCCTTGCTATGTTATGATAAAAGATTTAGAAACCGGTGCGCCTATATAGGCCTGCAAGGGAGGAGGGGGAAGTAAAAGAGCAGAGTTTGGCGGCGAGGAGAATTGTGGCAGTGGTGGTGATTGTGATCTTGTAAGATATATTGTTTACTTCACCTCACAACCTGGAGGTTGCAGATTGGTACTGGAAACAGCTCCCTTTTATACACCACATATTGCACGTGCTAGTCGTGCAGATAAATCAAAGAAACTAGCTGGCGAGAGCTTAGACTTAGATAACATGCAAATATAGCTCATGCTTATAGTGTGTGGCTTTCATAAACAAATAAGCGCTGGTACCACCATGCAAATAGGCTTGCGAAGTCGAATAGTGGTACTAACTGTTTTGCATCTCTAAAAGCCGCGCTATTCTAGAACTCGTTCGCTTTGCAGCATTCAACCTCAAGCAGTGCGGGTGCTTGGACATCGGCTGAGAGTTAAACCCTCTTCAAATGATATGCAATGCAAACAGCTTAACCCGTGGGTTTCTATTTTCCGAGCAAGTTATGGCCATGAGAAACATACACTCTCTCCTCTAGAAAATAAAACCTATATCAGGTCTCACGCAACGTCTACAAAGGCTCTCTTTTTCACACTCTTCCCCTCAGCCTCCTCCACATCCTCCAATCTCACTATCCCCATCTCATCCACCCTTTCACTCACAAACTTCAATGCCGCAATATTGAAACCAATCAGATCCTTCATCCCACCTAGCGTCCTCCTCAAGTCAGATCTCATGGCTTCCAAAGCCGACTTTAACTCCCTGCTTGCCACAATCTGCTTCTGATGCGTCTTTAGCATAAAAAAAAGTACTCTACACGTCAGCGTGACGTTCCACTGTCGCTGAACCCAGATAGCGATAAAGGTGAAGAGTGCTGGAAGAGCTGAGAACGGAAGTACGAGGAGTGCGTCGTGAAGCTGCGCGGCTGGGATCTTGGCCAGAGTCTTGAGGACGTGGCGTTCGGCGCTGATGTTACCCAAAGCTAAGAAGAGCGGATTGCGTTGTGGGGGTGCGAGGTTGGGTTTGGACAGTTTCTGGGCCTCCCAGTCGCGGACAAGTTCAAGATCGGTGAGGCCTAGCTCCAGGGCTTCGCCTATCCTTTCTCCTGCCGTGAGTGTGGAGATTGTTTGCTTGGACGCCGCGACGGCCTCTGTTGAATGTTCATCGACCTGACCGTCATCCTCGAGGGAAGTTGCAAGCGTGGTCTCGTAGAGCCCTTCCAGCTCCCGCTCTCGCTCTTCTTCCAGGAAGATGGGCTCATCTGTTCGGGACCAGATTCGAATGCTCTTGTCATGGGCTGCCGTGATTAAGAAGTCTCCGGTTCTGGCAATCGCCATAGCCCAGATCTCACCATGGTGGCCCTTGAACTTCTGAATCTGTTCAAATTTGTCCCCATCCCAGCTTTTCACCACTTTGTCCTTGCTCGCGCTGAAGAAGATGTGCTTCTCCTCCTGGTCAACTGGATGAGGTATGAAGGCAATCTGCATGATGCTATCATCGTGACCAAAAAGTGCTTTGTGGCAATCACCAAAGTCGAGGCCCCATATGCGGACATTCTTGTCAGCGCTGCATGTGGCGATGAGCTTACTGTCGCTCGAGATGGACATATTGAGAACAGGAAGCTTGTGGCCATAGAGGTTGAGGAAGAGCTTCAACGAGTCGACGAAGAAGACTTTGACTGTGTTGTCCAGAGTAGAGACCGCCAGTAGCCGAGAGTCTGGAGAGAAGTGGACACTGAGGACATCATCACTGACCTTTAGAATGCGTGATTGAACGAGTTGTAGTCGAGGCGTCGTCCGCTTGGTACCAGGAATTTCCTCTTGAACAATTTCAAAATCCCAGAATTTTACCGATTTGTCTGCGCTTCCTGTAACGACGGACTTGCCGTCAGGGTGGACTTGGAGCGTCCATATTGCCCCTTCATGAGCGTCGATCTTGTCGAGCAGGGATGAAGCAGCAATGTCGAATAGCTCGATTTCGCCGTCTTTAGTACCAACAAGAACGATCTTATCTCCCGGAAGGAAAGCACAACATAGAGCGTATCCGCACTCCAAAGTCCTGAGGCAGTTCTGCGTCCGCACATTCCAGATCTTAAGACCTCCGCTGGAAGCAGAGGCAAGCATCCGGTCGTCTGAACTGAGGGCTAGGGCTCTGATATCGTTTCTGTGCCCGGCTAATTCCACAGACATTGTTCTGGTGTACTCTGGGCTCTCCTCGCTCTTAGCCTTGCCCTTCTGAGAGACTTCGTAGATGTCAAGTAGATTGTTGCTTGTTCCCACAAGTAGTTGTAGTTTCTTAGTGCCGCGGCTTTGCATCCACGATATAGACCTAACCTTTCCAGCTGTTCGGACAGTAACAAATGGTACTATGACCTCTCCAATTTCAGCATCCGCGATATTTGCCTTCTCTTCTCCCGCGTCGGCTTCCTCTTCTGCATCTTTGCTGAGTTCGTTCTTTGCCTTTTCACGCCTCCTCTTTCTCTTGCGGGCCAAACTCTTTTGAACCTCTCCTTCGGTCCGTATCCGCCATATTTCTACAGCCTTTTCTGACCCATGAATGGCTATGTAGTTCGATCTACGATTGAATGAAATTTCCAGTGTCCTATCTTTCCCCTGCCGATATAGTGTACCTCTCTCGCGAAGATATCTCTGGTCGGTGGCCTCTCCTAAAGACGAACTCGCGTTGCTTAGCCCAGGTAAATCAATCGACCACACCTTGAGCTCTCCGTCGTTTCCAGCAGTTATGCAGCCACTCCCGTCGAGTGATACTCCCATAGCCCAGCATTCACCATTCGACTGAGCGATGTGCGTTTCGATGCAATGCTGAGTGTTGACATCCCAGATCTTGATCAGCGCGTCCTTGCTCGTGGAAAGTAGAAATGCCTGATCTGTATCTAGTTCCGGTACTGTGTCGTTGGTCTCGGTATTGGTGGCTGTCACAGGGTGAATGAAGTGTAGCCCCGTGATTTGTCCTTTGTGGCCTCGGAGCTTGAACAAGCCAACTTCAGAAACTAGATCCCAAATGACGATGTCTGTATCTCGCGCGCCGCTGGCCAATCGCACTCCAGATGAATCAAAACAAAGTATCGTCACCGCAGATTTGTGGCCATTGAAACTTATTATGACCGTGCCTGTCTGGGCATCCCAAATTCGAATGCTCCCATCTGAATAGCCTATAGCGAAGACGTCGGGATCCACGTCGCTCCGACATATAGCGGTAACTTCATCTGTGCAAGATGAATCGCGCCATCTGCTGAGAAGCTCACCTTTTTTGATATCCCAGCACAAGACCTCCTCGTTGGCGGCCACATAAGCTCGTCCCGCTCCAGCAGGCCACTTCGATCCGGGTTGAGTGACACCTTCAGAAGTCCAGACAATGTTCGAGGTGGCGGTTGCGACTACACCGAAGGCATTGGTCTGCTCGTACTTGCTGTCATTGTTAGCAGACTTTCTTCAACGGTCTCAATCAGCATTTACCTGTAGGTCTTGACCATCTCGAGCCGTCAGAGAATGAATTCGGTATATTCGAGGTCGAGGAACCAGTATTATGAGGTTGGAAAAGATAATCTGATCATTTTACTACTTTTAATTGTCTTTTTTCGTATGCACCACCTGCTATGGGGAACGAGTTAGCTTTTTGAAAGCCCTGGAACTTTTTCTGCAACGTTCTGAGGCTGACCCCACGTTCAGCCACCACAGCCACAAGCTGCCCATTGCCCACCAGCACTTTCGACGACGACAATTCGCACCGCTCACTCCCTCCGCGCCCCCCTTCTCCACGCCTATTTGAGCTTCAGTGGTATAAGTGCAGCCATGCTTCTTCTCGACTACCAGAACGTCCTCATCGAGTCGCTCCTAAAAGACCGCTTCTCGGGGTGTGTTCTACCCCGCCGTCCGCCGCCTCCAGCTCAGCACTTAGCTAACAACTGTGTAGAGGACCCCCAGTCAACATTGACCAAGTGGTCTCCGACTTCGATGGCGTTACCTTCCACATATCCACTCCCGAAGCAAAGACAAAGATATTAGTCTCAATAGCAGTCAAATGTTTCCCAGAACTGGTCCAATACGGAGCCCAGGCAGTGCTGGAACGGGAATATGGGCCCTTCATCGTAGCCCCCGAATCTGGATACGACTTCTCAGTGCAGGTAGACCTGGAGAACCTGCCGGAAGATCAAGGTATATTGACCCGGTTGGGGACTGACGCATGACTTGCTCACGGGGGCTGTAGATGCCAAAGACGACCTGGTACGGCGCATTTCCCTCCTCAAGCGCAATGCCATGGCGGCCCCTTTCGAGCAGGCTTTCGATGAGTTCCATAAACTCCAGGAGGAAGCGTCCAAGTACACATCTGAAGCGGCACCACAGGGTGTAATGGAAGGTGGTGAAGTGCGCGCAATCCATTACCGGGAGGAGGAGGCTATATTCATCAAAGCGAGCCATGATCGAGTGACTGTCATATTCTCGACTGTGTTTAGAGAAGAGACAGACAGGATCTTCGGTAAGGTCTTCTTACAGGTATGGATTGGGCACAACACCCCAGCAGGTGCGGGATGCTGATACTTTCTAGGAATTCGTCGACGCTAGGCGAAGAGCAATCCAGAATGCGCCTCAAGTTCTTTTCCGAAACGATGCCCCCTTAGAACTTCAGAACGTCCCAGGAGTAAATAATTCTGGGTCCGGCGAAATCGGTTACATCACGTTTGGTGAGAGAGCATTTGCGAATAATCGAGTGCGATTACTGATTACTTCTAGTCTTATTCCCCCGCCACTTGACGAACCAACGCCGAGAGGAAGTGATTTCGCATATCCAAACCTTCCGGGACTACTTCCATTACCACATCAAAGCCTCTAAGGCCTACATCCACTCGAGGATGCGGAGACGGACGGCCGACTTCCTCCAAGGTATGCCACGCCAACCTTGTAATCATTCTGTCACGCTAATCGGAGAGCAGTGCTGCGGAGAGCAAGGCCCGAAAGTGAGGAGAAGGAGCGCAAGACAGCAAGTGGCCGGACTTTTAAAGTGCAATCTTGAGCTGATGGGTCTTTCCTATTGTCCAATTGACGGAGAAGAACCGAGGAAAGTGGTTTATATGAGGCCCAAATACTTGTACCGGAGCATCACACTGCATGAAGATTGTGGTGTGATAGCTAGAGTATCCCAAGGCTGAGCTGGAGAGGGGTTGGACGATGCAGCACTGTGAGTTGAGCGCGAACTTAGATAGCTACGCTGGTAGAGAATAGCCACTCCAAGTGGAAATGAACAGTTCAGATATGGTCATGATATACCCTTTTCCAAGGGTTTGAGAACTTAGGATCTTCACGTGTGCGCACAGGCCACGCAATCGCGACGTCAAGATTAGACGCGTCTATGAAATATATTGCAACTGACATTTTGATCCGCAACCCAACCTCCGCCACACCAACCACAGAAGCCTTTGTACACCTCTGTATCACCCATGACTGAATCACAGAGACCGAAGTATGATAGTCTCCCAGGCATCGACACCGCGCCCGATGTCTACGAAACACCCGACCTTGTTGAAGACGCCTCCACAATCCAAGCTTCTACAGCCGTTTCCGAATCTGAAAGCGAGTCTGACGTTGACGAATCTGGTGTACGACGTCAGCACCTCCAGCCAGATCAGGCACGCAGCCGCTTCCAGCCCGCGCGAGTAGACGCTCGAGATGTAGATTTCTCCGACAATATCACCGCACAAGGCCGCTCGTACCGCACATCCACCCGCGGCCAGCGACGGAGGGGCGAGGTGCTCGGCGATGACAGCGGCGATGAGAAGGAATCTTTCTCACGGAAATTGTTGCGGGTGAAGAAGGAGCTGCATGAGCTGGAGACGGAATATGAGGGCAGGTTGCAATCTGGGGATAAGACGAAGATTGAAGAAAGGGATCCGAAGGAAATTATGGAACTTATTAGCGACAAGGTGGACTACATATATGCCATGCGAAGGGGTGGCGTGCGAGGCGCGGAGCCGCTATTAGCAAGGACCATTGAGAAGTTCAATAGCTACCCTCCTTTTGGACCTTCACCAAGGATCACAAAAGCAATTGAACGGCAGCCGCCACTCCCAGGCACACAGATTCAGCGGTCCCAATTGGACTTTGTGCTCAACCAAGCCGCAGACTTCGACCATCGTCTCACTAATCTCGAGAGATCACTCGGCCTCAACGGAAACACAATGCCTGATCTAGCCGACAAGGCCCCATTCCCCATATTCCCTACATTAGAGAAATTAGAGCAGACAATCAGCACCTTAGCAGATGCCTCATCTGGTAATCTCGACGCAGCTGCCCAACAAATCAAGAAAATGATCCTGGATGCCGAGCAACTCAAAGAGCTCCGACAAGAAGCCTCACGTTCCACGCCTGGTCCCAACTCCTCCTCCGCCAAATCTCCAGAACCGTCCGAACAGGAATCTAAAGTGAACGCTCTCTATGGCACTCTCCCAGCCATCGACAAGCTCTCGCCCCTTCTCCCACTCGTTCTAGATCGCCTCCGGACTCTGCGGCTTGTGCACACTAGCGCTTGGCAAGCAGATGAGGTCTTGACCGAGTTGGAGCACCGCCAGTCGAAGCAAGAAGACGAGATCAAGAAGTGGGAGACATCGATAGAAACGCAACTTCAAAATGTTAAAGTCTGCGAGCAGAGTCTTCAGATGAATATGAAGACGGTGGGAGATTGGGTCAAGAGAATCGAGGAACGGATCGAGAAGTTGCCGGCGCCAAGTCAGAGTCACGGAGAGGTATGAGCGGATTATGAGCAGAGAAGACGTAACATGGCATTTTCATAGCAAGCTAGCCTTGCCATGCATAGGATGATGAGCAAGGGTGGATGAGATTGAGACCTCTATTCACGGGTTGAATCAGGCCGAAAATGTAGCAGATGGTTCAGGGGGCGGTGTGCAAATATGGGATGAACGAGCACTGGCAAAGGATACGGCGTAAAGTTCCGCCCATACACTCTTTCCGTTATCACAGATACCCTTCTATAGCTCTTAATGCTACTTTCGGCTCTCTCTGTCGCGTGTGCTATATTCATCAAATTTATCATGCAGGGTGTGCTACAGGCTCCACCGGTCTGGTCTATTTCCACACAACCAAAGCCCGACACTCGTTGATATTCACGAAGGCCTCATATAAGTCTCCTCAAACCCCAATATCTCTAACTCTCTCACGCTGCTCCCAAAGCCACCTTCCTCTCCTTCCCACCCCCGCCTTCCCCTTTATTAAAAACAACAGCCTTGTGTCTCCTCTCCTCTAACCCCGCACTCTCCCCTCTATGCCCCTCCATCCAACAATCCCTACAATACAAATCTCCATCACAACCCACACACTTGAGTGTCGCATCATCGTTGCAGATTATACACCACGTATCTATCTCTTCGTCTGTGTACTTTGGGAGATTGGATTTCAGGATCTTGGGCGGCTTTTTGGTTGGGGAGAAAGATGGTGCTGAGGGGAGGCCGAGAGAGTTTGTGGGTTTGGGGAATGGGGAGAGGGAGGCGAAACGAGCGACGAGTGCGTCTTCGAGGGCTTGTGTTTTGTCGAGATCGTCGTGAGGGAGGGAGTCCGGAGCGGAGGGGAGCTGGAGGCTTGCTTCTGAGTCTAGGTCTTGGGGTTTTGTTGTAGGTGCTGTTTCTGTTCTGGGAGTTGTATGGTCCTGCGCTGGATCTTCTTGCTGGTTGGATTTCCAGTCGCCGGAATCATCGTCACCGCCATCGCCATATTTTCTGCTGATCTCAAGCTCGGCGAGAACACGAGAAATAACATCCTCAACCTCTTCACCTTCCGTCTTGTTCTCTTCTCCCTCCCTCTCCTCATCGTTCTCATCTGTCTTCTCTTCCCGCCCCACCCTCACACCCCCAGATCCCACATCAACCTCCACATTCTCCCAATCTGTGAGCTCCTCTTCTTTCCTCTCAGGCCTTGCTCCAGTCCCCCTCTTATTCCCCGCACTCCTCTCCACCTCTTCCTCCCGATCCCCCTTCATCGATCTCTGGATCACTGGCAGTATATTCTTCGCCTCCTGAATCAACGTCTCCACGTCATCTTGCTCCTTACGTGATACATCCCACTGCGACTGCGGTCCCATTTCGGCCAGCAATTGCTCTAAACTCTTCCCATCCTCTGCATTTACTTCTTCTTCACTAGCTCCTCCCACGCCCTCAGAAACACCTTCTAGATAGCTCGTCGCACCGGGCGCTATAACCGGCACGCTTTGAGCTCTACCGACTGTGCTGGTATCGTGTGATGACGTAGTTCGCGAGGACTTGGGAGACGCGGAAGGGCTCGCGGAACCGAGACGAGCGAAGCGCGCGGCGAGGTCGTCAGTAGGAGCGGGAGGTTTTGACGAGATTATCGAGGCGCTGGGTCTTGGGTTGAAGTTTACGGGAGATTTCTTTAGGGCGTTCAGTCGGGCGAGGAGGGCGTCATCGGTGGGCGGGGAGCTTGTGGACGAGGAGGGCATTGTAAGAGGAATATAGTTGCGGGTAGCTTAGCGAGCGCGTGAACAAGGAAAGGAAAGGCCCGAGAAGATCTCGTGCTTTAAAGTAACTAGTTACGTCGGTAAACAAGCTAAAGGAATGGATGAGAGGTCGTTGTGCATTGAGGAATCGACTCAAGTTACATGAGCTCGGGGGTTTTGCGGAGTTCCAAGAGTTTGGAAGCTTGTGGGTAGGCGAGGGGTACTTGAACTATAAAACCACCACTGCTATCATAATGAATATACAATGCATGCGCTCTACATAAGCAATGCTTTCTTAATGCTCGCTAGAATGCGTTTGAACTCCTTTCCCTTCCCTATCCATGCCATATCAACCAAAAGTACCACGCAAACACCACAATAGCAACCGTCAAGAAACTTTTCTTGAACTCATGGAAGAATAAGGCTAGTCCTTTTTTCCTAGACTTGCTCTTCTTTGCTGACGAAGAACCCCAAGTCTTAATCGCCCTAGGTTCTTCTTTATCCGGTATATAATAGCCCGCATGCTGTATGAGGGGATATGTGTACTTCGATTGCACAACTGGTAGCTCATAGCTGCCATTAGGACTTGTGCTTCGGGTTCGAGCGCTGGAACTGCGGATTTGTAGCTTGTTTCCGGGTTCAGAGGATGATGAGGAGTTCGAAGACGAGGTGATGTGGGTGGATTCGGGTGGACTGGAGGAGAGTGCTGCCTTTTCGTTCTCGGCGGATGAGCCATGTTCTGTGACTGGCAGTAGAGGAATATCGGAATTATGCGATACCGTGGATATTCTCCCAGTCGCAACGAGCGCAGCTCGTACAATTAATGAGAGAATTGTAATCCCAACCAGCGTGATATATCGGATAAAGATGCCCAGCTGATCTGGAAGAAGGCAGAGATGGGTCTGCAGAGTCGGCGCATTCGAATCCTTTCTCAGAGGGTTCCCAGAAGCATCAACAGGGTTCCACAGACTGAGCATAACAAAACCAGGATATCTAACGCCCATAGCCCAAGATATCGACTTGACAGTAATCTCTCGAATACCGCTACCAGCTGAGGGATATGCGCGATGTAGGACCTCACAGTAGTCGTGATCGTCGCCTGAAAATGCATATTGAATGTTGCCAACCTTTTCAGCAATGACCTTCGTAATTTCTCGATCAAGGACATTTTGGTATTGGTATCCCCCGCTTACGGATATTGCGTTCCGATCATCTTTCTCCAGAGGTTCTGTTTGACCTTTAGGAGGACGTGTCGGAGGCCAGTGTTCTCGAAGAGGTCCACAGGGAGTGCCGGGGTCGCGATATAATGGAACATGGGAAAGGAGAATGGTAGGAAACTCAGCAGGGGAGTCGCCGAAGTGTGGGAGTTCGGCCTTCGCAAGGTCGCCGGCGTCTAGTATATCATGTAAGAACAGGAGATTCGGTCGCAGTCCCTGCTGTTTCCTCAATTCTTCCCGTACCAAACGCCCCTTCTGCGCCTTCACATTATCCAGAAAGTCCATTGCTGGTTTCCATAGTCCTTCCACTGGATTCTCTTGCCCTAATGCGCTCAGCGAAACTGTATCCACGGAGACCAAGGTATGGTTCCCAATTATGTCGATTCTGTTTCCTTCTCCAAAATACGCATTGAATCGCTTCCTCACACTAACTTGAATCCCTTTGCCAAATCCCAGATCATGGTTTCCGGGTAGACTACTGATAATCTTCCTTCCCGGCTGTCCAGGCCTGGGTTCGGTCCCACCATCTTGCCAATGGCCAAAGAATATGCTACCAAAACGATCGTATTCTTTTAGCCAAAAGCTCTCACCATATTTCCTGTACCGCTCTTCAGGGCTTGTTGTCGTTCTTGTAGACCATTCTCTTCCACCGTCGAAGAAATCGCCTAAGAAGACAGCGCTGTCTGGATACAACACTTTTTGTATTCGGGAGTACGCTCGGCGAAGGTAGAGATCAGTATGCTTTATGGTGAGGGCATTGAGGGGCCACGGTCGGTCGGGGTAGGTATGCGGGTCAATGAGTTGAGGATCTGCAACGAAAACGAGTCGATGTGGGTTCGCGCCTATTCCCTAGGGACATTATGAGCTCCAGAAGTTGTTGTCGCAGACATTATGAGGAACATACCCATTTCTCCCAACTTTCCCACCGACAGGAGCCAATGGCGCTATTGAACGCACTTCGTTCGCCCCAGTATAGCGTTACGAACCAAATCGCGATCAAAATCCTGACTAAACTGAGTATCCCCCTCCAGCTCCAATTCCTGTCCGTCAAAGCGTGGAATTTCTTATCAGCCGCGGGTTTTATTCGATATAGCACGAACGCGCGAGCAACTCGGAGGGCCTGCTTGCCGAGACTCTCGGGTTCAGAATATGCTCCCACGGGCATGCCATAGTCATCGTAACTCGTCATCGTTCAGGGGAAGGCCGTGAGGAAAGCTTGCGCAGCATCTTCTCGAGAGAAGAAGTCTGTGCCTAGAGATATGCGTCGAGAGAACAAGAGGTTGCGTAATGTTCACAGGGGCTTCCCATCATCTGAGGAGTCTGGAAGGTCCGACAGGCTCAGGAGCCGCGCATTCAACACTATTCCTCATTTGGAACCACCGGATGTTCAAGCACGTGCTCGGATTAAGATTATCTCGGGCTGTGTGAATGCCAGAGCAGCGCTTTCTCCTCGCCAAATAAGAGAGCTGAAGAATGATAAATCCAATGAATAGACCATTTTGGAACATACTACAAATACATTGGAACCAAAAATGCCGAACCCTATTTTAAATCTAGTATTCCAAAGTAACTTTCTGGCCCTTAACCTTCCCAATCACAATCTCCGGCGCATACTTGGGGATTACCTCGTCATCGTGCAACATCTCAAACTCCTCTGTAGCATCCTTGCCCATATGGCTAAACAGCGCTTGAGGGCCACCTGGATGCTCGTCTGTCCAGCTAGTGAGGTCCATTACAATTCCCTTGACGGCGATCCAGAGATCATCCTTCTTGTTGTGCTTGGCAACCTCCTCGAGTGTGAATTCCTTGTCAGGAATGCTGAAGTTCTTAGTCGAGTTGGGCTTGGAGACTTTTCCTGGATCTGACGAATCTGCACCACTCTTCATTACTGGTCCCGCAGACTGTTGTGATTGTTGTGCAGACTTGGAGGTTCCTGATGTTGACGCTCCGGCGCCGCTCCCCCACTCTACTGACACCTTCCCAGGCTGTGACGGGTCTATGTGGAGCGAGATCTGACCAAGACGAGAGACTGCTGAGCCTCCAGCTCCCTGGAGGGCCTTCTGGAAGAGATATCTTGATGCTGACTCGCCTGCGACACGACCGTAGACGACGCAGCCAAGCAATGATGAGCCACCAAGACGATTGGCGCCGTGGACACCACCAGCCAACTCACCGCAAACGAATAAGCCATCAAACGGCTTGCCCTCAGAGTTCAAACACTGTGCCTGGTCGTTGATCTCAATACCGCCCATGGTGAAATGGAGAACGGGCTCCATGAGTGCGACATGGAAGGTGTCATTGATGTCAAAGGGCAGGTTGTGGAAGTATTTCTTGGCCCAGGTGTCCTTCTTCTCGCCCTTTGCAATGGAATTGTAATCTTGGAAGGACTCCTGGAGGGCTTTCTCCCCGCAGCCAATCTCCTTAGCCAACTCCTTCCCGGTCATCTTCTTCATGAGGCCGCGACCAGAGTAATGCCTAGTGTGGAAGTCGAGGATGCTTGAAGCCTTAGAGTTGAGGACAAGTCGGATGGGCCACAAGCCCTTCTCCTTCTCCTCCCACATTTTCCCTGAGACGTAGTCACGGTGGCCGAGGTCATCGCAGAAACGCTGACCCTTGCTATTTAGAAGAATGCCTCCCTCGCCACGGAGCGCTAACGAACGTTAGCTGATACTAGCGCTGTGCATAAGGAATTTCCATACCTTCGGCAGCCAAAAACTTAGTCTTCGCCGTAGGGTCCTTGGGATCGACCAAGCCGGTAGGGTGGACCTGAACCTTGTCCATATCAATACCGTTGGCACCAATTGACATCAACATCTTGTGTCCGTCTCCAGTAGCGTGTGCACCGTTGGTGGTTGACAGACCATATGTATCTGGCCTATGCTTCTTCAACAGAGAGGACTCCGTGAAGTCTGCAGCGTAGCCTCCAGTGGCGAGTACCACTGGGCCGTCCACCGTTGTCTCCTCGCCGTTGAAAAGGTATGTGACACCGGTAGCAACATTGCCTTCCTTATTAATCTTAGTAACTTTAGCCTTCTTGATGAGCTGGACACGCTCGGGCTCGGCCTCAGCCAGTTCCTCAAATCTCTGCATCAGGGCGTATGTGATGGCCATACCGGGGAACTTCGCATCGTGTCCACGGTGAGTTCGGGGATGGGAGTGACCACTGTAGATGGTTAGATACTGTTCTTAAGCAGATGTTTAGAGAAACTTAGCATACCCTAATCGCGAAACCAAAGTTAAATCCAGATTGAATACATCCTGTAACCACTCTACGGCTGCGGCGGATTTATAGGTGAGGACTTTGATGAGGTCCGGTCGTGCCTTGTCTCGTGCAGACTTAAGGGTGTCGTCGTAAAATTGTTTAACGCTATCGGCAATCTTGTGGTCTACTTGTGTCCGTGTGAGGGCACCGTTGATTCCGGAGGTGGCCTTGGTAGAGTTGCCTCCCATGAAGTCTGCGGCATGATGGTCAAAGACCATCCTTGAGATGAATATATGGGTGAAGAACTCACTGTTCTTGTCCAGAAGCAGCACATTACCGCCGGATAGGTAAATAGTGTGAGCAGCACTCAAGCCAGATACTGAAGGAGTTTGTTAGCTGTCTGCAAGGTGCATCACCCGAGGAATGAGCTCACATCCAGCGCCGACAACGATGACCTTCTGTGACATTGCGACGGATTGACGGATGGAATGGAGACTGGGAGGTGAGGAATGTGGTAGAGGGGATGACTGCGGAAGTGCGCAACTAATAGAGGATGGTGAGAAGGTTAAGTAGTGTCTCGTCGTGATGCACTCCACTTCGGCCCTTGATCGAGCAATTGCCTCGGTGCAAAAAACGCGCTAGAGCCCAAAGCAGTCAGATGCTCAAGGAGTCGTAGCGAATGACAGCGTCAACGATTGTACGCAGTGAGTGGAACTCGGTTCACTTGAGACGCAGCAGCCAGTTCATCAAGTCCAGCCAGCGTCCATCCTCGCGTCTGACGCAGCATGTGAATCCTTCTTTCTGTCATGTGGCTAGTTGACCAGACGCTCTCACGCCGAATCACGCCGCTCAGCCCGGAAGGAAAGCCGAGCCTCAGAATCTGGGGCAGAACTAGTCTCGAATTCTGACATGTGAATGCTCAATATTAACCCATAAGCAGCGCTGGTCTCGACGATGATTTACCTAGGCGCATTTGAGCAGCTTTTTCTCTAAGACTCAACTCTATTCTCTGGCTTTTGCGGGAGCCGTATACTTTGGTATTGTCGAGCTGGGTAAACTTCCCCGACATGAGTGCCCCCGGGGTCCGCGACAAACACCGCGGCGTTTGGCCGAGTCTTAGCAGAGCATCAGCCGAAAATTCCTCATTGGCTACGTTGAACGTCAGCAAGGCACTGCAGACTCTTTCTCGCTTTCTTCAATCCCACGTATCGTCTTTAGCTTCTAAACCAGCGGCGGTGGCGGAGATGCCCATCATGACGAACTCGGGCCATCTCCCACCGGTCACTTCGGCCCCCCTTCGACATTTCCTCAACAAAGCCATTGTAATTTTGAAGAGAGTAGCCCTTCCTTGATTCCTGATGAGAGGCATGAACAGGGGCGAGGCTAGTTGAACAAGAATTTCAATTCATTTATTTCTACAAACCTCCATGTTGAATGATGCATGCAATACCACGCTTCTGGAACATCAGATCTATACTCTTCTCCCACATTACTACGTCCAGATATATCCCCAACTAAGCCCAGTCAATGGCAGGCAGCAGTCTTCGTCGGTGGCGAATTGCTGAACAGCATGTATCCAACAAAGGCCCCAACTGCGACCGCAAACATAATCCAGCCATTGTACGTCATAAATAGTAACCTATGTTTCAGTGAGTTTATTATCATGCGGGCAAGGTAGAAGGAGGGACTTACATAATGAAGAAAGAATAAAAGACCTGAACAGCATACAGTACCGCCTTAACGATCTTCGTCTGTCGCTCACTGACCCTGCCCGAGATTCTCCCTGGCATAAGCAATGAGCTCGATTCGTCTGTTTCAGCAGCTTTACGTTGCGGAGGCGAACTCAGCGTGTGTTCCTCGAACGTGCGACATAAGAAACCACCCATTGCATCTCGTAACCCTTCGCTAGCGCCTACCATCCGAGCCGAGTATCATGAACGGGGAAACTCACTCGTCATATCATCTCCACCCCTCCTGCCCTCCGCCAGCTTCTTAGTGTACAGATCATACCGTCTGGAAACCTCACGCACGGCCTCATATCCAGCCGTCATAAGGACAATCGCGAGAAGAGAGACGATGAGGGAACCGGTGCCATTGATGTGCCAGCCGCGGAATACGATGCAAAGGTCCTTGGTGTCCCATGTGAACAGCATCTATCATCCGGTTACGTTAGCTTTTGCAGAACTCCAAGGCTTGGGGGAGCTTTTGGAAGCTTACATTCATGTTGCATTTGTGGCTGCCGTCCATACCCGGCATGTCATGGTCCATATGACCGTGAACCATGTGCGAGTGATCCATATCAAGTTCAGCGATAGGCAAGTTGTGGTGGTGGGGTGGTTGAGGTTGAGAGGTTTGGCAGCTGTGGCAGTGTGATGTCTGCGTCTCAGGTCCAGTTCAGGTTGATGCCAAGGGATGAGGTGTAGCGTCGCACTACCACCAATCAAGTGGGCCCAGGCTCGCGGGCTCTCACGTGGCGGGGAAGCTCCCTCCGGCCGCGGGTCGGTGGCTTTTGTGTCATTCGAGATGGCTTTCCCTTCCAGGACTTCCGATTTAAATATTGCCTCAATGCTCGCTTCTAGAATGACTTCACCATCCCTAAGATAACCACCATGCAATATGTGCGCCCAACCTTCCGAATTCTCCAACGTTCCTGCTTGAGCAGAGCAACATCAAGATACTTGCCGACTCGAAGACTATTCTCAACCACAAACACAGCTCGGGCTCTTGCAAGCCCATTAAACATACCAAAATGGTATGAAGTTTAACGAATACATGTCAAACCTTCTAATTAACATTTCGAAGGCTTGAAGAAAACTCCCACTTGCTTAAACCACCAATCAACAACTACTGCGTCTACAACGACAATGTGACCGTCATGATCGTGGGCGGCCCCAACGAACGAACAGACTACCACGTCAACGAGACTGCAGAATGGTTCTACCAATACAAGGGTGACATGCTTCTCAAAATTGTAGATGACGGCCTGTTCCGCGACATCCACATCCGCGAAGGCGAGATGTTCCTTTTGCCACCAAACACGCCTCACAACCCCGTACGTTTTGCAAATACTGTGGGGATAGTTCTAGAACAGCATCGACCAGAGGGTTCTGTTGACAAGTTGAGGTGGTACTGCCAGGAGTGTAATGAGCTAGTGCATGAAGCGAGCTTCCATTGCACTGATCTAGGGACCCAAATAAAGGATGCGGTGGATACTTTCAAGGCTGATAAAGAGGCCCGGACATGTAAGAGTTGCGGTGCCTTATGTGACACAGCACCCAGGCCCAAGAAATGGGTTCAGTAGACCAAAAATTATTCATGAATATCAAACGCCTAAACCAATGAATCGGAGCTGCCCTACAACCCCTTCCACATCATCTTTGCTACGTGGTCATTCTTCTTCCTGCTGGGCTTCAGGAGACCGAGATATTTGAGCTCAGCCAAAGCACACTGAAATAGGGCCCTGTGATAACTGTCAGCCATGCTAATAATTAGTATGTACTAAAAAGAAAACTTACATAGTCTTAGATTCCTCGTCCTCATTCTCGTCTCCAGCTATTGCATTGAAAGCCGACCACAGGTCACTGACATTAATGAGAGCGCCCGACTCCAGATACAATTGATATAGGATAGCTGTCGCGGGTTGCGAAGAAGATAATGGGGCTTCTCTATCTCGAACCCCGCCAGGGCTACAACAATCGCAACCCAGATAATCATGAGGGGAAGCTAACGAGCGCTCAATCGCAAATCGGGGTTTTGGCTGAAAGACCTCTGTGTGTGGTGACCTCAGGTCGAACATGAGAATCTCAGAGAGGAACAAAGCCCGCGGGTCAATGAAAGTAGCGCTAAAGTACTCATTGATCTCGTCATGGAATCGTCCCACTAAATCAGAGTAAGCCTTGTCCTGTTCAGACAGAGCGGCTTTGTGCTTGCTCAGCAGTACTTTCTGTGCGACCACCGTCGTCCGAAGGCTGTCATTGCGGACATCATGCTGGCTGCGAAGAGGTGCCGAATTAGGGTTCGCATTGACTAATTCCTCGAGGTCCCGTTGGTATTTACCCGGATCGAACAAGAGGTATGTTTCATCAACTTTCTCAAAGGATGCAAACAGTTGCATAAGCTTGTCCGATGATGCCTTCTTGATTGCTAGCATAGTCTCTCGGAGGATAGGTGATCCGATCATTTCTCCAGATGCAGCTCGGATCCAGATCGATGATAGTGGTACGTGTGGTGACATCTGAAGCGCTTCTCGTACATGCGCGAGTACAGTCGCCGCACCGCTGAGTGCAGATAAAACTTCCCGACCAGAACGTACGTGTTCTACGATGTTCTCAAACAGATATTGGTCAGAGCCAAGAAGCTTGCGAACTTCATGCCCACGTCCACTTTCAAGCATGTCCTCTACCCATCTAAACGAGTTAGTCAATAATTAAGTGTGTGGGGAAGTAGTCCTACCTGCGGAAAGAGTGAAGATTGCGCGTTGCTTCAAAGACGTCCGAGGCAAGATCCTTAAACGAGAGGGTTTCGATAAGGAATATACTGAGGCAATTGGCATAGAAATGCGACATGTAAGCATACTTGAGCCCATCTGAGAAATCTTGCAGATTTTGCACATGGTCTCTTTGCCGTTCGAGGATGCGTCGGCTAAGGTTAGGCCCGATTCGCAAGGGAACATTGGTACTGGCGACCGTTGTGCTGAACAATTTCTCGATAATTTCGTCCGACTGAGTAACATCGAACTTTCGTCCTTCTAAATGGCGTAGGGCCTTTCCTGATAGTCGATCCTCGAAGCTCTCGGCAGAGGTTGCAATACCAAAGAGAAGGACGAAGGGGAGACGGTCCAACCAAGAGCTGGAAACCATAAGTATAGGTGGTAACAAAGAGGGGGTGACGACTTACTGAAACAAATCGATCATTTCGACTAGCACACCAGCGTCGAATGCTTCACTGTCTTGTATGGCAACAACAATTTTCTGTGCTTGGTGTTTCAACTGCCATCCTAGCAGATGGCCAAGATCAAAGTCTAGAAGTCGTGGATGATTTCTTGAGGATGTTCCAGGGCGCCCAAGATTCTCCTCATCGTCTTCATCGATACGGGAAGCCACTTTCTTGATGAGATTCTTCAAAAGTGTCTTCAAATTGGGGCCCTCTCCTGAAGTCAAAAGCAAATAGGCATTATTCGCATCCTCTTTTATCTTTCGACCCAGCCGATCAAAAAAGGGTCCATGAGAAGCAATGCTTGGACCTGCGATTATAAGGCCGGTGGGTATAGCCAAATATTCCACACAATCAGGCTCAGCAGCAGCAGACACAAAGTTTGCAATGTTTTGTAGCGTTGATCTGTCGCCTTCCTCTAGCGTATTCTACGCTCATGAGTGACTGCTGACGAATGAGCGATGAGATCTTACCTGAATCCGCTCTTCTTGTTGAGACCATATATCTCGATACCCTTGAAGGCGTTCTGGGAAATGGACTAAGGGGCTGTTGAGCTGAGTGATTCTCCGGCGCTTTGCTGCTCGTTCATCGGCCTCAGGAGGTGAGTAAATATAGCATCTCTGGTGTTCCATGGCCAATTTTGGACGGGTTGCCCTCGTCGTGTGTAGTTGTTACTCAATGAAAGAGAGCGGATAAACCGAGAATGTGAACTCGGAAGAACCCTTACGCGCGCCACGAGACTACGCGGGGTGGCCCGAGCGCCCAACAATTTGTGTTCTGCATACAGGTCGGTGCAGACACTACGATGCAGACACTACGATGGGCAGCTGATAATAATTTAAACGTTGAATCCCATAGGGTGTTTACTGTTGGTTGGGCTAACTCTCCCCGGGGAAGATAGTCACAATACCTATCCCTTCCTGCTCTAAACTACATAGCAACCTCATTTGAAGAAAGGAAGCAGGGGTTGAGTAGTATACGATTGAGTGCTACGATTGAGACCTATCTTTAATATATGCTCAAATTTATCACTGCATCTTAGTGGGGAAAAGTATATATCCCATGAGTTTTACTGCTCCCGAGTTAAGATCCACCCCCAGCAGAAATACCTTGGAGCAAGTGAGTCTCGTATCACGGCTCTAGAGAGATAGCGGCTGGATATCATCTAGCGCGAGAATCAGACGAGTCGAAACTCTTACCAATGAGGTAACGTTGATGACAAACCGACATTCAACTTACTCCAAGCGCTTTTCTTTTTAGGGAGTCTCAAAGAAAATGCCCCTCAGGAGGTCTCAGAATGTTAATCATGATCTTTCTCAGTAATCCCGGGACAGCCATCCAATGTTGCGCTTGAATAGCGGTATTTACACCAGAAGCAGTAGTGATGGGCCTCGCGCAAATAGACTACTACTTTCTGGAGACGTTCTGCCAGTGGCTGCGCCTCAAACTCCTCAAGCTCTAGATCTTCGTCGCTAAGATCTTCAAGGTCGTCTTCAATGGCGGTTACGTCGTGACCAAGCGCTAGTTTATCGTCGGCATCCTCATCCTCGTCCGCGCTGATGTACGTTGGTAGTGTACTTGAAAGACTATCATTGAAATGCTGGCGTCGCTTTCGGTCTCGCTCTTTCTCGAGCCGATTTCGGACCAGCCTACGCCAAAGGATGTTGATGCTTTGGAGTGACCTCTTGCCGGAAATTGTTTGACGGCTCTTGTATTCGCTAGTAGGTGTCCACTCCTGGCCTTCACGTGCGCTTTGATCATCCTCTTCAACCAGCCTCTCAGCAGTCTTCTGGGCGTTATACAACTCAACCCCCAGTCTCTTCTCCTCGTTTTCCTGCCTAACCCGCTCCCGATAATCGACCTGCTCTATCTTGGATCGCTTGACCTCCTTCTCAGCCTCCTCCACCAGCTCTCTAAGTTTCCTTTTCCTCTCAGATTCTAGACCGAGGCCGCTTCTATCATCTTTCATGCTTAAATGGATTGGTTCCTTCCGTGCATCCTCGGCTTTTCCAAGGGTATCACCTTGTCTAAAACCAAACTTGGCCATCATCTTGAAACCTTTACTGGACGAGTCTAACGCCGTAGCCAATCCGGCTTCTCGGGCTGCTTCTGTTTCCGCTTCTTTCTCAGCTCTGGTCTTTGCACGTGCTTTTGCTTCACCCTAGAGAGTATCAGCGATCAGCTCATGCACGAAACGCAGAACATTGGTAGATTAGTACCTCTTTTTGCATGCGCGCCCGACGCTGCAGGGATGTCTCTTTTCCAGCCTTCGGGGCGTCATCGAATACCATACTCATGTAGTCGTCCTCCTCTTCAGACTGCGACATGATGGGCGCTAATTTTTGGTTGTAGTTGGAACATGCAGGCACGGAGTTGTCTCTGGTGGTCAATGTGAAGCTTTCCAAGCCACTCACCTTAGCGGCTTTCACGTGAAGCGAACCGTGGAATCTGGGGTTCCCACGCTAAATTCTCCATGCACGACGACATCCCTGTTCCATCCAGCCTTTCATTCACTTGAAAACCTCCTATTGAACGCCGATTAAATATCGGAGATTGTGTTCAAATACACAACGGATATTAGAGGTATCGAATTGCGATCAGGAATTGCTACCTTCACTAACAGCATGCGTCGCAGTCATCTCTCCTTTGCATCGGGTTTCCGGGTGGCTTTTGACATCTCAATCCTTCACGTCATGGCAAAGCCGAAGGCGGCGCCGCTTTGAACTTTGTACGAAGAGCCACGCGATCACACGACACACCTTGTTCGCACTCTCCCCGCACACTTTCAAGCCTTCAATATTTCTGACCACATGTCCCCCAACCCTTCTATACTCATCCTAGGCCAATGGCCACTCTGATGGGTCGTGCATTTTAACAAAATGAGAATCTTGTAGAGAGAGAGAGTGACCTAGGATTGCCTTCTTCGCTGCGCTACATTGAGTTGATCGCAACACCAGAGCTCAAAATGAGCAAAGAATGCGCCTTCCATTGCCAAGGGAGGGGTTGCTTCGCCTCTTCTCGTACCCAACAAAGATTATCAGTTTTCTTGGGTTTCCGCTCACCTGTTCTCAAGCTCCTTCTCACGATGTGTGGACCTGCAGGAAACGAAAGGTCTTCTTTCTGAAAGGGGGATATACAGCCGGCAGAATGCCTCCAAGGATTCGGTCCAGTAACCCCACAACGGAGCATCACCTTAGCCAGAACAAGAATTTAGGCCGCGCCGCAGCCGCCTACAGATGCACTCACGGTCGGCGTCATCCGTTCGGAGCTTCCAGCATCCAACATATCGTTCGTCGACCCCTGCCTGTCATTGCGCCGCAGAAGGCCGAGTCCTCAGCTTGAGACAGACTTTTCTTCTCATCTTGATGTCCGCACCTCTCAATACATTCGGTGCGACCGAGCGTAGGGGCTGGAGCCAGGGTACAAGAGCTTAGACCGAGCGCATGCAACCATTTAGATCGCGCTGCCGCATGCTGTCGCAGGCTTCAGCCACGACAGACTGCGGCATGTGCTTTTTGTCTTCGAGATAGGCTGCCTCGGCCTTCGCATTTGCCCAAGGATCTGTGGCAATCATTTCGGGGGCTTCCCTATTAAGAATACTTTAGAGGCTTGTTATTGGCTCTCGACGAAACCCTTCCTCTTGCCACTCAATCTCTCCTTTCGAGCTCCGAGCGATCTGCCACCACCTCGGTCGGCGCACCCATCTGAACATGGGCTGCTTGAAGACTCTCGTTTACCTTTTGTTCATGTGCTTGAACTCCATATTTCCATTTCCATAATTAAGTGCTTCCCCGCGGTTTCTCCACCTGCGTCCTTGACCTTACTTGGAGCTTGGGCGCTGTTCCTTTCTGACCATATTTCACGTTTTCATTTTCTTTGTATCTTTCCGCGTGCATCCTACCTAATTACGGCACGCGCTTTTCTTTGTTCACTATGGCAGACAAGAACGAAGCGCCGTCCACCTCCGAGGTGGTCGAGAACGGCGGATACTCGAATGGAGAAGTGGCGCCTAGGAAGAGAGGAGTGATGAACACCTTGTATCCTCCAGGAAAGACACCTGGTGCTGGACCAAGGATAAAGAACCACTGCAGGAAGTTTTGGTGGTGCGGTTCGTATTCCCATTGTTGTGTCACTTGGACATGATCTGACAACAACACAGACCTACTAGTAGTTGCCATCATCGCGCTGGTAATTGTTCTACCAATGTGAGCAGTGAACAGTGCAGCAATCTGCCACTATCTAATCACAGCATAGTATCTTTGTTGCGATTCCAAATAAGGCCCAGCACGACATCAATGCATCAACGCTTGAGGTCACAGAGCAAGACATCACTTCACCACAACCAGAGGGACTTCATCTTAAGCTCGTCAGTCTTGCAAAGAGCGGCAGCAGCTTTCATCCAACTCTTGACGCCTTCCGAGCATCGCTTTCTTTGAAAAACAAGGACCCGTTCCTGTTCATTGATATCCCGGAGGCCAAAGCCAACGCGGAGACAACGATTGTTGTCGAGCAGGATGTTAAGTTTGCGTCCGCAGATCAATTCACGGAGTACAACAAAATGGTGATGGGGAGCGAGCAATTCGAAATCTACTTGAGCGGAAAGACCAAGGTTCATCAATCTGGCCTCAAAGGTATCTCAGTCGACTACAATAAGGTCATTACTATGAAGGGTATGTCTCTATTTGCATCATGGCAACGCCGCAATAGCTCATCACTCCACAGGATTAAACAAACTAAAGGGTCTCAACATCACCGACCTAACACTCCTGAATAAAACCCTCGACGACGGCTCTAACATGAAAGGCAACGTCTTCATTCCGAATCCATCCGTCATGACGCTCTCCCTGGGCAATGTGACAATGAATCTCGTCCTAGACGGAACGCCTATCGGGATTTCGCTCCTCCCCGACCTGGTCATCAAACCTGGAGACAACAATGTGCCGATGCAAAGCACCGTCAACCAGAGCGCCGTCCTAAATTACATCATGGCGAAGAAAACTGCAGTCATCCCGCTCGACATTCTCGGCAACTCTAGCATGGTCGGCGATCAGCATCTCAAGTATTTCGAGGCTGCGATTCAGTCGAATACGGTACGCGTTGACCTGAATGTCGGACCTGCGCTTGCAGGAATTGGGCTCAACGTGCAAACGCTCATTGGTGGTGGTTCATGATTGAAATTTGCGTTATTCTTTTTTTTGGGTTGTGATATGAATGGTTTTTCACGGTCACTGCATTATCACAGCTAGATCAAGAGGCTCGGCGGAGGGGGGAAAGGAGCCCAGGAGGCTTTTTACTTGTTGATACCAGATCGGGTGGGTAAGCGTCAATGCAATCCGCGAGATTTGCCTTGACATTTTTGAAGAGATTGTAATGTACATGCCAGCACACGGCAATCCGGAATGTGTTCTTGTGAGCAGTCAATATACAGCTAATAAGTGACCGCGATACCGAGCCTATTTCCTTCCGAGGGATCTTGAGTGCTAGGGTATATGTGGATTAGTGCTATCGCTGCCGACCCAAGTCTGCAGTGTTATTTCCGAGATACGGTGTTTTCGATTGAGTGCATTTCCGCGACACTATCTCCGACATGTTTCATTTCGAGGGTCGCGTGTTGTACGATTTCCATATCATACGCTCTTACTAGGGTTTCGACTTTGTGACTGTGAAGGTCGCGTAGACAGCTTCCAGTGGATGCATTTTATGCTCTCATTTTAAAGATTACGCCGTAGCACTCGTTGGTGGAACACTACTCATAAATGTGGTATCAAAACGAAATGAGAATTGGTCTGCATTGCCTATCCACGGCTAGAGTTTATTATATCATACAGGAAATTTCCTAAACGCCATTTTCGTACCACATTCCACTGAGCCAAGGAATATAACGGCATGAAACAAGGCTCTATCCATCCCTACTCGTCATCATCGTCATCCTCTTCGTCTTCGTCTTCATCCATACCTTCGGCAGCATTAACTGCAAAGGTAGGCGCCTGATCTACACCAAGGTAACTATCGCTGATCAAATACAGCGTCAATTCATGCTCTCCGGGCTCCGGTACCGTAAACTCCAGCTTCGTCTTCAGCTCCCTTCCAACCGTGACCTTTTTGATTGCTAACAAGCTATGACTCTTTTGGTCACCGACAATAAGCCACCAGTTCTCAGTCTTCTCTGCTGGATAGAACGGCGCGTGGACTTCGGTCTTGGGCTCATCGTCTTCGTCGAGTTCACGGGTGATGACAACACTAATATACGATGGCGAATTGGCAGTGATGTCACCCGGATCAATGACCTCGAAGTTCATCTCCACGTTGGGGTAGTAGTCGTTCGTGAAGTTGGCTGCGTCCGCCAGCTGCTTATTCTCCAAGCTCAGCGCCTTGACCAACTTCTTGTAGTCCTTATTCTCTTCCGGGTCCATAGCCTCCATAAACTCGTAAATATCGTTGATACCAAACTTCTCCGCCGCTTTGACAGTATCGTTGTCGAAATGTGGGATCTGCTTAAGTGGGGAATCTTTCTGCCACATACCCTGGACTGCCATCTGTGAAATTTCCATGGCGGTCATGGCATTCAGGTGACCCTCGGAGGAGAGAACGTCAACGCTGGCGCTAAGAATGTTAAGCACCTTCTTCAGAATGATTTCCTGATCCTTAGCCAGATCAATGGGGAGTTGCATGCGCGAAAAATGAGCTTGAAGGAGGACGAATGCTTTGAAGTCCGGGGATTCAAAGTTTGGTGTCTGAACCTTATAAGGTATCCGCTCGTAGATCCGGCGCAAAATATGGTCCTCGTGGCGCCTAATCTGGATACTCTCAAACTCGGTAGCTGCGGTGACAATTTCCAGAACGCTCTTGAGACTGCTCTTTTCGTTGAGCGACATCATTAGCGTCTGCATGGTGACGAAGGAGATGTTGTAATAAGCAGCGATCATGCATGGATTCAGTGGCGCAATCGAGTCTTCTTCTTCGTCGTGCTCGATGAGGCCGGCATCGGCAAGCTCTTTCAACGTTGCTTCGACAAGCTCGGAGAGATGCGCACTGAGACCTTCGTGTGAGACATCATGAAGACCGTAGTAGCTTGGGTTCGCGAGTAGGCGTCGGTAGAAGTACGTGTACGTAGACCAATCCACAGCCTCTTGAGTGGCCTCGATCGTCTTCGCGCTAATTTCGGCAACGAAAACATCATGTAGGAAAATGTGGAGGGAGCTCTCAATGGGAAGGGCCTCATCCAAGAACTTCTTATAGTAGTCTCGCTTGACCGCCGGCACGAAGAGGAATCCCTTAGCAGATTTGTCCTCACCAACTCTGCCTGCCTTTCCAAACATCTGTAGGACCTCGCTGATAGGGTAGTCGACGTAACGGTGTTCCCGACCTTCGAAGAACTGAGTGCCCATAATGATGACTGTATGCGCGTTGCAGTCAACCTCCCAGCAGGAATCTCGGGATACTATCATGACCTGGATAGCACCAACCTTGAAAAGATGCTGGACAGCTTTCTTGTCGAAAGGGTTAAGGGCTTCGTGGAAGTATCCAATACCATGGGAGAGCGACTCTGCTAGGACTTGTTCATTAACTTTGGCTAGGATGGGCTTGATGTCCTCTAATGGGGCGTTCAAGAAGCGGTCCTCGTCATTTTCGATGACACAAGCAGAGAACAGGTCCAAAGCTGTTCCACGCGTTTGTTTCCGGCTCGGTACAAACACCATCACTGGCTTGTCTGGAGAATGTTGTGTGATTGCCTGATATGTCGGTTTGGCCATTGCCAGCATCAAAGAGGGAAAATGAGGAATGGTGAAAGACTGGATGTGCAGTTCCAGGGGCACTGATCTGACCCTGGGACTGAAATTGAAGATGGTGTGTTTCGTTGCGCCGATCCACTCGCCGATATCTCGAGCGTTCGACAATGAAACACTGAGACCAACGATCCGCATCCTGGACTCGAGTTGTGCAGCCATAGCATGCATTCGCGAGACCACCGTCTCGTAAATATGTCCTCCAGAACCACCCAACATGTGTAGGTCATCGGCGATGAGTAGAGCCACAGTTTGCACGTTCTTGCGTCGTTGCCATTGCCGCGAGATAACGTCCCACTGCGAAGGGGTGGCCAGGATAAGATCTCCCTTTTCAAGTAACCGTAAATCTGCCGTAGTCTCTCCGGTAAGCCTAACGATGTCCTTACCTTCCCAAAGCCCTGATAAACGAGCCTCCCAATTCTTGAACTGGTTGTCTACAAGGGCTTGAGAGGGCGCAAGATAGACGATCCGGCCTTCCTCATCTCCGGACCAATGGCGCAGGATAGCAAACTCAGCACAGAAGGTTTTGCCAATCCCAGCAGAAGCCCCTATGAATACGCTTTCATCCGAAGTATAAAGGGAGTTGAAGACTTGTGTCTGGACTCTGTTGAAACTATTGATGCCCTTGTACAACTCTTGATATTCTCGCCTCTTTAATTCAGAGATGGGCAATGGCTGCAATTCCAGGAGTTGCGTATGAGCCGGAAACTTCTCTGGAAGGACAAGCTTCCGGAAAGAGACGGGCATTTTCGTTTCCGCATTCATCCAGCGATCGGAAATTACAGTGACGAAGTAGTTTGGTGGCAGGGGATCTGTCAGAGGGACGGTGAACTCGACGATATGGTCACTCTCGGCATAGTCCCGACGGAGAATGAATTGGTCGTGGAATAAAATATCTTCGCCATCGCAATCCTCTACGAGGATCCAAAAAGCCTCAGAATTACCGTGAAGCTGGTCATCCCACTCGAAATTCGGCTTGATAGTAAGTTCGAAGCGAAGCATAGATCTCGTCATGGGTTGGAAAAAAGTCTCTAATTCGAGACGGGGGAACTTCTGGACAAGCTGGCACACCACCCTGCCAGACTTTGGCAAGCCTAAAAGTTCGCCCATTTTTGGTGGATCGAGATCAAAGTAGCTCTTCCATGGTACGTCAATGCGCTCCGCTTTTTGCACAATTTCCTTTGGACAGTTTGGGAATTGTCTGAGAGGTGACATAGTGGGCCACATCCGTTTCTCAGCCATCTTGCATAGATCCAAAGCTGTTTTGGCCACTTCAGCCCAGCCTTTCTTGAGGCAGATCTCAAATATTGCGCGCAAGATACGACCGGCCGACTGTGTGACATATACCATGTCTGCCATTAGCGCAAGACCTTCCAGCTTAAGACGAGAAATGTAAGCTTGAAGAAGGACATTGATCTTGGCTTGAGGCTCTTCGACGCCCTCTTTGACTGGGACCGGAACACGGCCAAGGAGTTTCGCAAGCTCAAGCTTCTCTTCTTGCCGAACCGGGATGTACTTGAATTCCTCGCTTAATGCAAAAACGCGGAACAGTTCGATCGAGGTGATGCCAGGCTGGATATGTCTATTGTAGGTAGCCATGGAATTGTGTGAGATGTAGTAATGCGAGGCAATCCTTCCAAGTTCAGTCGGCTGAAGCTTACCCGACTTCTTTTCATACTTGATAAGGCTACATTTCTCCAAAACATGCGCGGCCGCATGAATCAAATCCACACGCTTCTGCTCCAGAGCTTCATCATTCTCATAATCAGCGCCGACGCTGTACAAGCCAGGGGAGCGAAGCATTCTAACAAAGAGATAAGTGTATCCAAGCCATTCGACGCCCTCATCTCGAGTACGGACATTGCCTAGGACAATTTCTGCGTTGAGGTTGTCTGCAAGCTTGCTGACAAATTGGGATTCGATGGGGAGTTGCTGGTTCAGGAGTGATAAGTAGTACTGAACTTCGGCTTGGGTGGTGATGATAATGCCCTCGCCGTAAGTATCATACTGAGGTCGACCTGCGCGACCAAGCATCTGTAGGACATCCTGAGGACTTAATTCAACCCAGCTACCCTTTTCAGGAGAGTACACCTGCGTGCCTTTGATGATGACGGTATGGGCCGGAAGATTGACACCCCAAGCCAGGGTGGCTGTACAAACAAGAACTTGAATGGATCCATCGGCGAAAAGATCTTCCACCGACGATCGATCTGCCCTCGACATGCCAGCGTGGTGAATGCCGAATCCATATGGCATCAGGTCCTTTAGGTCGGTGTTCTGAACAGCTTCCGCCTCTTCTCTAAGAATCTCTCGGCTTGCAGAGTCAGTTCGAAGGATCTGACCGATGGTCTCCATTTCGAGTGCTTTATCCCGGATGTATTTCGCAGTCTTCGCAGTCTCTTTTCGAGAATGTACGAAGATCAGCATCTGGTTCCGATTCTGGCCTACTTGCTCCAGAACCTTGGTATAGCAGACGTCGTTCATTGTTTTGAGCTGTTTGATGGCCTTTTTGTCTGTAACACCAATGAATTCCTGCTTCAATGGACACGGTCGGAAAGTTGCATCAAAGTGAAAGAGCCCTTTCTCAGGATCTACCCGAAGAAAGCTCGCCACATCGCGATAATTGGGCAGTGTAGCACTAAGACCAACAAGTCGAACATGCTCGCCAGTCTGCTCGGTACGACGTATCGTTCTACTAACAATGCTCTCAAGAACCGGCCCTCGATCATCGTGCAGAAGGTGAATCTCGTCAATACAAATTAGGCGAACCAAGTTAATATAACTCGTATCAGTGGCCTTACGAGTAATGACATCGTACTTCTCTGGAGTGGTGACAATAATTTGGGTTTCAGCAATTTGCTGCTTCGTAAGCTGTCGATCGCCAGTGAGTTCAGCAACCCGAATGCCGTACGGTTCCAAACGTTTGCCAAAGTTTCCAACTTGTTCTTGTACGAGAGCCTTCAGCGGAGCGATGTATATTATTTTGAAGTCATCAAGGTTTATCTCGCCAGTCCGAGGGTCCCGGTGCTTTCCAATTTCGCGGAGCATTGCCAGCATTGCCACATTTGTTTTTCCAGATCCAGTTGGGGCGCAAATGAGCATGTTACCATCATCGTTGAAAGCGGTCGGGAAACATTTCGTCTGGATGCGGTTTAGCTCCTTTGACGAGCCAAAACCCACTTGAGCCCAGTTAGGCAAGTCGGATGTAGGCATATTCCTCTTTTCATTTGGATCACGCCTTGCCTTAGGAGCTGGAACGTGTATCTCCTCATATCCTTTGAACTGACGCCGAGTGGATCCTTGGGGGAGTTTAACACTCGGATTTGTCATGAGATGGTTGCCCTGGTCAAAGACAAGGTTGTCTAATGTGATTAGACGTCCTGACGGCTGGAGTCCTCCAACCAAGCCCTCGTGTTTAGGAGCATCCTCCATCTCCGTGTCTTTCGATACAGTTGGGATATCGATATCCATCAGATCAAATTTCAATTTTTTTGCGCCTGTAGAATCCGCCGCTGCAGTTCCAGTCTCTCGTGCACGCAACTCTTCCAGAATTTTTCGGTGTCCAGCAGCCTTCATTTCTCGCTCAACTGCTGCTCGTTCATCCTGGTCTTCGGCCGCACGCCTCCATTTAGTGACCCAGACAACTTTGTCTCGGTTGAGAACTAGCTTTGTGACGAGCTCGTGGTGTTCATAATCAAAGAGCTCCATCAGGTCGTTTTCAATCTCACGCAAGGGCTTGTCTTCCTCGTCTTCTGTAAGTCCAGATAGGATCTTGAGCGCATCTCGGGTCTTCTCTTGCTGTGTGTGGGCGTCTTCGTAAATTTGACCAATTTGCCTCTGCAACCAGTACGCATCAATCTCGTGGGCGGGTATGAGCTGGTCTACCTCTTTCTTATTGTCCGTAGACGCGGCCACATCGCCTTGGAGAATCATCTCTTCTATGTCGCCTAGATTGCGCTCCGGGCCGGGAGCGTCTGTATCTTGTTCAGGCTCCTCATCCTCGTCCTCATCCGAGGTGTCTTCGTCTCGCACCTCAAAGGTCTGACCTGCGTTCTCGTCGTCCTCGTCTTCATCGAAAACAACCGCGACACCTTGGTTTTCATCAACCTCAGCGTCATCAGCAGCTTCCGCACCTTCATCTGCGTCCTCATCCTCGTCTTGGGCCTCATAGTCCGTGATCTTCTTGCTGAGGCTGACCAGCTCGTTAAACTCTTTTGGTCCCATAGATGTACCAAGAATATCGTCAACCTCCTTCTTTTTATCGAAGTCTTTCAGGTCTTCGTCCTTGAGATATTCAAGAACGGCGTCGGCAGCACTCCTTGTAACATGTGTAGGGACATCTCCTAGGTTCTTGCCTACAATTGTCGTAATCAGCTCGTAAGTCGCTCGAGTCGCAGGAGTTCGCGGTTTGTATTTGAGATCTTCGACGAAAAGGTCTTGCTGGGCCACTTGATTTGCTCCAAGAGCGCCTGCTCCATCTCCTCTCTTCCTCTTCCGCTGTTCGCGCTCGAACACCTCGGCTCCTTCGTTTATACTTCCCCGCTCGACACCAAGGGGACCCTTAGACTTCTTCTGATCCGTGGGGGCGTTGTCCCTCGCAGTGCGCCCGCCCATATCCCGGATGTTAATTCGACCGGCGAGCGACTCTGGATCACCAGTGTTCTCATCTCCTCGGCGTGTGACAAAGCGTCGATCCGCCTGGAGGACCAAATTGGACATGGCCGCATATTTGAACTGCGCGAGGTTGTTTTCCTTCCTGTCCGCCATCTTGAATGGGAGGCTGTCGCGACCTCAGCGGAACGAATGAAGGAAATATCTGGTTTTGGGGTTATTGGATTATTTGGAAGTCGCGTCGTACCACGTGCCTGTAGGGATTGAGCGCGCAAAGAAGCGCAGGTGGGATACCGAGGGGGTGTCGGTGGAAGGCAATAGAGCGCAAAAGTTGAGGCAATGGAGGACGAAATGCTGAAGCCCAGACTAACCCCAGAAGGCAGCCACGTCTTGCCTAACAAAGACTAGCGCGAAAGTGGTCCCTCAATCCTAGCAACAAAGTGAAGTAAAACCTTGGAAAGCTGCGGATAGGCAATGAACGCCTTTAGTGCAAAATCGCATGCTCAGTCTTTCATGATCGTAGGAAGTAAAAATATTTTGAGTTCACGCGCTATTTCATCTGTAAGACTGCATATTTGAAGGGTTTGAAGCTGAGAGATAAACTCTACTATCCGGCACTTGCTTCTTGAACAACACAGGAGATGCATCATTGTATCAGTCTCTATTAGGTAGTAAATCGTGAGTCTCAAATCCCCATCCTAAACGCGCGTGGATATCATGCAAGCGAGCCCAGTTAACCAATTTAAAACGCATCTTCATTCGGACAAGCCGTGACATCATGTCCCTCACTCTCACAGAGAGCACACCATTTGTCCGGGTCAGCTACGGTTGCACCCTTGGGGGGCACAAGCGATGAGTTGTATGGGGTCGGAAGAGGAGCGGTTGGTGCGCTCCCTGGTGCCTTCGCGGGGGTGTGAGGTGTAGTCCGAGAGCGACCGGAGGACATGGATAGGTTGCGCAGGCCTTCAATAACGGCTTCTTTCCCGCTGTGCTTGCCGTTCTCTTGCGGCTTTGCCACGCCGTCCCCACCCATAGCGGCGCAGTTGAGGATATCATGACCTCCAGTTTCGCAGATCTCGCACCAGAGAACACTGCCGTCAGCAGACGAATGCCCATCAGACTCGATCATCGGTTCTAAGGCTGAGGCTGGTTCATGACGAGTAAGCTGTGGTGACCCTCTCCAGCTGACAACGGTGCCCTTCGAGTCTCGTCCAGAAGACCGATGTTCCTGTGTTGCAGTTCGCTCTGACATGCCGTTGCTAATTACACTCTCGCGTTGCTCTGCAATTCCGACCTGGGTTTTCAACCTTTCAATTTCTCGCTCCAGTTCCTCTTCCCTGTAGGCTTTCCGCTCCACAAGACCTCGCAGCTCCTCTTTTTCGCGTTCTAGGCGTTCAACATTTGCCTCTGCAGACTTGAGATCTTCAGCGTTCGCCATTGAGCCTTGGCGTGATAGGAGAGATCGACCGTGTTCCTCAGGGCCAGAGCTAAGGGAGTGAATAATAGCTTTGAGGCCACGAATCTCATCGTCTCGCTGCTCAACCTCCCTAGATCCCGGGCTAAGTGGATTGTCCACCATCGCACCAGCGCCTTTCAGGGCCGCAGCAGCTTTCTCTCGTTCTCGACGAAGTTCTGAGCGGCCACGTTCTACCTCACCCCGAAGAAACTCAACCTCCCCACGTGCTTCTGCTTCTCCCCGCCTTGCATCCTCAAGTCCTTCCTCCAGCTCCTGGACAAGCTCTTCCAATTGCTTCAGCTGCCTCGCTACACTTTCCACGTCTTCCCCTCGTTCGTGAAGTTCCCGGATTTCGCTCTGAAGCTCTTCTACCTTTCTCTCGTAGACACGCTCTGTCTCCGTACTCGCCATCTCCAGCGTATCTATTGTGCTTCGGAAGTCGGCTCGATGGGCATCAAATTCGGCTGTAAGCAGAGAGATCCTTTCGTTCTTTTCGCGAAGGAGAATTCGCAACTGGGCTACGTCGCCGGATTCATTTCCGTTGCTCCGCGAACGTCCCAGGTCCAGGCCCTCTTCAGGAATGAGGTTTTGTATTTCTGATAGACTAGCCTCCATCTCTGCCAAAGATGACGCTTGCTCTTTCAGTTGCTTATCTCGTTCCTCTAGCATATTCTTGAGTCGTTTCACCTCCTCTTGTGCTTGACCAGACCCAGGACGTCGCCCTTTAAAGTTTGAGGTGGAGTCGTTGCTTGTCCGTGAGACACCAGTTGGTGTCGTTTCTGCATCTTCATCGATAACATCGTGTTGTCCTAAGCGAGAGTTGTTTCGTGAGTATGGCCGAGGAGGTCCTGGTGTTCGGGGTTTTTGGAAACCTCCAGCTTTGGGGCCAGGACTATTGAATCTTGGTGGTCCGATCGCACTCTTTGAGAAACCTGCTGGGGTTGTCGATAGGGTCCTTCCTGGAGTGGGTGCTAGGTTCGGTTGCCTTCTGAATGGAGATTCAGGCCGAGGAAGGGATGGCCTGCCTTTAGGTTTGAAGTTGGGACTCGGTGCGCGGGCGCCTGGTCCTACGGACTGAGAAAATTTGGGTATTGATGGAGCATCTGGGCTGAATTTGGGCTTTTCGGTAGTAGAGAGACTAAAGTTGGAGAAGGAGGGTGTTGTAGGCGTGGGAGGGAACGTGTCCGATGATAGTGTAGGGGAGGCACGTTTAGAAGCTCGGTGGATAGGCAAGAAGATGCCGGAGCCAGGAACAGAGGTCGTGAAATATCTGGTGCTGCAGCACAGTCAGTATTTGATTTCGGGTTGCGGGAGCTGCCCTGGTTGATAAGGTAGAAAAAGAAATAGGATACATACCCATCTACATCCCCATCATTCTTACCACGCGTAGCATATTCTCTGCCTAGCTCGACGCCAGCGAAGACACCCTTCTTGCCGCGCACACTTCCGATGAACTTTACGACCCCATACATGCCACCGGGGACGTCAACGGTGTCACCCACCTCGATATCTTGGCCGTCACCCGCCATTTTGTTCCCTGGGGTGACTGGAGCACCTATCAATGCATTGAGTGAGGCTTTCCGTGCGATAGCGGTACTGGCGGCGAGGGATAGGTTTGGTGACGAAGCGGTATTAGAGAGCGAGGGGCGCGGAGGTGCGAGTCTTCTAGGTGTTTGTAGTGCCATGGTTGAAAACGCGGCGGGCGTCTTTTCAGGGACTACCGGGAGGGTTGCCCTGTCTGCGACGCGGCTTCCTGCTGTGTTATTGTTGTGACTGGCGCATAGGATCCGAGCCTGCCTGGGCCTGTCGCACGAGGTCGACGGTATTGTTTTGGAGATGCCGACTCGAGGGAGACAGGGGCTAAGATTGATTGTGCGACCTTTCAGGACAGACCAGCAGATCCAGCGAATCACATGGCGCTGTTCGGCTACCCATCAACATAATGCCACACACCATATAGCACCCGAAACGCTTGTAAATGTCAACAACACGATCCTTCTCATATCCTTTGCTTTGTTTACTGCTCGAGGTTGCGCTGCCTGCTCGCCCTCTAGCTCCCGTTTGAAGAACGGGCATGAACCCGGTTCCCCCCGCAGGCTGACTGTCGCACAGATGCCGGGCTTGCTTTTCAGTGGGAACTGAAAAGTAAAATACCATCTTTTTCGCACGCATTAAGTCGCATATAAATTGCTAGTATCATTAGAGACCGCCGGAATCAGCTATTAGAAATGGCCCTTTGCTGAGTCAACGTCAACTATGAACCCCCTATTTGCAGATATGGTTGGCCCGTCTTTCCTCTCCTTCCGATCAGAGAGGCCAGCACCAGCGCAAAATGTGTGAGCCACTGGTGCTTTCTTAAGAATTCGCTCCTATCTAGTATCCCAGCTTCAGTTCCAAGAGTCGCGCCCAATACGGATTCTTATCAACACGAAAACACGTGATCACTGAGCAATCCCGAAGTTGCAGGAGAGGTGCAAGGTAACGCATTTTTGATATACAACCACAAGACTAGGCTATGGTTTACCTCGCGTGCTGAATTGCTACTCTAAGCTTCCCTAGGCAATAAATCTGCACAAGAATGTTTCCCTAGTATTCGATAAACCAGAAGTTTTTGGGCCGACTCGCAACCCTCCAATCCCACCATTGCCTCGGCCCAGCGAGGATCAGCTTTCCCGCAACTATGACCTTTAAGTACGTCGATCTCCACAACACCACAATGCTGTCCACATTCGAATACCCACCATGGCGGGCGCAGTTCGACAGCATATAGACGTAGTCTCATTGGAGCGTTATATCAGCTCGAATGTTCCTGAGATCGTGGTGCCGATCGATGTCAAGCAGGTACAGCCCCTCTGAAGCTAAAGCCCAAGAGCACACAGTAACAATTGCAGTTCGGATATGGCCAATCCAATCCAACATACCAATTGAAGGATAAGAATGGTCGAAAATATGTCATGCGAAAGAAGCCTCCGGGGCAGTTACTGTCCAAGACGGCACACAAAGTTGATAGAGAATACCGGATAATCCATGCCTTGGAGAACACCGATGTTCCGGTGCCTAAGGCATTTTGTCTTTGCCAGGATAGCAGTGTGATTGGCACCGACTTCTATATCATGGAGTTCTTGGATGGAAGGATATTTGAGGATCCCGCTATACCGGAAGTATCCCCAGAAGAAAGGACCAAGATGTGAGTGCGCATAGTAGTCACACTATGCCATGCATCGAGTCGCTGATCTAGGTTTCTAGGTGGCATTCCGCCGTCACTACTCTTGCAAAATTTCACAGAGTCCTCCCAAAGAGCGTCGGACTCGAGAGCTTCGGCAAGCCTTCTGGCTTCTACAATAGACAGATAGCAACGTTCAACACAATCTCAAAAGCACAAGCACAAGCTGTTGACAAGGATACAAAGATACCTATTGGAAAGATTCCACATCAGGACGATATGGTTACTTTCTTCAGCGACCCCAAAACACAGCCAACCGACCGAAGCAGTTTTGTGCATGGTGATTACAAGATCGACAATATAGTCTTCCACAAGACAGAGCCACGGGTCATCGGTATCCTAGAGTAAGTGAAGCGGATGTGGTGGCCCCATGCTGTTGTGTAAGCACTGACGGTTCTGTAGCTGGGAGATGTCAACAATAGGTCACCCGCTTTCCGACCTCAACAACCTGCTGTCACCCTTCATAACAGCCTCTTCTCAAAAGGCCCTGGGCATCGGTCGCGCAAATAAAGCGTTCCAGCCGGGTGCGACTGAGGGCTTACCGTCAAGGGATCAGCTTATAAGCTGGTATTCAGAGATAGCAGGCTGGGATCCCAGACCAGACATGACGTGGGGAGATGCTTTCGGGACATATAGGGGAGCAGTTATCATGCAAGGAATAGCTGCACGGTATGCTCTTCGGCAAGCAAGTAGCGCAAAGGCGCAAGACTACGGCTCACAAATGAAGCCGTTCGCCGAGATTGCGTGGGACTTCGTGCAAGAGTACAAGAGGATGCATGAGAAGCCACGGTTGTAGCCTACATGCAATCTAAGTTGTTGAAGCCAGTCACGCTTTTGTATACTGCAATCCATTCGGTATGTCAACTAAGTGGACATCGCAGAGTGGGTATCGGCTTCCTTTCGACCTATGAATTCGGATAGGTGTCAACCAGTTGGTCTAGACATTCCGTAGTTGTGTGTACCTTTCGCCAATGCCAGCTCATCCTAGGGCAAGGATGGTTATCCAGAACCCATCATTCCGTGACGCCCATGTCGCGTTGCCTAGTCATAAATCTCCTGCGAAAACATTTTCATGCACAGCAAATGATCACCTAAAACAAGTCGCACATTCATCGTCCGCCCTTGTCATCCGTGTTGATACGGTCCAAGGCCTAAAGTAGGTTGTTAGGGGAGCTGCTAAGATTCAAGTTTTAGAGATACAAACCTCGAGCATGACAACAGCGTTGCCTCGAATTACCACCATCCCAAGTCTGTCTCTCTGAGTGGGTCCCCTCTCCTCGATAGCATCATCCAAGACGATATTCAAGTAAACCTAGAACACATGAGTCTGACGGTTCATCCAATTCTCAAAGCCGGGGCATGTACATCATATCCTCTTAAGACCCCCATAACTTTGCGACTACCATTGAGCTGTACAAGAATGCGCTTTTCCAGGTACTTTTGCGAACGTCAGCATCGAAATGACAAGACAGCGGAAAGAGGAAAGAAGATATACCTTCTTCAGCTCGGGCTGCGCTTGAGGCATTTTGACAGCGTTTAGTTTATTGTGCTCAACCCAGAGTCCACATTCGTATGGGTAACGGTCGTCTTGAAGAGGGAAGGGAAGGTGGTGGAGCTGCTGTAGAATGGCTTTGGATGGAGGTGCCGTGTCCAGGTCCACTGGGGCATTTAGCTTCCTTCTACGCTTGGCGCGGAGGTCCGTGCACATCACGGAAGGAGCCAGAGTGAAGTTCAAAGTTGCCTCACCCTCACTCATTACCACTCGTACTCACCACTAGACGATATGAAGCGATCCTCTTCCACAGCGAAGCGTGTACCGCGAAAGATCAGGAACGACAATGAAGACTCTAGCGCAGACGGTTCTCAAGGCGGCGCAGAGAACAGACAAAGAGGTGAGTTTCCAAGCCCAGTACCATTGCAAGCTTTGTCGTCTGACGTTCCTAGGAGCCGCGTGCTAACTCAGTGCATAGAGCCCGTAGTCAAACGGCCAGTATTTCCCAAGTCTAAGAAGCGCTCATCACTTCGTCTCTCCTTCGGGCCTGGCGATTCCTCCGCGAACGATGGTGACGAATCTAGTGATGCTGCTGTAGCCACTCCAAAAAGAACTAATCTCAGCCGCATAGCGATCGAAAAGAACGCCGAACGCAAAGTCAGGTCGTCACTTCTTTATGAGCTTCCCCGCCCTCGGGACAGTCTCGACGAAGACAGGCCATCATATAGCAAAGACTACATTGCTGAGCTTCGAAAATCCACGCCTTCGACCCCCAAAGAGATAACAACGGACAACGATGAACACAATGTCCAGGCACTTGATGTCGCGTTAAAATTCGGACCACTCGCTACTCTCTCTACGGACGAACTGTCTTCCATACCATCTGCGGCCGAGATTCGGGAGAAGAAAGCAAGGCGAGCACGCTTGGCACGGGAACAGATAGCGCATGCGACCCTTGGTGGGGATGAGGACGATAATTGGGCTTCCGATGGCGATGATGAATTTCGAACCAACAGGAATGAGGTCTCCTTGAGGCCGAAGGAAAAGTACGCGGAGACGCGTCTCGTTCGGGAAGATGAGGATATTGCGGAGGGATTTGATGAATATGTCGAGGATGAGCATATATCGTTGGGCCGGAAAGCAGAACTTGCAGCGCAAAGGAAACGGCGAACGGAGATGGCGGAACTCATTGCCGATGTGGAGAGGGACTCAGACAATGATGATTCTGACTCTGAAGCGGATCGAAATGCCGCTTATGAGGAGGCTCAGACTCGAGCAGGAGCATACGGCAGAAAGGAGCAGCTAAAGGACCATGGTGCTAAAACACCACCTCGGATCACGCCTCTACCTGATCTAGCCGAAGTCCTAGAGCGCCTGCAGGCTGAAGTCAAAAGCAGAGAACAGAGGAAGGAGGTGGTTCTGAAGAAACTGGAGGAGGTCAAAGAGGAAAAGGCACGCATTGCAGAGAGCAAAAAGTATGTCCAGGAACAGCTACAAAAGGCAGGCGAAGAGTATGAGAAGTTGCGACAAGAATCTGGCATGGCTGCTTTGCCAATGAATGGGGCCAATGGTGGCAAGCTAATTGTCAACAGGGGTTTGGATAGTCTTGGAGCGACACCTATGCCTACATCGAGAGAGGATTCGAGCGAGGAATAAGAAATCTATGAACCCATGTCAACGAGATCATGGTGCATTATTAGTGTCTCAGTCTGCAATTGGTGTCTGCTCCGTCGTTGATGACACAGCCTCAACTCCGATTTAACTTGTTTTCCATGTGGTGGGATAATGGTCCCAATACATTGCCAGCCGGATATGATTCATGAGCTTGCATGGTACTCACAGGGTCCCGTTGAAAAATCCTCTATCGTGTTATCGCTGAACTGAATAATACACATTCGCGAAGTTTCAATTCGAAACTTCGTCCCTGTGACCTGGGGATCCCATATATAGTACACTGCATTACGCCCGCGAACTCCTTTTCCGCTTTCAATATGCTTGTCCCAGCGATGGTGATTCCGTCCCACAGTTCAGTTATTGCCATCAAACTCCGCCCACACCTTCTCAATGTGCTTTCGCTTCTCTTTTGCCTTCTCTCGATTCAGCCTTGTACGCTCTAGCCGTTGAGCTCGTAGACACATGTTGACTTTGTGTTTTGCGTCGCTGCAGTTTCCAAAGACTTTCCAGAGAAAGCCGCGGGCGTGACACTCTTCGAGAGCTGCGATCACCTCTTCGCATTCTGCGATTGTTAGTGTACCGCGTTGGACGACTCCTCAGGATTACTGATTACGTTTGTTTTCTGCAGTATGTAGATGAGGATGCATCCCGAGTGGACTGATCGAAATCTTCCGTAACCGGCGTTTGAGTTGAGGCTGGGACAGTGAGTTTGGTGGCGTGCTTCCGAGGCCTCGAGGTTATCCTCGGAAGTCACAAGATTTCGTGGAACTGGCCCGAGCGTTCGACGTTCTCCAGAGTACCTGGGCACGCTAGGTTCTTCGTCTGCACAAGCTCACTTAACTCACAACACTACACCATAGAACTCCTACTAAAGAAGTTGCAACGATGGCTTCGCAGGCTTCATTGAAGAAACAGCAAGGTAGGAAATACAGAATGGGCAGACATCAAGTTCAGACAACTATCTAATCCTAAACAGAGCTCCAGAACACTTACCAGAATTACAAGAGCACTCTGCAGACAATCGCCCAGAAGATCGGCGACATCGAACAGGAAACCGAAGAGCACAAGTGAGTCTCGAAGTCTTCCTTTCTTTCAAGAAATTATGCAACTTATCTGCACCATACACCGCTCTTTCATCGACAGTCATCTTTGCCTGCGTTTCTATTCCCTTCAGTCATCTCACCGCTTCGTAATTACCATAGAGACTATCTAGGATTATTCTTTAACTGCATTACAGGCTCGTATTAGAAACTTTAGAGCCGCTCTCCGGGGATCGGAAATGCTTTCGCATGGTAAATGGCGTTTTGGTTGAAAGGACGGTGAAGGATGTGGTGCCGGTGCTGAAAATCCACTCTGAGGGCCTGAAGAAGGCTTTGGAAGAGTTAGTCAAGCAGTACAAAGTCAAGCAGGACGAGATGGAGAAGTGGAAGGTATGTTCATCCTTTCTTGTGGTGGCCAGATTTACTCTACCTGTTTCACGAACTGCAAAACGCCCACGTCCGTCTCCCTCGATGCTGACTGCGTCACTTTACAGAAGAAGAACAATGTGCAGGTCGTTCAGCAGCCTCAATAGCAGTGAACATGTTCACGAAGCGTTACCCATGCACCTCGCCTTCGATTGTCACGCCAAGTATGCCCAAAGCCACATGGCATCCGCCCGGGTCACTGCACCGGGCTCATGAACGATTGCAAAAGCGAATCTGCAGCTCGAAGCTGATTCCTTGGTATGACATCGGGTCTCCCGAAGAGTGGGCAGCGATCATCCCGCGCCAAAAGCATTAGTGCATAGAAACCACGACAAACGAGGCATATTTTCATTGTCTAAGCTTCTGATCGTCGTCATGCTGCTTCGAGGCCGAAGCTGGTGTCCTCATTCTCTTGCACTAGCTAAGCATGCAGAGACGATGCGCTGTACTTAGCACCTGATGTGGCAGATCCAGCACTGTGGGAGAATGCCCCAATTGTCAAATTTTGGGCAGGAGTACAGCAGAATTCACGCATGAGGGCAACATTTCAACCCGATCTACTTGACCACGAACACACCATGGCGTGGATTCATGCATCGTCATGTCCACGCTTACGAAAGCCGAACGATTCTACAGTTGAGGCCGGTGCCGTGCGGCCGGGATCTGGCAAGGCTGAAGATGGCGTGGCTCAGTGGCTTCTGCAGCGATGTGTTGGCGTTCAAGCTAACTCTGATCGCCGCCCTCCTTTGCATTGACTCCCATCAACATGGGCACGTAGCTTATAGGGTACCGTGGAGGACGGACCGTACAGTTGTGGACGACGAATGAAGTGATGGTGAGTGGTCGAGGCCAATGTCATTTGAAATGGTGAATGAAGCTGAAACGAGGCCGCAATGTAATCAATCAACACCTCAACGCCATACGAACCTATTCCGCTCTCTCCACGTCGGCAGTTGTCCGGGGTGGTGTCAGTAGTATGCACACATTGTCCGGGACAACGCACACAACCTTGGAGGTCGAAGGGGACCCGAAACATGCACTGACAACTAATCCCTCCGATCTCTTCTGCGGGCCAGCTCGCGAGCTAAAGATCCTGGGTCAAAGTGCAGGGCACCGGTCTCACCGTGAGGAGAAGGTGGATGCGGGCGGAGGGCCGAAGGCAAATGTGCTTTTGAGAGTCGAGGTCGCAACAGCAGACGAAGATACAAGTTGGCCAGGTAACTTAATATTTAAGAAATAGCGAATATGTGCCACGCTCCAAACATCAACAGCAGTGGGAGTGATCCAATAGGAGAAAAAAGAAATGAAGATGTTCTCAAATCTCGTAGGGCAGTCGAATGAGAGCCGGGCGACTACCATCACGCGCATAAGCATAATCACCCGCAAGACAGGGCATGTTCCGACGTGCGACCAGTGCTTCTCTCAAAGCAACCTCGGAGCTGAAACACACTCCACTGCGAGTGCAGTGCGATGGAGACGAGGCAACATGAGTGGACGGAGTGTGTGCAGGTGGGAGGTGAGGCGAGAGGAGTGGAGTAGGTGAATGCTAAATTAGCAGGTCTCAACGGGCCGCAGCCATGGACAAAGAGCGGAAGCTGCCCTCGCGGGCCTTCCGCTGGCGCCTGGCAAAAATGCCTCGATATTACTGGGCGTCCGCCAGCAAATTTGGCCCTTCCCACGATCATTCGTTCGTCGCGCTGTATTTCCTCCCTTCACCGCCGCTCTTCTGACTGGCTGCCACACTCAAGCTCGTCTTTCTGCGCCCAAGCTCCCAAAAGAGGGCTGAAGCTCATCAAGCTCGTCCCCACGCTTTCTCTCGAGCCTCCCGCGTCGGCCGCCCAGCTGATCTCCCATTGGCCCCGGCGTGCAGCGCGCTGTTGTGGTCTCTCGCCGACATCATCTGCGAAAGCAAAGCAGTAGCTCATCAGTTTAGATTGCCAACACCCACCTCCCACACGTTGCCGTCCGCCTCAATTCACCCATCGCCGACCGCCCGCTAGCATCTTGCGCCTGCATGAGCCCGGTGCAAAGGATCGTTGTAGCTCTCGTCGCGTTGCACATGGTGTCAAGCTGCAGTGACAACGACATCCGCTGTGCGCCTTCGCTGCCTCGCTCCATCGCGCAGCAGTCGACGGCTCTGTGGCCAGGTAAACCGCCCTCGGCCCACTCAGGGCTCCCCAAGTGCGCGTGTCGGGTCCCAATTGCTAACCTCGGAGCCCGCAGTCCAGCTTCGCGCCTGCTGCATCTGAGTGCTCCGTGTGCTCCTGCCTCCCTTGCGCCCGTCGCGCTTTCCTCGCCCTGGGCAGCGCTTTCCCAAGCACCGTACGTTAGCTTGCATTCACCCCGCTGCATATGCCGCTAACCGCATCCTCTGGTCAGACGCTGCAGTTACACAGTGGGTTGCATACTCGGTCGCCAAGCCATCGTAGCATCCCCCCAGTGACGTGGACGGCCAGCGAATAATTGAGCAAAGCGCCAGCGCACACAGCTTCTCGAAGCAGGTCTCCGGGCCTGCAGGCGACCGAATAAACATGTCTTCCACCCCCCCAAAGAAGGAGGGCGTGGAACCAGGACCACAGTCGCCTGACGATTCTGAGCCGCATATGGACCGCGAAGCTCACGAAACACAAGCGCAAGGACTCGGGTACGAATTCGAAGTCAAGGAGCAGGACCGATGGCTTCCAATCGCCAATGGTGGGTCGTTTTCTATTCGTCTTCTCCTTCATTCTGATTTGCGCGCTGTTCTGCTTCCATCTGCACGTCGACGGATTGCTACCATTTGGCGTCGCTAGAAGCCCGCAATCCCCATAATCGCGCGCTTCACTCGTTTCTGCGTCGAATCACACGTCTTTGTTTCTTCCCCCCCCCCCCCCCCCTCCCCCGCGAACCTGTCAGGTCTCTGTGTGCCTGGAAAACGGTCGCCCTGCAGCCAGCGTCATGTCATCCCCTTCCCCACAGTCCTCCACTTCGCCACCACCTCGCGGCTCCAAAAACGTAAACGCCAATCTCGCATCAGACGCTAACATTCGCAACTTTGCTCCAGTCGCGCGAATTATGAAAATGGCTCTTCCAGAAAACGCCAAAATAGCGAAAGAAGCAAAAGAATGCATGCAGGAATGCGTGAGCGAGTTCATCTCGTTCATTACCAGCGAAGGTCAGTTTCAGATTGATAGATGACCAGCTTCAGCAACTGACGTCTCGTATCTAGCTTCCGAAAAGTGCCAACAGGAGAAGCGCAAGACCGTCAATGGCGAGGATATCCTTTTTGCTATGACTTCTCTTGGCTTCGAGAACTATGCCGAAGCATTGAAGATCTATCTGTCACGGTATCGCGAGGTAAGCTGCCAGGCTCTCCTTCTCCCGCCTCCTCCCCTTCTCTTTTGTTGCCTCAAATAGGCGAAGACATATATCTGAACTATTGGTATTGATGGGTGGCACGAGACCCTCCTCGCAAATCAGAACAAACCACCTTCCAGCGGGTTCAATGCAAGCGGGGCCAGCGGGGCCAACTCAAGTGTCAATGCCGCCGCCGGGGGTTCCTTCAGCCAGACCGAGAATGCCCAACACAACAACGTTCTGAGCGGCGATACGGAGATGACGGAGCAAGACAATACGGCCTTCGGCTACACTGTCCACAACGGAAACGGCGCCGCCGAGTTCTAAAAGCCGCGTCGAGAATAGGAGGCAAATTTTTAAGTCACAAATCGAGTCGAAATCTCGTGTTAGCCTTCTTGCGGCATCTCGGCCACCGGAAAAGAAGAAGATTGCGTGAGTGAGTTGACGGAGAATATTCGGATCAGACTGTCAGGGTAGTGATGGAGTGTTTATGGTGTTGGGAGAGGGAGGAACGTTTCTCATTTTGGTTGTAAAGGGGTAAAGGGGCGAGTATGAACAACTTCCGTGGGCATTGTCACCGTAACAAATACCAAACCTATACAGAAGTACGAGTCGATGCAGGGACATGGATGGATGGTCATGGAAGGGACGGGTAAATGGTGGTATTGGAGTAATTATCTTCGACTATTAGGACTAGATTTCTTCTTTGCTCACGCAAGCCGTACAACACTAATCGTGCTTTCTTTTTTTGGACACATGTATTTGATCCCACACACAAACACACACACAATCTTAGCCAGTGTGTGTTTTGTGTTGCCTTCCCAGGCTTTACGAACAAACACAGACTCCATGATGCTGCATGATCTCCACGTGCGCGGTCCCTCCAACTTGCCGTTCAGGGATCATCAGGGACGGAGACACAAGGTCTTGAGCAGACGACCTCGTGCTTCATGCGGGTTTCCGTTGCATGAAGCTTGACGACAATTTGACCGCGGGGTACGACAATGTTGATTGGTCAAAATGGAATGGAACGGTGGCTTTGGAATAGAAGTGTTCATGTGATGGTGTATATTCCAAGAATTTATTTGCTTTGTAGTTTCAGGCTAGAGGAACGAGGGCCTTGAGTAAGGTGTATCAGATTCTATCATTGCGCTCTTACCTCTGCTTGCATCCTCTTCCTAGCTAGGAGCTCACCCAAGGGCAGGTCATCCTCGTCATAGAATTCAACATCTTCGTCCACCCCAAAATCTCGTAATCTTTCTCCTTCTGAGTTCTTCCAGCTTTCCTCTCCGCTCGCGCTCCCTGCCCCGCTTCCTTGCAAATCTTCACACTCATCGAATGCACCCTCGACCCCGGTACTCTCTCCCCGAGCCACTTGAGACTCGACACGCTGTACAAAGGGTTTCCTCCGTCGGACAATATCGGCTTCCTGTCGTCGTCGGAACGCAGCTATTGTCTCTCTTGGAGTCAACTCCGCGTTTCGGTAGGTGAACGCTTCTTCACCTCTGTCGAAGCCGTGAGGAACCCTGCGATTTATACGGTCTGGATCTGGGGGCGGCCATTGAAGGCCTGGTTCTTCGAGGTCGTTGGTTTCGAATTCCAGGCCGGACTCAATAGATGGAGTGGTAGCAAGAGGCCAAAACCAGGCGAGCGTCTACCTAAGAATAAGTTTACATCCCTATAATAATGACAGCGGTCGGTGAAGTGTTCCTTACGTTTCCGGTTCCCATCCCTTGCTTGAAGTTCTTCCAGATCCCTATATCGTAGGGAAATTCTTGTCTTTGGATCCTCACCTTGACGCCATCAGGTCCGTCGAGGTAGCCTCCGAAGTACCTGGCACGGCGGACGAGCGTTTTATGTCGCTCGATTTCCCACCCTTCGATGGTGGTGGTATTGGCGGCTAGACACCATATGTTTCGAATGAAGAGAATACCAACCGCGAAGAGAGTAACAAAGTTGGTAACAGATAGCAGGAATAAATGCGCGAGCTGAAATATATTCGGTCCCAGATACTATCCGCTATACGTGAGTCGGCATTTCGGGGTTAAGCTATAGGAAAGTGATGGTTTTGCTTACACTCGGAAGATCGCGGTCATCCCATACAACTTTACAGCGGGCCCATAGGAAAGAAGCGAGATAGATCATAGATGTTGTAGCATAGAAAAGAAACCGCAGAAAGTGGGGGAAAGTGGTGTGAGAAACGCAGTTTGAAGTCCATGGGCAATGATGATCCATTTTTGGTATACATCTTATCCATTATTAGCCTCCAAGTGGTCAATAGGCTTTTGGATTTCCATGCCTTTTGCACTCCTTGCAATGATGAGATCGTGGAGGCTTCGTCGCCTTGCATTTTCGACACCAGCGCTGTCGAAATTTTCCAGAAAACTTCCCATCAGATTCTTCAGTCTCTTGACCAGCTACTTTTGGAACATGACCTGGATCAACGACGACTGATTGAGTGTAGCTGATCAGGAGGCAGATTAGGAGAACGTTGAACCGGATGAGTTGCTTCTTTGAGAGCGGATGGGGTTCAAGGTATAGGAACAACCATTGTGAAGAATAGGCAAGGAAAGTTATGAGGCCATATACGGCTGGAACTGCGAGAGAAGAAGCCTCCATATCGGGAAGCATGAGAAGGAGTCCTAAAAGCGGGTGGTCGGAATGGAATGCCATGGCACGTGCTGCGCTAAACTTAGAATGGAGACCTCCAAACCCTAACCTGTCATCTCCACCCTTCATTCCCTCGTCAATCCTTCTGTCATCACGAATTAAAGAGAATATTAACCCAAGGAAGGTTGATGCCATGGCTAAGACTGAGTTTTTATTCTCTCTCCTCATTCCGATTGTCATTTTAATCCATCTTTTCGTGTCTCCATATACCAAAGTTGAGGAATCTTTCAACATCCAGGCCATCCACGATATTTTGATTCATGGTATACCGGATGAGAATGCAGGGCAGTTCTTCATGGCGAATTATGACCATACTTCCTTTCCAGGATCAGTGCCAAGGACATTTGCGGGTGCTTTGATTCTTTCGGGAATTTCGAGACCTTGGGTGGGCTTGTTTACGTCGACTGCTCAACTCCAGACATTCGGTGCGTGCTCTATAATATCATTTTATTTCTTCTGAACATCCCAAGTTAATTCTAAAGTCTAGTTCGAGCTGTACTTGGATTGGCGAACGCAGCTGCACTCGTCTGGTTTAGCACAAGTGTGAAGAAGGCTTTTGGTTCAAATGCTTCGACATGGTATGCGTTGCTGCAAGCCAGCCAGTTCCATGTCATATACTACGCATCGCGAACCTTGCCGAACATGTTCGCATTCGTATTCAGTAAGTCTAAGCCCTGCATTTAGATTTACGGCGCCCTAATTGAAGATTATAGGCACCATAGCATTAAAGAGCCTCCTAGATGCATATGTAACTCCGCGGAGTAGTGCTACAGCCTCAAGGAACTACCGTTTATGCCTGTATCTTCTAACATACTCCGGTGTAGTGTTCCGGTCGGAACTGGCAATCCTCGTAGGCACGATAACATTATATCTGTTCGCAGCCCATAGAATCTCCATTGCCAAAGTCATCATTCCAGCCGGACTCGGCGGACTCTGCATCGGCCTTCTATGCACTATCCCTACTGACTCGTTCTTCTGGCAATCCTTCCCCTTATGGCCTGAATGGACCGCATTCTACTACAACACGATCCAAGGGCATTCTGCCGATTGGGGCGTCTCGCCTTGGCACTTTTATTTTGTGAACGCACTCCCCCGGCTTCTCATGAACCCCATGATCTACATGGTTTGCATTCCGGTTGCGATAGTTAACCTTGCAACTCGAGAAAGCACCGTGCAACTTCTCATACCTCTATTAGGTTTTGTTGGGCTCTATAGCATTCTTCCGCATAAAGAGTGGCGTTTCATCATCTATGTTGTTCCAGGAATAACGGCGACTGCTGCCGCCGGTGCTTCCTGGATCTGGACCCGAAGATCAAAGTCTGCCATCTATACCACGTTGAGCCTGGCTCTAGTGGGATCTGTTCTGTTCTCCTTCGCCGCATCCGCCTCCTTGCTGGCCATATCAAGCCTGAACTATCCCGGTGGTGCAGCTCTAGACTTCCTACACCACAGAATAGAGCATCCGATAGGGCGGCATTTTCAAGTGTACTTCGACAATCTGGCATGCCAAACAGGCGTCACAAGATTCCTGGAAAACCACGATAGCCCTCAGACCATTTTAGACGTTCTGGAAACTCAAAATCTAACTGGCCAGAGAACATGGAGCTATTTGAAGACTGAAGATCCTGATGCGCTCCTTGATCCGGGGTTCTGGTCGAGTTTCGATTATGTGCTTGCAGAGAGACCGGAAAAGGTGATTGGAAAGTGGAACGTTATCCACACCGTTTATGGGTTCGGCGGTGTTAGAATTCTCAAACCAGGGGAGAAGAGCAGCGGTCAAGCAATTGGACATCTCAAACATGCCGGGGTGGTTGAAATTTCGACAGACGTGGTTGCGAAGATTGCAACATCATGGAAGAACTTAGAAGGAATGCTGAGAGAGACGCTACTGAGGGGATGGTGGGTTGAGGTCAAGATGGAGCCAAAGGTCAACATTCTCGCGAATCTAGGTTCTCAAAAGAGCTATAAGGGTTAAGGCTGTTGCAAAACTCGAAGCATACTTTGTATCAGGGAGTTTTTTTCTTGCACGTGAGTGAATCAACATGCCCCTACCACTACCCCGCCATTGCCCCACTATGAACCTCGTTCTTGGCAAAGACAGACTCGAACTCCATGTCGGGTAGAACCTCGTCACAACGGTCCCACCACTCGCTTCCAATTTAAACCGCACGATGGCGGAAGCTTCAACATCTTCAGGACCTTATCCAAAGAAAGTCACGTACTGCGGGGGTATGTAGATATCATTCCAGCTTATCCCGAACACGCACATACTGAAGCATTATAGTCTGCAGCCTTCCGCCTGAAGTAGGTAGGACACCGAGAAGCATCATGGTGTTCCTCATATCCGCTGACCGTGAATGGGATATAGTACTGTGAATTTGGAGGCACAGTCAGGAAGTGCGAAGAATGGCTCAAACAGCATCATCCAGATATGCATGAGAAGCTGTATTCACAAGGTAAAAATCGCCTCAGGGGGATCGCCTCAGCAAGCTTCCCCCAACCACTCCGAGCATAATTGTTGGAATTCGGCTAACATTGCGGGCGCACAGAGGCAATCGAACAAAATTTATCAACACTCTCGCTCGAAGCCCAAAAACGCGCGGAGAAAGACTCGCAAAAGAAAGCGGCCAAAGCAGCGTCCGCCGAAGCCAAGGCGGAGGAGCTGCGTGCCACTTCGAAAGTTCTGATTAAGCGGATCGAGCGGAATAAACGCAAATATGTCACGGCTGTGCAAGGTTTGGAAGCCTTCGGATTGGACATTAAGAAGGTAGCAAAGGACTTTGGAAAGAAATTTGCCACGGGAAGCAGTGTGACTAAGGTTCCTGGAGGCGGGGAAGAGATCACGGTGCAAGGTGATCTGAGCGATGACATCTACGATTATGTGGTTGAGACGTATCCCAACATTCCAGAGGACAATGTGGATTGCATTGAGGACAAGAAGAAGAAGACGGCAGTTTGAAGCCAAGGGTAGCAACCCGCTGATCCGGGGAAGAAGCGGGACTTTAGGCAGGCAGTGACCGCTGATTCTGGTAGCGAGTCCGGTCTGAGTGACAAGCAGCGATCTAAGGCAACGGCAACTGTGTCAGTCTGAAAGAATTGCAGCCTGGGAGGGCAGATAGCAACCCAGGGGGCAATGTGGTAGAGCATTGCGCCGTGGGACTAAAATGATAGATGAGATTGCTCGCTCTGACAGGTGAACACCAGGTTGCCCCCTCCCATGAGCCAGCACGGTTCAATCGATGTATAAATAGTGAATGAAACCTTTCCGCCATGCCTACGGACACCTCAATCACAAGTCACTGGATCTTTCGCATTGTGAGGCTCAGCCAACATGGTCTGTGCGCCAGGCACTCTCTCCAAAACCATGCTGCCGCCTACTTCGGGTTTCCCTCTTCAACTTTCGCCCACACACACAACGCTGACGTGCGACACAATCACACAACCGCCTAAGCCTGCAGCGTCTTCACCACTTTGAGGCAGTCTGCACGGCTTTTCGCAGTTCCACACTCATTCCACCACCGTCCTGGACCCGCCGTTCTGTCGTTCCGCACCCCCGTTCTGCACCATTTTCCACCGCTCCCTTTCACGCCAACCACCGTTTCCAGTATGGCAACGCCAACTGGACCTCGTCGCACCGGCGGCGCAATTCGGCGACGCAACCGAATGGACCGCGACGGCGACCTCGTCATGGGCGTAGCTCCAAAAGCCCCTCGTCCAACAAGGCCAGCTTTGTCCACGCCAAATAGTGCCTCTCTCACTGAACTGAAGGTTACCGGCTGGACCGACAAGAGCGAGGTTCCTAACATCACTCACTTTCTCGAGAAGCACGCCGCAAAGCGTAGTATACATGCTAGGCGAAGTGGCCCCGTAGCACAGCTGATCAAAAAGCATCGCATCGAAGGTGATGGGCTGCTCATCCTCCGTGTCAAGCCAGAAGACGTGGTCCCGTTCAGCAAGATCAACGGTTTCACTTTCACCTCCAAACATGGGAACCAGAAGCTTACCATTGCTGGCCCTGGCATCCGACCTCGCGAAGGCTCACCAACAAACAGCGCGTCCAAACCTACCACCGCTACCGAGAGCAGTGAGACCCTCTCTCTCAAACAGCAGTTTCTGCAGATTCTAGGTCGCCGCTATAATGTTGCCGAGAAGCTTCTAGACTTGTCCACCCTCGCCACTGACGAGGACATCCAGAAAACTGGCATGTTCGACAAGAGCTCCACCTCATCGAAGTTCTTTCCCGCCCTCATGGCCGTCCTAGACAAAGAGATCAAGACCGAGGCAGAGAAGCGAGAGGCCATTCACAGTGTTAAGCTTAACGACAACAATCTGTCGGATCTCGCTCTCGTCTTCGACCTTGCCGTCACTCTCCCACATATCAAAAATCTTGATCTTTCAAGCAACAAGTTCACAAACACCAAAGCGCTGGGCCGCTGGAAGAACAAGTTCAGGAATCTTGAACACATTGTTATCACCAACAACCCTCTCGAGGTTTCTCAACCCGGCTGGGAACAAGAACTCATTACGTGGTTTCCCCGACTCCGACAATTGAACGGTCAACAAGTTCGTACCGACGCTGAGATTGCTCTGCTTGATAAACCAAAACATACACCAGTTCCATCGCAGAAGCAAGTTTGGTTCGATCCCGATAAGATTGCGGAGAATTTCCTACTCGACTTCTTCCCTTCATATGACTCCAGCCGGGATGCTGTCGTGCAGAGATACTACGACAGTACTTCCACCTTTTCTCTCAGTGTCAACACTGCTGCCCACGGAGGCTCTAATCATGAGAAGACGCCTTGGGATTCATACATTCCCTTGAGCCGAAATATTAGGCGCATCAACAACAGCAGGCCGCGCTTTTCACGAAAGCATATTGGAGTTGAGCGAATCCAGAGGGCATGGGCTCAACTTCCACCAACCCGACACCCGAGCTTTCAGACCGACATGCAGAAGTACTCCATGAACTGCCAAACCCAGGCCAGCGTCCCAGACCCCACCGGTCAACACCCTGGCCTCAATGGCCTCATTGTCACCGTCCATGGAGAGTATGAAGAGCACCGCACCGCGAAGGGTGCCAATGAAATCGTCCGCCGCTGCTTCGACCGCACCTTCATTCTAGGACCTGGCGGCGCTACGGGCGTGAGGGTTGTGAGTGACATGCTCTGCCTCCGAGCATACGGTGGTGTTCCTGCTTGGACCCGTATTGCCACCCCATCAACCACCACCAACAAGCATCAACCGGTACCTGTGGCTACCACAACTACTAATCAATTGGGTGTTGCGACTACCACGACTACCACGACTACTACGACCGACACGGTACTCACACCAGAACAACAACAATTGGTGTTGTATGTCTCTAAAGAAACCAACATGACTCTTGACTACTCGAAGTTGTGCTTGGAGTCCGCCAATTGGGATCTTCAGCAAGCTGCAGAACTCTTCACCGCCCAACGAGGCAGCCTTCCAGCTGAAGCCTTCATCACCACCATATAAATAGCGAGACTATCCCTGGCCTTCCACAATATGTGCGAGCAGTCTTTCTTCCACTAGAACCTCTTTTCAGCGCCGAGCGGGTAGGAGGAAGGCGCTATCTCAAAAAAATTTCTACGAGCAAAAACTTGCTTCGTTCACAACTTCTTTACACTAGATACGAACTTAGTTCGGTTACAACTGCTCTACACTGGATACAAGCTTACTCCAATCGAAACTTCTTTACAACGGGTACAAAAACGGGTTTTGCATTAATGGGGTCTATGGGCCTTCGGGTTACATTGCATGGGTGGAAGCAATCAAATCGGCATTTTCAAGGTGTTGGGAAAACATTCTGGCAGATAGGAAGATACCCAGCTCAAGTCCTCCAAAAAAGAGGCGGCCTCCATGAAGAGGTATTTCATAGCTACAAGTCTAACACCTCTTCTGCATGCTTGTTGAATGTTCGTGATGTGTTTGACGGCAAAGTCGAATAGCCAGTAGTTTTTGCCTCGGTCAATGACAACAACCCCTCCGACTTACAAACGTCCATGTCTCGAAGCCACTCGGCCCTCTGCCCCCAGCATGGCTATCGACTATGAAAGAGTCGCATTTTCACCATGCTTTCCCCGTCTTCCACTGTAATTCTCCTGCCTTCTGCTTGTGATATTGTCGTAGAAGTGGCTTATTAGAATGTAGCAAGCTCTCGCCCGTCTGCGCGCATACAGCCCACCTCCGACAAATTGGTATAATTGTCCAGTAACACGACGCGCGGCCGTCTTGATACTTCTTTTCCCGGATCGGTATGGAGAACTCAAGGTCGTGCTCACGATGCGCGCAAGCACGTTGAGGAGTTATGCGGGGCAGGTTGCACTGCCTGGTGGTAAGACAGCCATCCAGCACAATTGATGAAGGGTATTACTGAGGAGCGGAACAGGCAAGGCAGACAGTTTGTCTGAAACCCCGTTCGATACTGCAAGAAGAGAAGCATATGAAGAAATTGGCCTGCCGACAACGAATACAAAACTCCCGCCCGGCTTCAAGGTTGAACATCTCTGCGAATTGCCTGCGAATCTTGCGAAGACAGAACTCGGTGTAAGGCCTTGTGTGGCCTTTTTGTGTCCTTCTTCCCCGCCTTCATCTTCCGCTTCATCCGGGTCCGGGTTTTCATCTGCAGCCCCATCCTCAAGCCCCGTAGAAGAAAAAATGATTCCACGTCTCGACCCCAAGGAAGTCGCCGCCGTCTTCACCGCCCCCTTCCATAACTTCCTCCGAAAGACATGGGCGGCCGAAGCTCCCGGGCCCCTGCAGAAAAATGGGAAACCCGAGAAATGGTATAGGGGCAGTTGGACGGATTGGCATGAATCTAGGTGGAGGATGCATAATTTCTACATACCGAAACCGTCGCAGAGCCCGAGCCAGATGAGGGAGAAATCGCCATTGCCTGATTCGCAAGCGGAGGGTGACGCTGCGAGATATAATCTAAGGACGCGGAAAAAGGTGGGTAAGGCGGAGGAACCGAATCCGCTGGACGATCTTGCGACGTTTCGGGTTTTTGGTATGACGGCGAGGATCCTGGTGGATGCGGCGAGAGTAGCTTATGGCGAGGAGCCGGAGTTTGAACATAACAGTCATTTTGGAGACGAGGATATGATTGGGAGGTTGTTGAAGATTGGGCGGTTAAGTGAGATTAGGAAGAAGGGGGAGGAATTGACGAGGGAGGTTATTAGGGAGGCTAGCAAGATCTAGAAAAAGGAAGGGGGGGGGGGGGGGGGGGGGGGGGGGGGGGGGGGGGGGGGGGGGGGGGGGGGGGGGAGAGAGAGAAGGGGAGGGGAGGGGGGGGGGGGAGGGAGGAGGGGGGGGGGAGGGGGGGGAGGAAAAAGAGGGGGGGGGGGGGGGGGGGGGATGGTGGGACTGCGAGGGATAGATCGGTGTAGAGGCGGACGACTTAGGCATAGATGGCTAGATGGGTTGATATTTGGATTCGCAATTAGATATTCCTTTCATTGTTAAATATACCGCCCTCGGCAGCTCATGAGAGGATATTGGTTAGTCTCCACGTTGTCATTCCATTCTCACAGTCAACAAGTCAATCGCATCGAATGTTTCCTCACCATATGTTGCACTCTAGGGTCAAAGGTCAGTGGTATGGGGTTAGCATTACTACATGTTTCCTTGCGTTTGAGCAAATGTGTAGTAGTGCTAGGTTTGTTAGATACGTCTTGTTCACGACTAGAATACTTTATAGACGGCAGGTGAGTGTGGAGAATGCCTGTGGGATGTGTGTAGACCACTCAAGCGACATGTAGGGGTCTCCCGATACCCAGACCACAGATTTCCGAATATATAGCTCTTTAGATGCGACGCGAGCATCCACCATATCAAGGCACCTCAGCATCATCATCATTCTGTCCAAATCCAAAGCTGAATCCACCACCCTCTTCCTCCCCTTCATGCTTTGTGAGCTCCTCCCACTTGCCTCTCCCTTTCTTTTGCTTCCTCTCTAGTTCCTTCAACCCTTCCTCCAGAATCTCCGGATGTTTCTCTCCGAGCTTTTCCACGAACAGCTCATATGCCTGATCCGCTATCTCTTCCTTAAACCCACTGACTTGATTACGTTGATCTCGCAGGAAGCTTAATATATCCGCGAGCCTTTTCTGTGGCACAAAATTCTGCGTCAAAGCGAGGCTGTCTTCCAGATTAAGCACAAGGTGAAACCACCCTGACGGGACGTGGAGCACTTCACCGGCATAGCAAATTCCTTCGCGGCAACCGGGTGTGCGGCGAGCTAGGGAGTGGAAGGTGAGAAGGTACTCGGCGATGGAGAGGGGGGATGTGATTTCTGATTGGTCACCGGAGAGAATGACACCAGGTGGTGGAGCGATGGATGGGGAGGAGGGAAACATGAGCCAATATTTAGACCCTGTGAGGATGGCGTTCCACGCGCTAGTAGCATTAGGGTCCTTGTGGAAAGTACTTCCACTGCGCTTTGGGCCCATAATCATCCATCTGCAATCCGGACGTTGCTCGCCTAAGACGCTGAAGAGGTCTTCACCAAAGCAGTCGGGCGGCCAGTACGCTGCATCAGATGCATCGCGCCCAGTAGCTATCCCGGTCCTCTCGACGAAGGCACGGTCGAAGAGATACAAGGGGCTCTCATCGCTACTATTGGCCATATAGCTCATGTACTTGCTCATTGGCCAGTCGACAGCTTCGGCTCGAAATTTAACATCCGGATACTTCTTCAGGAGCGTTTCTGGTGTCCATGTTCCACATATTGGCCATTCCTTTACAGGAGAAGTGAGAATGAAGGGAACGTCGGTCCACTTTTCAGAGAACTCCTCACGTGTGAGGTCTGGAAACCGGGAGATAGCATTTTGTGAGGGAATTCTCGAGGTAAAGGCCTCTAACGAGATGTTTGCACATTGGAATGGTCGATGGAGCACGTCTGAGAAAAGATTCTTGCAAGAGATTGAGGTGACATGTTCCTGAGGGATCCCAAGAAAAGTTGACCGCCAAGTACCATGCCATACGAAGTCTTTAGGCGGTGACCTGTTTGCCTGTTAGTCGGGTTGTAGGATCCTGGATTGTGAGGGCTGGGAGTAAAGGAGTCACGGAGTGGATTGTCGAATCTAAATGCAAGACTCATCCAGTGTGCATGGTATATACGATTTCATGACATTCTACAAGCGGCGTGGCCCCTATGCGAGGATCAAAGTATGTCACGACCCGTACCTTTCTTCACGGGGGCTGGAAATGACAAGGAGAGAGCTGGGGTGTTTAGAATTGAGAAAAACATCACCACCTACTCTATGAACAAGGCTCTCCACAGCTCATCAAACCGAGTAAAGGCATACAAAGCTCTGCACGTGCTTCCCAACCGGACAAGAGCGTCAGCATCGAATGACTCAAGAATGAGGTTCAAGAGCTCATCAGGCAGCCTTCTGAATGCGCCACATCGTGATTTGATGTTCTCCGAGGCAGTGTAGGCATTGCCAGAGGGTCTAATGCCTAGTGGGTGAGTTGGAACAGCCGCCGCCACGTTTTCGGCATCTTCGGTGAAGGCATTCGCCGCTGGCGATAATTTGATCTTTTTCAAGGGCCGTGATTCGGCGCTGTCAAAGTGTGGTTCGAGAAGCGTTCCCGGGGCCATATCAAGGGCAACACAGGAACAATGGTAGCTTGCCGGGAAAGACGTTGGGAGTTTCGTCAGCAGGGGCAAATGAAGGATTGCAAAGAGTCACCAATATGGTCGGGCAGTGAAGGAAGTGTGGGAGGTTTGGCTCATCTTTGTCGATGTGTGGCGCTAGTGAGAAAATTAGCGCCGCTTCGCTACGAAAAAAATCTCATAAGAAGGTCAGACCTCCCCTCCACCCTCTCCATCAACCAACATCAACAACATAACAAGTCCAGAGAAACCTCCAACCCTAGATACCCCTTCGATTCTCGCTAAAGAGGATCTGGTATCTAGCTTTTCACGACTACTTTCCACACCAGCGGCGGTATCCAGAGGATCACCACCGCTATCAGCCCCGCCACGAGCTTTTCGTTCGACTACAGAGCAGCGCCTGTAGTCGCCCGTTTCCATCAGCACAATCATGGCTGAAAAGGGACTTGAGGATGTGCCAGAGGGTGAGCATTCTTCCATCCAAAATATTCTGATTATTTTGCGGCCGGAGCGTTTATCCGGGCCGCAAGCCTCACTTGCGAAAATTCCCGAACCGTGACTGACGAATTCCCGTGCTGCAGGCCAGATCGAGTCCAACTATGACGAGACTATCGACTCCTTCGACTCCATGGCCCTGAAGCCAGAACTCCTTCGTGGAGTGTACGCCTACGGCTTCGAGCGCCCCTCGGCCATCCAGCAGCGCGCCATCATGCCCGTTATTAAGGGTAGGTTGCCCCGTCTCTGTTGAGGCTGCAATTGATTGACCCAGTTATCAGGCCACGATGTCATCGCGCAAGCTCAGTCAGGTACCGGTAAAACGGCTACCTTCTCTATCTCGGTCCTCCAGAAGCTGGATCCCAACATCAAGGCCTGCCAGGCGCTCATTCTCGCCCCTACCCGAGAGCTCGCCCAGCAGATCCAGAAGGTTGTTGTCGCCATCGGTGACTTCATGAACGTTGAGTGCCACGCCTGCATTGGCGGAACTAGCGTCCGTGATGACATGAAAGCTCTGCAGGAGGGCCCCCAGGTCGTCGTCGGAACCCCGGGACGTGTCCAGGACATGATCCAGCGCCGTGTTCTCAAGACCGACCACATGAAGATGTTCGTCCTCGACGAGGCCGACGAGATGTTGTCCCGTGGATTCACTGAGCAGATCTACGACATCTTCCAGCTGCTGCCCCAGTCCACCCAGGTCGTCCTCCTATCCGCCACCATGCCTCAGGACGTCCTCGAGGTCACGACTAAGTTCATGCGCGACCCCGTCCGTATTCTGGTCAAGAAGGACGAGCTCACCCTCGAGGGTATTAAGCAGTTCTACATTGCGGTCGAGAAGGAGGATTGGAAGCTTGACACCCTTTCTGATCTGTACGAGACTGTTACCATCACCCAGGCCGTCATCTTCTGCAACACCCGAAGGAAGGTCGACTGGCTTACCGACAAGCTCACCGCCCGTGACTTCACCGTCTCCGCCATGCATGGTGACATGGACCAGGCCCAGCGTGATATCATCATGAAGGAGTTCCGTTCCGGCTCGTCCCGTGTCCTCATCGCCACGGATCTTCTTGCCCGTGGTATCGATGTCCAGCAGGTCTCCTTAGTCATCAACTACGATCTCCCTGCCAACCGCGAGAACTATATCCATCGTATTGGTCGTGGTGGACGTTTCGGACGAAAGGGTGTCGCCATCAACTTCGTCACTGCTGATGATGTCCGCATGATGCGCGAGATTGAGCAATTCTACAGCACCCAGATTGAGGAAATGCCCATGAACGTGGCCGGTGAGTTGTAGATTCCTCTTAGAAGTTGGACCACATGCTAATCAAGCTTTAGACCTCATCTAGACGACCAATCTATTCCGCGACACGAGTCCCTAATACCCCCTCCCCGCCGAAATTTTTGGTGGTGTCCTGGCTTAGGGTTATCCGTTCTATTTATTGAGTCTGTCTGCCTGGTCAGATGGCGCTCACAACTTTTTTTTTTCGTGAACCAAAAGCAACCTGAGGTGAGACGTGGTGGTCATACACATTCGTGGCATCTCGGCGTTTGTCGATTTTTTTCTTTCCGTGTGCAAAGTGGTTTCTGTCTGTCAGTCAATAAGAAGATTACGCGGATAGAAATTGCGGTGGATTCCTAGCAGTGTGGCTGGTATTTCCTCTTTACCTTACAAATGCGCGTTCTCCTCTTTTCTCTCTCAAATCATCGGCTATCCCTGTACGTGTGCTACGGGTTTTCGTCTTGGTTATCATGGCACTGGCACTGTCGTGGGAGGATACTCGTCCCTTTCCATGGCTAGGCTATGCGTGTCACGAACAGATAACGCTAATGATTTCCTTTTCTAGCTATAGAGATGGTTTCGAATGCATTTTAATAGTCTTGCATCTTCGTCTATAGGTGTATGTGGTGCCGAGGCTGTTATGTTTCCTCATTTGATGACATGGTATGGCAATGCCGATCATTGGTCCCACTTAGAACGAAAAGCGTTGTCTAGCAGGAGAATGACCATATCGTACTCCAGACATTTCTTGTTGGTCTGACGTCATCTGGTTTGTTCTTAATGGCGGTGAAGGATGAATCGAATCGTACAGCCTGCTCGTTACAGGCCAATACGCCTTGCATGGCGTTCACCGGGGTAATACGCGAGTAGGGCGGATACGCTAGTAAGGTGAGAAAGTAAGTAGATGCATAGTATCCACCGCAATTTGATCTCCCGGTTAAAGTATATGTATCAACGATTACGATTAAGATGGTGTGGGATGACGGGAACGGAAGTGTTAGAGATAAATCTTCGAAGCCATTTGGAATTTGTGGGCTGGACTAATTCGGTGGCTGACGAGGATTAATAGATTTAGGAAAGCATTTGTATTAGATCTAAAGCCTAATAGCTCAATGATTTAGATTCCACTATGAATACACCTTGACATAGACCTCCCTTGGCTAATCATCCTGTTTAGCCCGCCTGCAAAACGCCGCGACCAAGGGACACGAATGAACACACCAAAACCCTATATTTGATGCTCGGGGGTAGGCCCCTACTATGCGGCCTCGGCAGCGGCCGCCCTATCATCCTCCTCCTTCCTCATATCTTCCAGAAATTTCTCCCATGTCTCGATCGTCCCCTGGAAGAACTCAATGTGCGCATCTGCCATATCCCCCAGCGTATCCTTGAATTCGACGGCCTTGATCCTCTCGAAATCAGCGACTTCCTTGACCGTGTGCTCGTCAAAGGCCTCGGTTGCTTTCTTCGAGTTCTCAACTTCTCCAGTGAGACGTTCAATGTCGACTTCGAGTTTACGAACACGTTGCCGCCGAGCTTGTTCGTGGTCAATGCCGCGCAAATCTTCCACCTTGGACCGCAGGAAACCGGAGGCGCCGAGGCCAGAGGATCCGTGTTGGGAAGCGAGCTGGTCTCGATCAGCGGCGGATTTGGCGAGGTAGTCGGTCAGGGCTTCGAAGTCGAGCTGCTTGTTTTCCCGCGTCCGGAGGAGGGTTTTTAGGGCTTGGATGTAGGCATCCATATCCCGGAGGCTGGTGAGGTAGTTTTGGTCTGTGTGCTCTTTGAGTGTTTTAAAGCCTTGCGAGGTGGTTGCAACGGAGGATGCGAAGGAGGTCAAGGGCCCTTCCACGCCGGGTTCTAGCGTAATGAGCTTCTGACACTGGGTTGCGAGGTCGGCGTAATCAGCCTCGAGATCGGCCTGCCGTCTTGCGACTCGTACCGTCACCTTTTCCACGTTGGAGAGGTCTTCAGTGAGTTTGGTTGCGCGCTCGCTGACTTCGATGAAGCGCTTATCTGGCTTGTGGACCTTGCTAAAGGTATTGAGGAGGCTTTCCGCAATCGAGTCGACTATGCCTGTCCCGCCGGACGGCTCAGACATGGATGTCCCTCTTGACTGTCGGCCTTTCATGTGCTGGTTCCAATCGGGAGACTCGAGGAAAGTGATGAAGAGAACAGCTCGCCGTAGCACAGGATGCAGCGTCACACGTTTAAGAAATCGATGCAATGAATGTGCCCGCCGTTGGGTGAAGTCAGGCCCAAAGCGATCCCCACGCACATATTCCATCTTGTGTTTGTCCGGTAATGGCGGGACGGCGCATTGCGGATATTCCTTGGACAGTGTTTTCCATAGGAAGACGAAGTCTGTGAAGCGGCGGCGGACGGAGAACTCGGGGCGCTGGAAGGATTGGAAGTCGGACTGCACACAACGTTAATTTTCGATCTCCAATGAGCCCACGCTAGGTTCAAGGGCGAGATACTTAACTTAGTTGTGACTTGATAGGACACATAGGCATCTTTGGTGCCTGGCAGCTCCTTAATCGGCTTTCCGACGGAGCACTCCAGGCGGCCTTCGCTGAAGTCGGCGGCCATGGCTGGGCGCGGGGGACTTGATACAGCAACTTCGCTAGCAAGACTACCAAAGTAGTCAGAGATATCGAAATCGTCGAAATCGTGTGTGTTGGTGAATGTAGGAGGCAGTGTTGAGGCGGGAGTGTAGGTTAGGGTGACGTCGGAGTCGGAGCTCGCTGGTTTGGCATCTGGAGGGGTCGCGCAAGACGCTCGGACGCTCTCCCAGATTTTGTGCAATATCCTCGAAGTCAACCGCGTTATTATCGGTGTTCATGGGCACGCGTTTTCTGGCAAAAGCAATGGCATGCAATTATATCGTTCTACGGAGAAAAAGTGTTGCGCTGGCTGCTATATAACCCAGGCCAGCGCGCTGTACAAACAGTGAACGCAAAATGTGAAGCCACACCACGCACACCGTGTTTGGGGCGCTTTCACCCTCTACCACCGATGAGCAATGACGTTGAACGCTCAGTTGTTGTCCACACCGAAAACCTTCCCAAATTCTTCAAACAGTTGTGGGGTAATCTCATCGCTACTATTCCCATTCAAAGTCCGCAAAACGCCCAGCTTGTCGTAATGTTCAAGCAAAGGGAGACTGGTCTCCCTGAAACTCTTCAACCGCGCCTTCCACACTTCAGGGTCGTCGTCCTCGCGGCGTGTAAGGCTTTCTCCGGTCACATCATCTTTTCCCGGCACCTTGGGTGGGTTGAAAGTCGTGTTGTACACCCGGCCCGATGGTGCGTGGACCCACCGACCAGAGATGCGATCGATGATGATGTCACTGGGAGTGTTGAGATTTACCACCATGTTTATAGGAATAAGTTCATCCAGCTGTGCGGCCTGCGCTGCTGTCCGCGGAAAGCCATCCAGAATGAAAGAGGCCGATGGATGGTCCGAGTAGTTGTACTTAGACATCCGGAGCCCGGAAGGAATGAAGACGGAATCCACGGTGTCGTCCATATCCATGCCCATTGAGCTGGAGTAGACTGTGTAAGGCCTGACGGTGCTATCCGTCAGCCATCCGCGAGTGGTGAGCTCGTTGACGATGAGTCGTAGAATCATCGCGTCGGGGACTAGTGCACCAGTCTTCATCCTGTGCTCAGCCTGGATACCTGTTCAAGATTAGAGGAGGTCTCTGTTTAGGAACGAACAAGCGTACCGAGAGGTGTTCTTTCTCTAACATTCTTTCTTAGCAGGTCGCCCGAACTTATCGAGGACAGATCCGGGAAGCGCTTCATCAAGCGCTCTGTTTGTGTCCCCTTCCCCACACCTGGTGCGCCAACCAGTATAATTCTTGCTGCTCTAGAAAGGGCCATTCTAGGTAATATAAACCTGATATTTGGTGACAAGTGACGAGTGAGGAGGTGGGAGATTTGTATATATGCCGGGGCAGTGGAATGGAAGCCAGAGGGCTTCTTCTGAAGTCCAAACGTACTAAAGTAAATCCATGCTGGCAGGTTCGAAGGGGATAGAGATAGGGATTGTATAGCACAAAGTCGGGCAGAGGGAGTGACAAAAGAGGGGCAAGGCAGACGCGACAGAGTGCCAGGTCAGAGAGGATATTTCAGTCAAGGGTGCAGGGAAGGATAGGGTGGAGTGGGAGTCTGCGTTGGGTGAGGGGCCGGCTGTCGCACAACAATTGCGACAGTCGGGGACCGGGGGGTTCTCCAGACAAAAGCCGAGCACAAACCGCTGACCCCGAAGGCAACGCGCTCTCACGACGGCCGTGGTCGAGGAACCTTTGGCGCTTGCCGGATTATAGGCGCTGAAATGGAGTTTTCTCGCATGTAAGATCTTTGAGTCCTGATTATTTTCAAGTCGAGCACCAGAGGCAATTGCGTGGCCAGCCTGGGGGCACGTGCATGGGCCGGACAGATGCGGAAGCTATGCCAAGCTTTTTTCGATCGTCGTTCGTCGGGCCAGGACAGGCTCTGAACCCAGTCAGCACACTTTCACTTTGCGCTCGCTGTCCAACGACTCTCCTTCCCATCACTACCACTTACCACTTCTTTGCAGTCTCTGTCTGCGCCCGTGTATTAACATAACCTACCTTTGCGTCACTCCCCTCTTGGCCAGAATCTGACCAGCCGCCGCTCCTTAGTTCTTTCCTGTTCCGGCGCAATGTACGTCAGTCGAACTGCCTCTCGGGCTGCGCCTGCTCTGCTCAGAGGAGGCATCAGGACCGCCGGCCGGCCCCATCGCCCCCTACCTCGAAATATGCCCGCCATTGCCATTTTGCTTCCCCGCCGGGCACTGTCTACAGAAACTTCAACCGCTGGTCCCGGCGGGAGTTATCCCCCCCCCGGTTTCAACGCAGAGAAGGCAAAGAAGCCTCTTCCTAAGGAGGGCCAGCACAAGCCCAAGGAGAAGTCAGCAGCCCCAGAAATACCCGACGTCGCAATCCCCAAGGGCGTCCCAACCACCCACCCCAACACCAAGCCCCAGGAGCCGCAAACTCTAAAAGAGTTGGCCGCGGAGAAGGCTGCTGCGGAGAACCTGGATGAGAAGAAGCTGGTCGCGAAGGAGGAAGTGGAGAAGAAACTCACAATTTGGCAGAAGGTGAAGAGGGAGGCAAATCATTACTGGGACGGCACAAAGCTGCTTGTTGTCGAGGTTAGGATCAGTTCGAAGCTGGCCCTGAAGATGGCAGCAGGTTACGAGCTCACGCGAAGAGAGCATCGACAGGTACAAATGAATTAACAATAAGGCCGGTCGCATTGGCTAATGTTGGGTACAGTTGACCCGAACAGTGCAAGATCTCGGCCGCCTAATTCCATTCTCGGTCTTTGTTCTCGTCCCCTTCGCTGAGTTGCTCCTTCCAATCGCTCTCAAGCTCTTCCCGAACCTTCTTCCCAGCACCTATGAGGGGCAGACAGCCAAGGACTCCAAGGCCAAGAGCCTTCGTTCAACTCGGAAAGAAGTCAGCAACTTCCTTCGGCAGACCCTGAAAGAGACTGGATTGCCAGTTTCTGTAGAGAGCGCGCAAAGGGAGGAATTTGCAGAATTCTTCCGCAAGGTTTGTAATACCCCATCTTTCCTCTCTTGAACTTGTCGTTGTCACATGATCCTGACGTGCTCTCACAGGTCCGAACCACCGGAGAGTCTCCCTCCCAGGAGGATGTCATCAGGGTCTGCAAGATCTTCAAGGATGATTTGACTCTCGACAACCTCTCGCGACCACAGCTTGTTGCCATTTGCCGATACATGAACATGACCTCTTTCGGCACAGACAATTTCTTCCGGTACCAGATTCGCCACCGTATGCGACAGATCAAGCGTGACGACCGTGCCATATCTTTCGAAGGCGTCGACTCTTTGTCTGTTCCGGAACTCCAGACTGCATGCGCGAGCCGAGGCCTAAGGACCCACGGTGTGTCTCCTGCCCGATTACGTGAAGATCTCCAGATGTGGCTAGATCTCCGACTCAAGCATGGCATTCCGTCTACCCTCCTAGTGCTGTCTAATGCCTTTGTGTATGCCCAAGGCAAGGAGTCAGAGATGACCTCCCAGATTGATGCTCTGCAAGCTGTCCTATCTAGCATCCCCGAGGAGCTCTACCATGAGATGGAGCTCGAAGTCCACACTCTCGAGGGTGCAGCAACCAACAAGCAGCGTCTCGAGGTCCTCAAGGAACAACAGGAACTAATCGAGGAAGAAAATGAGCAGAGCCAAAGCCACGAGAACAAAGCCACAGCCTCACCTAAAGACATAGAAAACATCGACGAAGAGGATAAGCCGAAGCGGAAACAAGGAGATGGGGACAAAGAAGCCAGTTCCGCTGATAACAGTTCTGGCCCAGGCAGTGCAGAAATGGCAGAGCAGGATAGACGGGCGGCTGTTGACGCAGGGACAGCGACAGAGACTGCTTCACCGAAAGAGGAGAAAGCCACAGACCCCAAAAAGGATTAGGCTTGCTTGACAGGACTTTTTTTTCTTTTGTTTCTCCACTTTGTGTAATTAGATAGATGGACGAATGCCTCCGGTCAGTAGGAGTTGGGTTCTGGAAACCGCCGGCCGTTACTGCTGTAAGGCGGACGGGGGTTATTAAAACGATATAGAAAATACCCAGATTTCTCGAGGTATGAGAATAGACATGTTACAGTAGCACATCAAAATATTCGTATAATGAATACTTCCATTGAATTCGCCGAGGCCCATTTGCGTGCAAATGGCTACATGAATCTATCTCTCCGGACGGATACTTTCTAATATTCGCCCATCGACATGCATCCGCGTCCCTGTCACACTCATTCCACCAACTCTTCCCTCGATCTACCTCCCCATCTTTCTCTTCCTCCGCTCCCTCTCATAATCGTTCTTCTCTCTCCCTTCTTCCTCCTGTATACTCGCCACCAACTTCCGATACTTCTCAGCATACGCACGATCCTTCTCCTTCTTCTCCCGCAACTTCTCCCTTGCAATGAAATTTGCATCCTTCCGCAGCTCTCGCAGCGCACCTTTCCTTTCCCTCTTGTACTCCTTCTGAAGTCGCTTGGATTCTGCACGCTCGCGGTCTGGGTCGTAGTGTTTGTTCGGGTCGAAAGATTCTTCGAATTTGGGGATTGAGGATTTTATCGGGAGCGGGCGGTGGAAATGTAGGGTTTGTGGTCGGCGGTGGAGACGAGATTGCCGTAGGAGGATGGTGAGGCGCTGTATAGCGTGCGTTTGCCCAGAGAGGGCGGTCAGAATGGGGAGAGTTGGCGAAAATATTTCGGTGAAGGATGGGAACGGCGTCCAGAGGTCGGCTAAGGAAAGGATATTCTTGGTGAGGGCGGTTGTGAGGGTGGGGGTTAGGTGGGGGGATTTCAGGCAGAGGAGGGTATAGCGCATGAGTTCGGGGATGTAGCGTTTGGAGAGTCGGATGTAGTGGATGCATAGAGCGCCTATGTAGGCTCCTGTGGCGATGTCTTTGGTGGATGAGGGTGTTGTGAGGCCTAGCCAACGTGCCATGAGTGTAATGGCGGGTGTAGCGACTTGGTGGAAGTGATCTGAGGTAGGATAGATAGATCCAATTGCGGTGAGAATTGTGAGATCTCCTGGTGTCGGGTCATTGGAGGTTTGGAGTTGCTTGAGATGATGTCGGAATCGAGTGGCGATCTGCACTGGATACGATCGAGAGAGGGAATGGATGTGGCGAATGAGTGTCTCAATGACAGGGAGAGGCGCGGAAGGTGTCTGGCAGGATAAATAGGAGACGTGGTCGACGAGCGCGCAAGCAAAGTCTGCGAGTTTAGTCTTGTTGTCGGCGTGCAAACCCGCGTGATATAGGGCACGAATTCTCTGAACGACAGTTGGAATATCGCCGTGTGAAATATCCTTGAATACTTGCAAGAGTTCTTCGTGTGACTGGGGGCATGGGTATGTGTACGCCAGCTTAGAAGACTTGGGTTCCGTTGTGATACTGAGGATGCCATTCGTAGGTTTTCCAGATTCGGTCTTTGCTGGGAGGATGTCCCTCAAGAATTCATCGTCCTCATCTACACCCATAGTGTTATCCTGGTTAGATTCTTCGTCCGATGCCTCAGAAATATCGGCCTCAGAGTCGCTAGCAATGAGATCATCATCAACCATAAAGTCGTCCTCATCATCTACTCCGTCAGGACGGCTCCCCTGAACCAGCACAGTTGAAAGACCGAATTCTGCCGCATCATCTGTAACAACCTCCTCTTCGCTCTCCGCATCACCCCTCGGCTTTTGCTCGTCCTCTGATTCGCTATCAGGCTCTCCCTTCATTCTGCGCATCCGTTTCTCCTCCAATTCTTTCAGACGATCAGCTTCCTCTTTAGCCTTTTCTTCCTCAGTCTTAGTTCGTTCTGTCGGCTTGGACCGCTGATCGTAGAGCATCTGGCGAACTCTAGCATCGTATTCCTTGTCAGCCGCGTCTCTATCTTTCCCAGCAAGTAGCGCAGCACGATCAGGGTTCATCGAGAAGTCGTTGTTTGAGTGGTCTTTTGGTGGTTCGGGGGTTGGTGCAGTCTTGTTGAGATGACTACGCAACGCGACGAGAACATCTGGTAGGTCCTTGTCGAGCTCCTCTCGCAACTCATCGTCGTCTTCTTTCAGTTGTTGCCGTTCGTATTTGTGAAGTTTCGACTTGGCAATGACCTCCTTCATGACCTCTGCCTTGCTCTTTTTCCGCTCAGGCTGTTCTTCTTCAGGCTCTCCAACCCGTTCAATCTCTCCATCAGAGTCTCTCCGTCTCTTTCGCTGCAGAAAGCTACTCGCCTCCCCATCACTAGATACTTCCACGCTTGCAGCATCATAATCCTCTCCATCCTCATCGAAGTTCAGCGATCTCCCACCATGCGTTAGCTCGACTTCATCATCTGCCTCTTCAAGATCAAAAACATTAGCACCCTTTCTGCTCTGCTGCTCCCTCTCAAACCTAGCCATCATCCTATCATCCAAGCTCATACTCGGATCATTCTCGCCAATCCTTCTGTCCAAAATCCCTCCCACTTTATTCCTCCTATTCATCTCAGGTAACAGTGTCTTCCTCCTCGTCTCCTCACCCTGACTCTTTGTGACCCCCGGTCTTCCCAGCACCTTTTTCGCATCCTGGGGTTTGTTTGTTGTATATTCGAATTTCTTGGGACGGGAGAGGGTTTTGTATTCGAATGGATTGAAGGATTCACGAATGCCAGCTAGAACGGCGGCTCTTTGAGCTCGCGCGTCTGAATTGTCGTTTTGGCGGGCTTTCTTCTGCTTTTTAGATTTTTGCGGCCCCGTTATGCCTTGTTCGCGGAGGGAGGCTTTAAGCCGTTTTAGCTGAGAAGGGGGCATCTTCGGCACAGAGGAGGGCTTCAAGTGGCTTCACTATGTGAATCAAAAACCGGGCCGGTGAGAAGAGAATCGGCGAAAGCAAGGTAGCATGAAAAGAGAGTGTCGTCGGAATTTTAGAGAGAGTGCCAAGATTTCGAATTTCTCGGTCTGAGCTCGGGTTCACCGCCTTCCATACTAGAATTAGTCCGAAAGCACCCCCTGCTCTCGTATGTGGTTTCCATCATCGCCTGCAGGCATTCACAGTCGCCACTAGTGTGCTTCATTCATTCCTCCCCCAAACTTCCCAAAGTCTGCATAGCCTTAAGAGACCATGCAGTTCTCGCGCATGCACACTCAACAATGGCGCCCAGAATAGACGACCGCTGGCTTTGGCTCGGCCTTGGTATGCAATCCCCACAATCTGCAACTCCACTTCCAGCCTTACTAACCAAGCTTCAACTCACAGGCGTATTCACTTTCATCGCTATAAAAGGCGTAGCCCACGGTCTTCGCACCATCGTGCACCTAACCGAAGTTCACACCAAGCCGCCACAACCCTCAAACCCCCTCCCCGCGCGCGGCAAAGAAGACGCCATAAAAACCGCCTCGCTCGAAATCCTCGCCACATGTGACAATGTCGAGATCCGCAAAGCCGCGACCAAGATCCTGTGCGAGCGGTTCTTTGCGCACGGGCCCTCGCGCACTAGACTGCTAAGAGAGCTTAGCAGTCCAAATGCTACGGTGCAGCGTAGAGCGAGACTTGCGTTTAATCTGCTTTGTGATTATGGCGTCGTACAAGAGGTTGTTTTGCCGCCTACGCCGCGCACCCTGAGAGCTGAGAGACGTCCGGATCCGAATGCCACGTTGACATGGTTGGATGGGCGGACGAATCGGCCGAGGAATCATGAAGGAAGTAGTGCTGAGGAGAGGGATTTGCGAAGGAGGAGGCGAGAGGCTATGGTGATAAACGAAGGGGATAGGCCAGTTAGTCAAGAGGATGTTTGGATGAGAGATGGAACTGGCAGAATGAGTTCGGAGGAGACTAGGGATCCTAGGGAGTTGTACGCCGATTTGAGGAGATTGGCGGATGCCCTGGCAAGTGCGGATCAGACGGCTGAGGGGCTGAGGGTGAGGCTGGAACATTTGGGTTTCGATACGGAGTGAACTGGAGGGACCGGGAATCGTGGGGATTCATTTGCATTTGATACCCTAGGCGTTGGTGCTTTGATTTTGCAGTAGAAAGAGTTTTCCATGTATGCACATGAACTTATTGTTTGCTGTCTTCCAATTTACCGTACATGAGTTGCGAGAAGCGTCATTCCAACTTAGTCTCCAAACCTCCAAAAACCAAGACATATATATATATATATACAAGTGTACCCACAAACCAGTCTAAGCATCACCAAATTCCTTTTCCGTTTCCAGACCTGAATACGTGCCAGTTTAGCCTAATCCATTAGTAGGAACTCTGAGCTTGGCTGTGCAAGCCTGTGCTCAGCATGAGCAGCAGTGAGCAGGGCCCGAGTACTCCCGTGCTCAGGTAGATTGAGAACCACGCGAATTTAGCATATGTAAAAATGGACAGAATTCTTGGCGCTCTGCGAGATTTTCGTTTCCCCTACCGCATTTTCTTTCATATCTCAGCAACGAAAATATATTTCTTAATAAAAATAATACCCTTGGCTCTATAAACTATTCTCTATATAATATTAACGTCTATATTCTGTATTAGAAAGACATGCTTTGGTACTGGAACTGCGCCATCGATACTAGCTCATCGACCTCCAGCAACGGCTTGACAGCACGTGGAATGACCCTGCAGATGTAAACGTGATTACATTTAGACTCATCTTAAGTGATCCGACATCTCCTTCTTTGAGGGGCTCGGAGACGCTAGCTGGGCAGGATAATCACCTAGTAAAAGCTAGAGTTTTTGTTGTAGAATTAGAAACACGGTGCGCATTGCAATTTCACGCTTAAATTGGTGACCACTTCTAGGTCTCATGGTCCTTAGTTGCCAGATGTACGAAGTAATATCTGGCTCTGTCTTTGAAAATTTCACAACTTTACACCTGCTCCTGCACGCCTACACACCTAACGTTGGCTAATAAGGCTTACCTTTTTCTTTTACTAAGCCTTCGTTTTCTTGAAAATAAGTCTATATAGCTATAATTAATCTATTTGCCCTGGTTTTATAGATATTCTGCGGTTGCTTAACCTTCTTCTTGCTCACTATCTTACGAAGCAGATGCATGCGCTATGCAGTCTACTGTGCACTTCCCTCCTAGCGCTAGCCACTAGGCTTCGACCTTTAGGTTTTGTCTCTGTACCCTGTTTCTAACCCTAATAATCTAGTTGCCGGGCTCCACCCTTAAGCCGTCTTAACTTATTCAAGAATTCATTAAGAGCTATCCAATGCAACCACTTTGCTATCAAATCAGTACCAAAATAAAGGATGGCTTTGGGGCTTGGGTTGTTTAAATATCCGTATTTGAAGTGCCACAGCTCGTTCCGCGAGAGACTGAAAGCAGATCTATGCTATGAATCGTGTGATAGGAGCCTTGGCCGTTTGCGGCGTCGTTCATGACTCCCCCATTCGTGGCGGACAGACGACGAATCTGAATCGCTCAAATTCCTCTCTTCCTGAAACGTCACCATCGCTTTGATCGTGGTCCGCAGATGGTCCGCAGTAAGGCTTGATCCCTTACTAAGTGCAATGGCATACGCAGTGCGAACAACATTCCGCATCTGGCGACCATTGAGGTCATGCGACGCCAGTTCATCCAGGAGACGGTCATCGAAGTGGTTGAGGTTACTGCCCGAAGATCCTGTTTGCAAGAAATCGTGCCATAACGCTCGTCTGGATGCCTCCGACAATCGGCTATACTTCAGGGTCAAGTGGATTCTAGACTTGACAGCAAGGTCGAATTGCTCAACGCGATTCGTTGTCAAAAACATGATGCCTTCATAGTACTCAAGGACACGTAAGAATACTGTAGAATTATTAGCTCGCCGTTGTCAAATGTAGATGCTCTCCCTAGTACCGGAAACAAGACTATTCCGCTGGAGCTCGTTGGGCTGCCGTTGTTCGAGGTACACATCCGCCTCGTCTATGAGGATGATTGCATTCCATTTCGCAGCCATTTCGAAAGCTTCATTTAGGCACTTTTCAAGAGACGAAGCCTCAACGCCCAAGTCTCCGCTACGAATTGGGAACAATGGCTTCTTAGTATAGTCTGCAATGCTTTCTGCCGAAGATATGTCAGGATGGTCTAACGAAAGTGCTTCAGAACATCAGATACCTGCAGTAAGCGTCTTGCCAATACCGGGTTCTCCGTGCAGCAAAACTATCATGCCTCTCCCTTTCCCTTTGATGAAATCGTCGAACTGGAAATCGTCCTTTGTATGGATCTTGGCCAAGGCTAGAAGTGTATCTTTCTGTTCCTGGGGTAGACGCAGATTGTCAAATGCTTTGCCGTCGTAGTCAATAGGCTTGATATTGTCTACCTCAAAAACACACCATCGTTTGTCCGTAAGCGAGAACCCGTGCACTTGGTGGCTGTATATCAGTTTCTGTTCGCCGGAAAGGGAGTCGGGTGCAATCTGAGCAATCTTGCTCTTTTCGTATGAACTAAAGTACGCATCTGCATGGTCTGGACGAGCTTCACAAAAACCAGCTGCGTCGATCATGACTCGGCTTGTTACCTGCACGTTCGAGGATCAGCCTCTAGATTTCTCAAATTATCATTGCGCATCCAAATACCTTGAATTTCTCAAAATGGAAATCCCAGTCGTCATCCTCGTCATTCTTCCGATCTGAAGCCCATTGTGCGGGACCACAATAAAAACGTTGATGGACACCCTTTAGGCCAAGGAACTTCTCTCCTCTATCCATCATTTTCCTCGTAATGGCCTGACGTTCGGGATGATATCTCAGTGGGAAGACATCCAGGTCCTTGAATTGTTTGAAACCATCATACGTAGGGATCTGCACATCCTCAGTCCAATAGCGGAGCACTGAACCTTGGTAGATGATTGTCTCAAGTTCCACATCCCAATGTTTCCAAATGAAGCCAGCAGCTGTCATACGAACGAGCCTTCCAATCCACTCCACACCATTAGACTTGACGAAGATAAGGTCTCCAGGACGATATTCCATCCACAGTCGCTCGAAGTCCAGTCCAGGGGAATCGCCATGCTTCGCTATGCAATTATTGTAATGCGATATGTCCTCCGCCAAATTGGTTTGCATGTAGTTTAATGCAAATGCTAGATGCTCTGCAGCATCTCTGTCCCTAAGCTGTCGCCCGTAAGCTCTGAGCTCTTTTCGGAAATGAAAGAGGCATCGCGGCGGACCGATAATGGTGATCTTTTCGTCACCCAAATTCATCTCGGGGTACTTCTTTATGACAGATGCCATGGCGGCTTTGATATGCGGCGACCTTATGACGAGTTCAACTTGCTTCAAAGTCTGATTGCTGTAATACGATTTCGTCACTACCATGGCAGAGTTGCGATCTTTGTCCACCTGAGCCCGGAATTTCGTTGTTTTCCCAGTCTCAAGGGGAACTTTGTCTCCTTTCGAGGTTTCCCGGACATCGTAGGTCCTTAACTCCAGCTTCAAACCCGGCTCTGGAGCTGATTGATTTTCAGGCTGGTCCAGCTCATCCCAGTCGAAAAGCTGGAACGGATCCGACATATTTGCGGTAGCCATCGGCGATATGTCTATAATTTCTCAGTGTTGCTGACTCTCGCTCGTCGTCGCCTTTTCAATAAGCACATACCATTGGGCAGTCCCCAAGATCGAGAGGCGTAAGACTGTTCAAAGCAAGGCTTCGAAACGCGGAGGAAGCGCTAATGAATATCCGATAGTACGTAGAAAAAGTAGTATGAATTCTCGAGATGATTGAAATTGATCAGAGTCGATGTGAGGACTGGAAATTCGAATTTCATTATGTATCCGCTCATCTTGATTGCGAGCAACGCATTTATATGTGATTGCGGCTGCGGGCAGTGGTGGAGAGGAGGCATTGCAGGTGCACGCTTGGACCTCCTTGGCGGTTGCCTTCCAGGGTATGCCACCCACGGCCGCAGTTGTATCTTACACATAGCACGTAATGTATCATGTTTCATTGTGGGTTTACAAACGTGCTTATCGCAACGCCGTTTATTGTAGTGAGTCTGTTTGACCTGCTCCACCATGATCTCTTTCCTCCTCCCACTCAATTGCAAGCTGGTGAGCTTAGCCAAATTTCTTAGTCGCTGCTTTCCTTCTTCTCTTCGGTACCAGCCGACTTAGAGCCTGGCTTCAATTCTCGCGCAATCCGACTGGAAGACTTAACGGCGCCAACATTGTGAAACGGCCCATCTTGGAAAGATTCTTCCAGCCAATGAGTCATCATCGTTCCAGCTATTACCATACTACCGCTGAATTGCTTCAACCTCTCACCCGTCAATTCCGCTAGCACAGCAGGCCTATTTTCTGAAGTGCCTGAACGGGTGATCTTGGTGCGCTTTCGAGATATTTCAGTATAGCTAGCAGTAGCGGAAGAATCCGAATTTGGCTATAGGATGACAATCATATAAGTCAGTTGATAAATCATTGATAAATCCTGTCAAAGTCACCTTTAGAAGCGACAGTTGCCCGCCAACTTTTGCGTTGCTTCGCTGGGACTCACTACCAAGAGTGTCCGGATCCGCAAAATTCATCGTTTTAGGAGATGAGTGGGCCGCCATTTGACCGTGCAAACCGATACAAGAGGTGCGTATCGCAAGTATATCTGTCTGAGCTTTGAAATAATAGTCGGGGAAGCAGTGAAGTAGGGAGTAAGTGAATGAGGAGAGAAGACTTGAAGGCTACAGAGAAGAGGCAGTTGAAGGGAGCGAGAAGATATTCTTTATATCTAAGGGCAATGGAAGAAGGCAAAAGAACCAAGCGCCATGCAAGAGACTCACTGACCACAAAGGACAGCGTTCGAACAGGCTAACCCGGAACTTTGAGGGTACTTTGAGGAACTTTCCTCTGGGACGTACAACCGATGCAATTGAGATGCAGGATTGCCTAACGGGAGGAGGATACAAACTCATAGGCCGACAAGGGTCTATGGGCACAGAAGTCCCCAAAAAGTACGGCCAAAGTTCGACCAAAGTTCGAAACGAGCGTTAGTCTCGACGATTGGTGGGGGCGTACAGTCATGTGTCCTAAGGCAGCATCACTGCTATTCCGTGATAGACATTCTCACGGTAGCTACGGGCTGGTGATGCATATTTGGTCGTAAGAGGTTGAAAGAAAAAGGCGAATGTGCATGTAGGATTTCGGAACACGAGAGGGGACCGTATTATAACATTCGTTGCGTAACGGATGACTAATTACGTTAGCAGACGTCTAACAACCTTGAGACTTGCACTTTTTCTCTCGAAAGCAATTGAACTCCAATAGAGACTTTTGGAAAAATCAATACATCCTCAGGTGGCTTACATGATTCACTGTCATCGTGTTGGTATGTAGACATTTTGTCTGCGATTTAATATTACCTAGTGATTTTCGGACACTGGCGCCCGCTGGATCAGAAAAGTTCTGGAGATCAAGCGAAGCAGCCGGCGGCTGAGGCGAGGGACGTTCGGTGTGCTGCAAGGTCCATTCGAAAGGCACCCAACCAGGGAGCGAGAAAAAGTCCTGCTGAAGTTCTGCGGAAAGTACTGCGTCTCCCCGAACAGACCAATGCAGGGATATAGTGGGTCTCTCTGCCTTGCGCTTAACTTTGGACAACACATTTGATGGCCCAACGGTGGGGGAGTCAGCCGAGTACTTTCAGCCGTCCTTTCGAAGGTACTTTCTGCAAGCCAATCAAGACGGACACCGCCGCACGGTTCCCGATTCCGAGGAAACTTTGCCGCCTCAGTGAACGCGGCCTGGCGATGTCCCGTCCCGTCTTTACCCCAAACTGGGGACTCCGACGGTGCCATTTCGAAAGTGAGTAATTCCGGTTACAATTTCTACCAACACCGAAATATTGAAGACGGAAGAACAATGGACCCACCGCGCAACCACTGGGACGCAACTGGACGCACATCTCTGGGTGCTCCTTCAACATGGCATTCAAATGGTGCTCTCCCTCAAACTACTCCTGCCTTCGGCTCATTCCCCAGCACAGAATATCAAACACTTGTTCCTGATGCTTCACTTCCGACGGTCCCCCTATCCTTCCCACCGTATGGGGACGGTGTGACAGCCTGGTCGCAAGAAGCAGAGCTGGCACCCCATTTCAGACATAGCCAACCTTTCCAGGAACCTCGCCATGAAACTATTCCACTCCCAATTACGCAAACAAAGGGCAAATCTAAGCGGCCCAACAGGCGTGATCTACCATGGGATAATCATAAGCAAACGATGTACGATCAATATATGAAAGGGAATAAAAAGCTCAAGGAGTTGCAAAGATATATGATCGAAACGCACAAGTTTGATGCAACGTTGGTGATCTAATACTTCCCTCTCCCGGTATGTAAGGGCGCTAAGTTTTTCAGGGAGAAGCAATACAAGGATCAGTTTAACGACTGGGGATGGTCGAAAAATCTTGGGAAACGAGAGCGTCAAATAATGAAGACCAAGGCAGGCAAGAGAAGAAGAGAGAACCCGCCAAGAGATACAGAGTTCCAGTGGGGTGGTCAAGTGTGGACCGTTGATCGTATAATGAAGACTCGTGGCAATGAAAATGGAAACGAGGAAGAAGATGCTCACCTTGGTCAGCTTAATTGCATGTTTCGTCCCTCTACGCTTTCGATTGACTTCTTTCAGATGAACCAACTCCACTCGGTATGACCTATTACACACCCCAAAACCACACCGTTCCCGGTGTAGTGGCCACGCCAAACATTTCTCCTCAGCGGGCGCGAAACCACGTTGGATCCTCTGGTGGTATGGCATCCCAATATTGTGGAATCCGACTGAGGTGGAACGGGCACACAGTAGCAGATATATCTACCGTGAAAGGCCAAGCGCTTGACCTAGAGCGGCTCAATGATTTCGATGGTGCAGATGAGAAATTCACTGAGGCCTTGGAGGCTTGTCGAAATCTACTCCCTCCCGCTGACGAGCTCAGGGCCAACATCACATACCAGGTAGCCCGCTTCTACGGGCGACGCAATCACATGACGAGAGCCGACAGTGTGCTCGATGAACTGACGGATCAATTTGTACATCGGTGGGGTCAAGGTCATGAAAAGACGTTGAATCATTATGGAACAGTCGGTTTACTCCTGCAAGCATGGGACCGACACGAGGATTCCCTTAACCTCATGAGACGGTTGACAGATGACTTGAAATCAACGTCCTTATATTCTAATACTAAGGGAAAAGAGGCACAATCAGCAATCAACGTCGACCTACCATCGTTATATACCTCCACTATGCTCTCAGGAACATCCGGCGATGAGAGAAATCCAGCATCTTCTCAGCTGGTCCTTCAACTAGAGATAGAAAATGCGGCTGTAACTAATTTAGAGAGCATAGATCGGCCAGAACAAAGACTGCTCAACTTACTTAACCAACTAATGAAGAATCCGGAACGCAACTTAATAGATATCGTTCGGATTAGACGTCTACTAGTGAATCTCTACAGCAAATCCCTTATGTCCGACGAAGCGGGCGAGGCTTTTGCACAAGCCAAAATTTCCATAACGTCGCTCTGTAGTCTTGACTGCAGCAAAACAAACGACTTCTTCAGAGCTGCTGTTGACCTGGCTGAATATGGCCTGGAAGAGGGGTTTACAGCCGACGCCTACGAGATTCTTGAAGTTGTGGAATCAGAGGTTGTTGCAGAAAATGGGCCTGATCATCCTAACACCATTTCCTTGCTAATGAAGATCGGCAAGATGGTCCAAGAGATGGCTTCCTGGGAGGAGGCCGAACCGCGTTTTCAACAAGCATATGCAGCTTGCATTACCGCATTTGGTTACAAGTCTATTGTCACACAAAAGCTTGAAAAGTCCCTTGAAAAAGGTAGTTATTTGGGCGACTTGGAGGATGATGTCTCTGATAAAGGGTTGTTCCAATTTATTACTCTGTAAAGGGTTGCCTATCATTCGAAAGATACTGAAGAACCTAGTGTTCATGTGCGGTTAGAACGTGGGTTTCTTTTCTTCAAATTCGTTGCTACGTAGGATTGAGATGCAAACCCAAAGATACCTCTCTATTTCCAAGCACAATAACCTCTTACCTCACCGTGCTGGATTGGTTTAGAGGCTTCGTATCTAACGGGTGTTTCCTCCGAAAATCCGCTACAAAGAAAGTTGGTTGCGCATTTATCGTAAGGGCAGGCTGGTTTTCGTAGAACACTGTAATACAACCCCATCATTGGATATCTTGCACTCTATCTTTCCACGGGTATTCTACCGTCAACTCTCGGCAATCCCAGTGATGTCGGTAGATTGGTTACGGTAACTTAGGTTTGTGTTTGGATTGGAGACTAGAGAACCAGCTTGTTGATCGTCCCAAATTCTCACCTGGGTTCTCTCACCGGCGGGATGACCATCTGTTACATCGAGCAAGACTTTAACTCAAGTGGTAAGACAAAGGTAACGTCCTTCGAGCTAGTAGGTTTGCAATTCACAAAAGTTACTCTGCGAGACTAGCGATACTCTAGAGCCTCCGAATGACGGTCGGCAGCCCGATCACCACCAAGGGCTCAAACCCAGGCCTTAGCTACACATGCTTTTGAAATGTGAGCACGCGAGGCAGTGAGGCTAACGAGTTCCCCAAAGAACCCTGTCCAGCGGGTATCATAGCCATTCACCGCTTCCCCTCGTGCTAGGACGGGAAGAACCTCGACAGCCCCAACCAACAAGACCACATGGACAACACAGTGAAAGGAGGGTTTATGAATGCTGGGCCGTGCCCGTCCTCGCATCCCATCCGCATGCTTCAGGTTGCCTACAAGGCCATGTAGAACCCGACCTAGTTTAACAATAAGTCGTTGCGGCTTGCGGACGGCTCGCGACTCTTCGTCTGGGGCTTCGAAGATAGCAAGGTAGCAAGGAATACGGTACCCACGGCGATTATATCTTCGGCTGGAAGGGGGACGCGCTTCAAGCGCGCTATGGACTCCGCCAGCCTAGTTAGTAATAACCTTAACACTTAGTCTGTGGCCGAGGTGAATAAGTGCGCCATCAAGAATAGCGTTAGTGAGTCTACCGACGGATGTAAGTTGTTCCGTATACCAGAAAAGTCCCAAAGCTAATGACTTGATTCGCAGGGCTTGACAAGCTCCCCAGAATGTAATTTTTCATCTAGGTTAATTGAGTAGTAACACGTGTGCAAGGGTTTAGAAGACAGTTTTCTTAGGAAATTGAAATTGTGCAGTATTTTTTGCAAACTGATGGAACTATTCGGGGTTTTTCAAACTGTGTAGTCTACAGTCTGTCGTTGCAAGCGCCTTGTATGCAAGGTATTTGGAGTGGCATTGGCTTCCTCTTTCTTTTCGCTTTTCCCTCCCCTCCCCTTTCTAGTATGTAGCAAATACTTGCCTAACGTATCTGTCTTTTGAAGATTTCTAACACATCCTACATTTATACACTAAATCGGCGTGTTGGCCTTATGGCAATTATCATTCCTGGCTTAATTCGCCCTCCTGTTGCATGTAGTGGCCTGGAAATAGCCGACCTCGGGGAGAGAGAAACATCTTAACCTGGCCAACGCCAAATACGCAAGAATAGACACTTTATGGTCGAAGAGTTCAATGTTGCCTGCGTTATGTTGATGAGTTACCTTCTGTTGCTGAGGACATCGTACACAACCACCTTGGGTTTAGAAACAAATTTAGCGTTATTATCATAGAAAGGTAACAGACAATTATGCTCCTACTGTCCCTCCTGTTCCTTAGCATCTTGGCCACCATGATAAATCCTCCAAGTGCAGCAGACGTAGAAGCGTTAAGAAGTTTCAGCAGCCTTCAAATCAACTAATTCCTCCTCCGCCTTCCTGATCTGACTAGGCCTTGATGGAAGTGGAGGCGGCGCTTCTTCCTTGTCACCCTCATCTACATCCTCTCCTAGCAATCGATCATCCTCGGCAATGACCTGATCGTCCTCTCGTGCGGATTACAATAACACAGAACAGCCTGACAATCCCCATAATCACTATAGCCACTCTAAAGAGAATACAAAAAGAAATCACCATCGCCGGGGGAAGTGTGATGAAGGTGAGGAGGGTGCTGGGAATTGGCAGGCGGTGCCTGCTTATCATGCCTTTCTGGTTTGATTTGTCATCTCAGATGTTGTGTCGGTTCATCGTGGCCGTGGAGATTTGAGAGATGCGGAAGTGGGACTGAAATTTTTTGGTAGCCGTGTGCTGCGAAGTCCAGATGATAGGATTGCATTCTTTGATTGTTGTAGAGGCAAGTCTGACCAAGGTCTTACCACTATCGCTTTTCTGTCCTTACACAATGTTATACAATTTTACCGCCAAGAAGCTTTACCCTTTGCTAGAATTAAGCCAATCACAATAGTCGCTAAAATGAAGACTATAATACTGAAGGGGACAGAGTGACGGAGAAACGTACCAATTTAGGAGAACTAAGACGTATGCCGTACAGATATAATACAGCGAAACGAAGCAAAACGAATACTTATCCCTCATAGTTTTCATGAATCTTTACATCTAAATCAGCTTTCCTCGCTCCTCGCCCCTCTAACTCCTCCTACTCCGCTGCCTCCTCCATCACCAGTGTCTTCATTTTACCCGCAGCTTTCACTAACGCGCCCAAACTCTTTTCCATAATTCTCCTCCCATCATACGTGTCCCAAACCTGATGCGGTGCCTGATTCACTACATCCCAACTGACCAGATTGTCTGTCAACTTAGTCAAATCATGTTGCTTCCTCTCCCACTCACTATCCGTCCTACACCTAATTCCACTGCTTACGATCACCACCGGAGTATCCGCACTCTGGATATTGCGGGCCGAGGCAACTTCGTTCTTGGACAGAGAGTCGGCGATTAGGTTCTCTTGAAGCTGCGCTTTAATGTATTTGCCGGATTGATAGGCGTTCCGACCGTAGACGCGGTCTTCCCGTGTCCGGCCTTTGAAGAGAGCACCACTGAGTCGCTCCAGGCCCAGCGGCGAAATGATGCCGTAGGCCCAGAGAATAAAACCGCGCCCAGGGCTCGATAATCGGTGAAGTAGGTCTTCGTGTAAAGGGTCTACGAGCATGATGCCGGTGACTTGCTTGAGGTGTCGGGAGCTGAAGATTCGAGACGTGATGCTGCCGATTCCTGCGGAGACTAGAATCCATGGGCCTTCCTCGCCAGTCTTCGCGAGAGCTTCAGAAAGGGCGTCCGCCGACATACCGGCGGAGTGTGGAGAGGGAGCATTGTCTGACCAGGCGTATCCTGGGCGGTCCCAGTAGCAGTAACGCGAGATGGTGCCGTTTTGATAGGCGCCATAGGCCCAGTGTTCAAAGTCATATTCCAAGGGCGTCTCACCGGCTTCGAGAAGGATGGTGGCATCTTTCTGTCCTTTTGTATATGTCACGTTTCCTATGCAGGCGAGATGGACTTGATACTTGTCTCCGTCGACAAAGATTCGGTCGCCATACATTCCTAGCGTTGCATCTCGAGCCCGAATCCCAAGGGTTCCGGTCATCAAGACGGTGATGAGGATGAAGACTATCGTGAAGATTGTTGCCAATAGAACCGCGAACCATTCCTTCAGCGTTCGTCTGGTTTCCGGTCGGCCTGTTAGCCGCTCTTCCTCCTCCCGCTTACCCCAGTCAACGACACGGTCTGTAATGATACACCATAGAGCGATAAAGACAGCCCACACAACCGACGCAATCCCGACCCAGCCTTCTTCAATTCGAATTCGAGGAACAGCGAGGATTATAATCATATCAACTAGTAGTAGCGCGGCTATGATGGCGGTGGTGATACGCATCGCCTTTGCGGGGGCGACAAAGAAGATCACAGCAACGAGGAGATTACCAATGGTAAGGCACGCGTAGGCGAAGTCAAAGAAGCCGGAACCGCGGGAGTGCATTCCTGGAGGGGAGACGAAGATAGAGACGAGAAGGAGCACCCACCAGATGAAGGATATCATCAGGAAGAGCACGGTAAAGTATCGAAGGAACCGGACGGACCAAAGATTGTATGGGGAAACCTTCTTATGTTAGCGCCATGCACATATATGTAAATGATGGGGGCTTGTTAGGCTTACTGCCGGATCGTCTGGATCCAAATAACCGTCGGAAGCGGGAGGCCGATTGTGAAGAAGTCTTGTTCGTTCGTCTGGTTCTCTTCGTTCGAGGCTCCTTCTCGTAGATGAGCGATCATCTTGCGGACCTTGAGAGTCATTGCCATTCTCCGGGTGGTCCTTCTTTGACCCCCACATCGAGAGTGAGTGGAGTGAATGGAGCTCGGGTGACGGTGAAAGCCAGTATCAGAGCTACACAAGCCCTAGTAAGCCACCGAGTGCTTGGGACTCGACTGAAACGAATTAGAGTGAAAAGCTTTGAGATTAGAGGAAGAGCGAAAGAGGGGAGCTCGATGGACAACTCTTTGATTTTATGGTAGTGGTGTTGAGAGGCGAGAACTTATTGATGGTCCAGAGCGCCTTCGATAGGGATCTACGTCATGTTGTTTCTGTTGAGCAGCTATCCCGGCTTGTCAATCCTCACAACGCGCCAGGGAATGCACCATGCGACTTTGATTGGAGAGTATTGCATAGAGAGTGAACTCGTGCAAAATATTGTTTGACCTTCCCCCTCCCTTTGACCTTTCGCACTCACTGACCAAACATTGAACGCCGGCACGAGGCAGTGATTACATCATAGCCACGCTCGCCACGCCAAGCTCAAGAGTACTCAAGCTAACATACCCCTGCTGCATTTTAACTGCACCTCCACCATCAAATCGCCCTATTATCGGATTCCCACACCCACAAGCTCGAAATCCCATAGATCTGCACTCAGCCTAGTTCTTGCCACTAAGTACCATGTCCAGTCTCGCCAAGACCTTCGCAAAGACGAAGCTCGGGCCGCTACCGCCAGAACCGCCTGTCTATGAAGATGTCGAGCACGAAGATGATTCCTCCTCCGCTTCCTCTATGTCGAGCACCGGCACTGTAATCCCTACGTCTTCACAGCGGCCTGCACCATCCGTTCGTTGGTCTGATTATTTCTCTCAGGAGTTCTATCTCGAGCGTCTGTCGCCGGATTCGAGCCATGCAAAGTTCCACGTATACTTGACCCCTCCGAATTCCGCTAAGGCTCCATTACTGGTGTTGCATCATGGTGCCGGAAGCTCTGCACTGAGCTTCGCTCTGTTTGCCAAGGAGCTTCAGAAACAGCTTCCAGATGCGGGGATACTGGCTGTGGAGGCAAGGGATCATGGGAGTGTGGTTTGGGGCCCAGAGGGGCATGTTGATAACGATTTGTCGATTGATCTTTTGAGTCAGGATATGGTGGATATGATGCACCTCACACAGGCAAGGATGGGCTGGAAAGAGTTACCCACCGTCGTTTTGATAGGACACAGCTTGGGTGGTGCTGTGGTCACGAATGCTGCAAAGCAAGGGCTCCTGGGGAACAAGTTGCTTGGGTACGCTGTTTTGGATGTGGTAGAAGGTTCAGCTATGGAGGCATTGAAACATATGCAAGCGTATCTCGCCAATAGACCGAAAATGTTCCCTACGCTGGACGCCGCAATTGACTGGCATATTCGATCTCGGACGTTGCGAAACCCAAAATCTGCAAGAGCCAGTGTTCCGAGTCTGTTACTACAGACATCCGAAGGTCGATGGGCATGGAGAACCGATCTTTCTACAACGGAAGCATACTGGGAGAACTGGTTTTCCGGTATGAGTTCCAAATTTCTGGGCGGGAAGGGTGCAAAACTGCTCATGCTCGCTGGTACTGATCGGCTGGACAAAGAATTGATGATCGGGCAGATGCAAGGTGGGTATCAAAGCTATTCTACATTTCATCTGTCAATATCGCTAAATGATATTCCAGGGAAATTCCAGCTCCAAGTCTTCCCCTCCGCCGGCCATTTCCTTCAAGAAGACCAGCCGGAGAGGACTGCAGAGGTCGTTGTGGAGTTCGTGAAACGCAACGACCGCAGCGCATTGGTTCTCCCCCCGAAAGTATCAGATCTTCTAGCGCAAGGCAAAAAGGTCTGATGTTCGAGGTGCCTCCTGCCTCAAATCTCCTCTCATGTTCATGAGAGATTAATAGGAGCAATCTGGAGATGATACAATCTGGACCGCTATATCAGCATACCGACGTGCAAGGCGATACACTCAAGACCCGGAGCGAGAGCGCTCAGACGGCCGTCCAGCGAAGTGGAGCTTTGACGTGGATTGAACGGGGTCCCTCATGGTGTATTCGACTCGACTTCAGCTTTCATCTGACTGCTGGCTCCACTATCACTTTTTGGCTTGTGTTTCCGTTGCCTCTTCCTCTTGGCCGACTCTTCGCCTTCTTGAATCGGCGTTTCAGGCTCCACGCCCTGCTGCCGGCGCGCCTCCGGCTCGGCTTTCTTTGGCTTGACAGGAACGTTGCTGTGAGGCTCGACTGGCGGATGAACTCTCTTCTTCGGCTTCTTCACACTAAGCGGATTCGGGCCTTTTGGTCCCCTTGTGCGCTTCTTCTTCTGAGGCCCATCGTCTCCTGTAGATCGCTCCATAATAGAACTGCCGTGTTGCTCTTGAGTGCTGTCCTCCTCGGCTTCGTCTCGTTTCCTCTTTTGGCCCGGATTTACTCCTCTCCGGCCCTTGAGCCCCGCCTTGAACTTCGCCTTCTCGCCTTGTTCGCGATGGTTGTGAGTGCTTGCCGCCATGGGTTCCAGAATCACGACGCTCTTATTTATGTAGATCAGCGGCACGCCGGGTATGGCCCGCATGTGTGCCCTCACTTTGGGGTCCTGGGATGCCACGACATAGCGGTTTTTGTTGGTCAGACTGTTTTTTGGGTCGACGACGGAGGAGAGGCATTCGAGGGTCGAAAGCGGGTCCTCGAGCTCGTGGTGGTTGCAGCGGCGCCGTTCATACTCCTTCGCCTTGAGGATCAGAGCTTGATCCTTCGGTTCGGCGTTGTAGAGGTGCCGCATGTCGCACTGCGTGATCATGGGCTTGACCTTGCCCTGGAGAGTCCTCTCCAACAGGCCGACAAGGTCCATCTTGAAGCGCGCCGCATCTTGAAGAATCTGCGAATCCACTGCGAGATTGTCAGCCGCAACGGGCGCAAACGCCAATCAGCCAGCCACTTACGAAGGACCTGATAGGGCTCCCGGAAGTTAAAGGTAACTTGATACTGGTGGATCAGCTTGCGATAGGCCTTTGCACGCTTCACCCGCATTGTGACGATTCACGTTTGAGGATGCTGCGGGGTGTGCGAAGGAATGCAAAGGTCGACCACAAGTTCGGAAATTTAAATTCGGTCGGTCTCGGGAGTGGCCCAAGCGTCAGACGGCTGCGGAGGTGGACCCTCGAATTCGCACGCCAGAAAGCTAAGCCTTTGTCTCCCGCGACCACTGAGAGCATCTGGCTGATATCTGTACATAATCGCTGACTCTGAGCTCTCCTGCGCAGACTCCTCTTTATATTCGTTCATATTTCCTTTGGCTCGTCCCTCGATGCATGCGAACTAGCCCAAAACATGTCGAACGAGCTCACTCCAGGGCCCCCTATCAAAATAACAGAGAAGGCCGAACCGAGGGACAAGACCACGGCCGACATCGAGTATGACGACTTTGGCTTGCCTATAAGAAAACGGCGGCCTAGGACCCCAGTGGACGACAGCTCGGACTCGGACTCAGATGTGTTTAAAAGTGCGCCAGCAACAGCGTCAGCCAGCCGACAGGATATTGCGCTGCCAGAAGAGAGTACTGCAAAAGTAGAACAAGTCACGGGGAAGCTAAATGAACCCCACACTGTCAACTCGCCGGTCAACGGTCTTGTTCACGACAAGGAGAAGCAGGAGAAGCAGGAGAAGCCGGAGAAGCCGGACCACGGGGTCCAGGTGAAGGACGAGAAGTCCTCAGAACCCACATCGCCAAAAGAGTTTCCCGAGACTGCCCCGCCGGCAGCCACGACCCGCAATCGCAGCATATCGATACCCACAAATGTCGAAGGACATCATGCCTTCGCCATATCCGAGTACTCTCATCAGCAGCTCGCCCCTCAAACTCACAAAGAGCAGGAAGCGCATCAGGAGGTCGAGGAATGGCAGGAAATGCCGGCCTATGCCCATTTTGACATGTACAACGACGATAACAAGCTCGTTGCCCGGGAAAACCAAGAGGAACTCGAGGACATGAACGGTTATGGAAACCTCGGAGGTGCTGCAAAAGGCTACACGAGAGTCACGATGGATGATGACGTAGAGTCCGTAACTAGCATGGACGACAATACTGCGTATCTCTTCAAGGAGAAAGGTACCACCTTGTTGGACGAAGACGAAGGCGCCCGGGATCCGCTCGCACAGATGCAGACCACCAAAGGACTTCTCACCGAAGGTCAGCGCATAGCCTACGTTGGCCTTGTGCGGCTGGCCATGGTGCAAATGGCGAAACAACCCGCTGGTCTGGACCGTACGAAAGGCACTAAAAAACTGCTGGATCTGTGTGAGGCGGCTTTGAAGATGTGGTCCCAGAAGATGATGGTTCGCCTTTACACACATATGGATATCGATTCCTCGGAGCAAATTATGATTGAACAACTTGCCGAGCATGGGGTAGAACCGCCAGATTTAGTCCCTGCCTTAATGCAGAATGCTCGGGTAAAGAACCCTGTTACCGAGGAAACAGATTCACCAAGACTGTCAGTCTCCTCACCGCGCCCCAACTCACATTCCGAAAAGTCCATGTCTTCGTCTGCCGTCAACCTCTACGATGCTGCTGAGAGCCCTCCACCTCCACCCTACAATGAGCATGAAGGCGAAGAGCTTCCAGAAGTCCGCACTCCGTCCCAGCTCCCCCAGACTAAGAATCTTGACATCGACCTCCGGTGGACCATTCTCTGCGACTTGTTTCTAGTTCTTATCGCAGACTCTGTCTACGATTCGCGGTCGAGACAGCTTTTAGAGCATGTTGGCAGCTATCTTAGCGTGGATTGGCTCGAGATCTGTAAATTTGAGAAGCGAGTAACAGACGCCCTGGAAATGCAAGAGGAAGCCAACAAGGAGAACTGGAATGAAGACGACCATATGGAAAATAGACGAAAGAGGGCTTACAAGAAACGTCTTGCCTTTATGGGGCTTGCCACGGTCGGAGGTGGTTTAGTCATTGGACTGTCTGCCGGTCTTCTTGCTCCTGTCATCGGTGCTGGTCTCGCCGCGGGCTTCACCACGATTGGCGTCGCAGGGACGGGTACATTTCTTGCTGGTGCTGGAGGTGCTGCTATCATCACTACAACAGGTGTCCTGAGTGGCGGTACGATTGCCGTAAGAGCAGCAGACAGACGCACGGGTGCGGTTAAAACTTTTGAATATCGCCCTCTTCACAACAACAAAAGAGTCAATCTCATCGTCACAATATCCGGGTGGATGATTGGCAAGGTCGATGACGTTCGGCTGCCATACAGCACAGTAGATCCAGTTATGGGCGACATCTACTCCGTCCTCTGGGAGCCGGAAATGCTCCGAAGTATGGGTGACACTATCAACATTCTTGCGACAGAGGTAAGTCTTCCCATGGTATGATGAAAGGGGGTACCAACGATTCTCCAGGCTCTCACGCAAGGCCTCCAACAAGTGTTGGGTAGCACCATCCTCGTCGCCCTTATGGCGGCTCTGCAGTTGCCCATTGTGCTCACAAAGCTATCATATCTAATCGACAACCCTTGGACGGTTTCACAGGCAAGAGCAGATATGGCTGGGCTTATTCTTGCCGACTCGCTTATTGACCGTAACCTTGGGACACGGCCGATTACTCTTGTTGGGTTCTCTCTAGGGTCTAGAGTCATCTTCGCCTGCCTTAAGGAGCTCGCAAACCGTGGAGCCTTCGGTATCGTCCAGAATGTGTACATGTTCGGCACGCCGGTCGTAGCAAAAAAGGACGAATACATCAAAGCACGAGCAATTGTCCCTGGGCGATTTGTAAATGGATATGCAACAAATGATTGGATCTTAGGTAGGTATGTCCAATTTCTCCCGTAGCTGACTCTAATAAGCTGTTTAGGATATCTCTTCCGAGCAACCAGTGGAGGTATTATGCGCGTAGCAGGTCTAGCGCCTGTTGAAGTGCCAGGGATCGAAAATCATAATGTCACTGAACTTGTCCCAGGACATATGGCTTACAGAGCAGCAATGCCAAAGCTTCTCAGAGAGGTTGGCTGGAGCGTAGAAAGCGACGAATTCACGGAAATCGAGGACCCCGACCCAGAAAACCATGATAAGAGACAGCGAGAGCTCATCAACGAGATCGAAGAGGCCAGAAAAGAATTAGAAAAGAAACCGGAAAAGAAGGGCTTCAGCTTTTGGCGGAAGAAGAAAGTGGAGAAGAAAGAGTGGGAGGTGTATGATGAACATTCAAAGGCACCAGTGGGTAAAGAAGGAGATGCCGCTCCTGAAGGACCAGTCCTGTTTGATATCGACGCAATCAGAGCGGAGGTTGCAGCACTTGCTGTCGATTCTGGAGAAACCATTGAGATCAAGGAGATCAAGTCCACATTGCCGCCAATGAAGATTGATATGGGAGCAATTTCGCCCAATCCGTACTCAACACTCCGCGAAACCAAGAGTTACAATGATAGCCTTGGACCTGATCCTTCAGATCTCAACGCGAGTTCCAGCAATCTTTCCACCCGCTCCAACGGAAACTATTCAGTCAACTCCCATCACTCAGACCATGAGCTCCCAAAAAAGAGGTTTGAAGAGTACGATGAACACGAAGATGGCGGTATGACAATGACATTCGAGTCATCTTTCAAAGATCCCCCTTCAATACCACCTTCGAAGTCCCCTGTTCCTTCCCACGAACCCCCGGAAATGCCGACGTGGAATGCAGCTGCAGAGCAACCGCCAATGAAATCAGCTCTAACGGACTCTAATGCAAATTTTACGCCGGGGTATAATGCCTGGGCCGACGAATACGATGACGAGTTTGGGAAAGAGAAAGAAATGAAGATGACCTTCGAGTAGATATATCTGGTTTTCGGTATTGGCGTGACATTTGGATGTGGAGCGGCGCCCGTTTTGCATATGGCTTTCTTTTCCAACTGGCATGTTCTAGCTTGCCCTAGCGTGCATGCATTAGCGGTGTTGTGGACTCCTGGCGTTTCGCAGGGCATAAGGCTTCCTTGATGTAACTAGTCTGTAATATGCCAGCGTTGTATACGTGGTGGACATTTGGGTAGTGTTAACTCATTCATCATCACCGCGAGGAGGGTTTTTTGATTAGATACATCGTCATTGCTCGATAGAGAATCTAAGACGTTCATATTGCTATCTAGCCAATACGGAGTATCTTGGCATAATGAATAAAGTGAATTAAATCTAAACCTCTAATTTAACCTCCTAAATGATTAGGTAGTGGATTCTCTCCATTCTCGCCGCTCGTTTTACCTCTCCACACAGAAATGCTGACAGATCATGCTCAGCGACTTGTGAATACGAAGAGCGGACATCCTAGAATAGAATAGGCTGTTGGCTGTCTGCCGTGGCTGCTCACAGCCACATCCTTGGCATCTGTGAACGAACCACATCGTCAACTTTCCCGAAACTGTTAACTGTGCAAGCCCATCTCACCTAAAACAAATCGCTTTTCCACTACTATTCTTCATCCACTCACCACTCACTCTCCTTCCGAAATCTTACCACATTGCTTGCACAACCAACCCGACATTTATTTTGCTACTCAGCCCTCGCATTGCGCTGCGTAGCTCTGGAAGCTCCCCACACCTGCCCCAACCCTTCGCCAACGTTCAAGAGTAGTTTGATGAACATGGCAGCGTTAGGCTCATATTTCCTCGACCTGGTGTATTCGTTTACGAATTGCATGGTCTGCTTTCCCTCGTCTCCGCAGCTTAAAATCAACAGTCGGAGTTTCAAGATACTGCGACTACTTGGAGAGGTAAGCTCCCCTTCCCATCCTATCCCGCACAAACAATAGCAGATAGGACATGGCATATGAATAACAATTTCCTTTATTGAATAGGGCGGCTTCTCATACGTCTACCTCGTTCAAGACACGTCGAACCAACAGCTCTTCGCGCTAAAGAAGATTCGTTGTCCCTTCGGCCAGGAAAGCGTGGCCCTGGCCCTCAAAGAAGTCGAAGCCTACACGCTCTTCTCGCCCCACCCGAATATCATCCATTCCATCGACTATTCTGTCGCGAGCGATAAATCGGATCCGCAGGCAAAGACAGTCTACATCCTGCTGCCGTACTACCGGAGGGGGAATCTGCAGGATATGATTAATGCGAATTTGGTCAACCATACAAAGTTTCCGGAGAGGAGACTAATGGTACTTTTCTTGGGAGTATGTAGAGCGCTGAAGGCTATGCATCAGTATAAGGTGAAGGGCCCGCCTGGTGGAGCCGGAAGTCAGAATAAGGCGAAGAAGGTTAGGAAGGAGGCGGCGAGGGGGGATGCAGACGCTGCGGAGGCGATGGAAATGAGGGCGAGTAGACGACATAGGGAGGGCGATGATGAGGAGGAGATGGAGGCCGAACCGTTGATGGAAGCAGAGGTTACCATGTCACAGGAGGGGATCGCGCCGGGTGGGGAGAGGGCGTATGCGCATAGGGATATCAAGCCTGGTACGTCCTTCCAGCGCCCTCTTCATCTGCACCCGTATCTGCGGTTGTCACTTGATACTAATATAGAGCAGGAAACGTAATGATAGCCGATGACGGCAAAACCCCCATCCTCATGGACCTAGGCTCCCTCGCCCCATCCCCAACCCCTATAACCTCTCGCTCTCTCGCCCTCCAAGTCCAGGACACCGCCGCGGAACACTCCACAATGCCCTACCGCGCCCCAGAACTCTTCGACGTAAAGACCGGCTCTATCATCGATACTAAAGTCGACATTTGGTCGCTCGGCTGCACGCTCTACGCATGTCTTGTCGGCAAGAGCCCATTCGAAGCGAGGAGTGAGGAGACAGGTGGTAGTCTGAGCATATGTGTGCTGGGAGGAGATTGGAGATTTCCAGATGAAGGGCCACAAAGGGGAAAGCAGAAGGCGAATGCCGAGGATGCAATTACTGACACAGTGAAAGAGGTCGTGAGGAAGTGTTTGAAGGTGGAGCCAAGCGAGAGGCCAGACGTCGATGACCTGATAAGCATCGTTGAGGATGTTATTGCGGGCCTGCCGGAAGATGGATCAGAGGATTCGTGAATGATTCGGTTGAGGGAACGGCGTTCTTGGGTGCTTTGGAAGACTGTTTTCTTTGTACGACTACTGTTCCTCACATCCAGACTGCTAACAGCAGCGCGGATTCTAGAAGTTGGGGCCGAAGGAACATGGTTGTGGTCTGCTTCATTATGCAGGGGATGCTCCCAGGGACCTTTCATAATATACCCTTTATCAAAGCGGCAACAGTCACGTCCCAAGACATTGATGAGTGAGCGTTGCATACCTCTATTGAAGTTGAAAAGAAATCACTTCTCGATCCTTGTGACAAAACAAAACTCGAATCCTTTTTTCTGCCCAAACGACATATCCTGACTCTTCTATTCCTTTTGCTGGACTGTAACCTTCCACTCCTTCGTCTTCCTACTTTCCGAATACAGCGGCAACCCCACCCTCGGGTTAATCCAATCCAATACCGTCTCATGCCACAACAAACTATTCTCCGGCTTCACCACCCAATGATTCTCATCCGGGAACGTCAAAAACTGACTCTCAACGCCTCTACTCTGAAGCGTATGAAACGCGGCCAACCCTTCGCTAATCGTCAACCTATAATCCAGCTCATTGTGGATGATGAGATGCGGAGTGGCCCAGTTTTCTGTGAATGCGGACGGATCCCATTTTGCCCAGGACTCACGGTTTTTCCAGAGCGGGCCTTTCAGGTCATGGAAGGGGAAGTAGAGTTCTTCTGACGCGAGTTGGCCCGTCATGCTGAAGACGCCGTCGTGGGTGACGAGGGCTAAGAATTTGCGGCCGAGGGGGTGACCTTGAATCCAGTTCACTGGGCGAAATCAATATCAGCATTTCGGAAGCAGGAGGGGAGGAGGTGGTGGGAGTGGGAGCGGGACTTACTCATATAACCACCGTATGAAGCGCCCAGCGCAACGGCGCGTTTAGTGTCGACGTAGTGGAGATTCTTCTCGATCCAGGAGAATCCCTTAACAAGATCTTCGTATGGAAGACCACCCCATTCGCCGCCAATCGCATCTGTAAAAGCTTGCCCGTATCCGGTGCTACCAGTCGGGTTCGGACAAATCACCACATAGCCCTGTTCAGCAAAGACGGCGGGATTCCAACGCGTGCTCCACCCATCTTCCCATGCGCCTTGTGGGCCACCGTGAATGAGATACGCAAGAGGGTACTTCTCCTTCGAGTTGAAATGGCTCGGTTTTATTACCCACGCGTGGACCGACGTATTCTTGGCTGCGCCTGGCCAGTGGATTTCGTCGATCTGTTTCCGCGAGAGCCCGAACATGGCGCCATTCTTGGATTGGGAGGATATGTATTTTGTGCTTGTAGCGTTAGATGAGAAGTAGTCGTCGGGGAGGGAGTAAACAATTTCTTGCTTTCGGCTTTGAAGAGGGAGGATAGAGTAGAGACTGTTGTCGATCAGGCTCGTGGAAGAGAAGAATAGATCTCCACTCCCCAAGGCTTGGACATCTATTATGGAACCTCCTTTTACGATCATTTCAGGATCAGCTAGTCCACCATGGGCCTTAAAGTCTGCCGCAAAGAGACAAACTCGCCCATGGTCTTCGGCAAGAAGGTAGAGAGGTGATTCTCTATCAGGGCTCCAGATGATCGATGAAGGACTGCGATCCCAGCTTCCCTTCCCGTCTTCGGATGCAAGGGCGTGAACTACCCACGAAGGTCTAGAGATGTCCGGAATGATGAAGATATGGTTTTTATCGGACTCGTAGCCGTCTTTCTTCATGGATAAGAAAGCCGCCTTCTTCCCATCCGGCGAGAATACTGGGCTTGTACTTGCACCCTCGAAGCCGTAGATGTCAACCTTTATGGGTGAGGGACTGTCGTTAGTAAATATATTATTCCAGAAAGAGGGAGCCGTGACGAGGTAGATGTTTGTCTTTGTGTGCAAGGCTGGGTTAAGACCCGGGTCTTTTGCGGTGAAAATGAGGCCGGAACTGCTAATGTCGAAATGATCTGTGCCTCCGAATGGTTCAATGGGAGACTCTAGACTTGTTCCTTTCAATGCATTTTGCAGTTTGGACAGCTCAAATTTCCCATCCTTTTTCTGAAGCTTACCCAGCCAGATGTTGCTGCGGTTTTCAGTAACATAGTGATCCCAGTGACGGACGAAAAGAGTCTTGTAGAGTCTCCCACTAGTATGAGGCTTCTTGGCGGTCTCGGGATTGAAGAAGTCACCGTCTGGGGTCGCCTTTGCTGAGATTGCAAAAGCGAAGTCTCCGTTATCCAGAGCATGAACCTTAACGTTTCCTGCTGGAGCGGGAATTGTTCCAGCGACATAGCTACTGTAGTTGCGTCAGTACACCCGATTCTCAAAACATTCCAAAGAATTTTTTCTTCCGAGAGGACCTCTTCAAAAGGGACAAGTACCTATTGCTGAAATCATCAGCCCCTCCAACACGGACACGTGTTGTGCCATCCTCTCCCGAATTCAAGAGTAAAATCGCGTCATCACCCAGCCAATGCGGATCATTAGCGGAAGATTCATCTGAAATCAGTGATGTTTGCTGGCTTTCTACGTCCAGAATCCGGATCTCGGACTTCTTGGAGTGATCGGCAAAGGAGTATGTCGACACACTATACAAGATCTTGGAGCCGGCTGAATTCGGAATGCCTGCGGACCGACGAGGCGCACTGAGGAGAACCTCTGGGGTGAATTTGGTTGCTCGAATCGTCATAACGAGTGCGAGTGCCCGAGCAGGAAGGAGTAATAGCAAGGCCTAGGCAGCCATTAGAAGTGGGTTATGTTAAGGTTGATATTCTTGCCGTATGGTGAGAGTTTGGGGCGACGGCAGCTCTATATGAACGAACAGTGCACCAGGGGCGCTCCTTTGCAGGTGATAGGGCGAGATGGAGCTCGAGGCTCCTTGTTCGATTCCATGCCGAGTGATCATTGGAAGGAAAGGGTAATCCTACCTCGATTGCGGTTTGCCTAATCTTCAAAGTGGATGGTGGGATCAATAGTGTCAGAAAAGGTCTGCGATGAGCGCACAGCTTTGGGAAATGGAAAGGGATGCTGATGATTGAGGGCTCGACGGTAGATGTCAGTTGTTCCTCGATCAGGTGCTTCGCACGTCCGATTCCCAACCCCTCATCCCAGCCACCAAACAGGCGGGGCAAAGCCCACAAATGACCCAGCTAAGAAAGAAAGTGCCGTCATCATCTACGGCTGCATTTCTGCATGATACAAGGTGCGGGTGACTCATTGTAGGAAGATGGTCTTTCGATTCCTTTAATATGTATATATAGTGTGCAGAATTTTCAAAAATGATTAAATTTCACCTCGAATGATTCTAAGTCCTGTGGCGCAGTGGTAGCGCGCCGTTCTTATATGATTCGTCAGACTCATATGGCCTCGTCTGGTAATGCGGATGCCGTGGGTTCGAGTGAGTCTGGTCCCCAATGTTTGTCGTTGCGTGCAGCCTAACACATTCAACAGACCCCACCAGGACTATTCGGTCTTTTTTTACCATTATTTTTCCGTTTCTCTAACCTCCTTCCTGTGTGTTATATTATTTTATTTTGGCACTATCTGATAACGCTGTCATTTAAACATCACAGCGCCCACAGAAAGCAACACGTAGACATCTTACAAACTGCCTTGGAAGAAACTAATGTACTAACAATACTCTAACGTCCATCCATGCGTAGCGGAAAAACCACCTGTGCTGGAACAAATCCATTGTTTTGGCAACTTAATACTTCCCCCGCCGCCCTATTAAGCCCTTAGTAATATAACGTTATCATACTGTAGAGTCATTGTTGGCCGTGTCCTCATCACTTCCACGCCACCACACTGCGAGTATGGACCGAGCCAGCCAAGTCCTAGCACAAGATCTCCCTCTTAACGTACGTACAACTTACGCCACCTAGTCTGAACTAAGCAGCGTCCCTCTTACTACAGTCTAGCTTTGTGGAAACAGACAACAATTAATAGGGTAAAAGGTAAAAGGCTAGCAGTATCTTACCCTAGAGGAAGAGAAAGCCTGTATTTTCTTTCTATTACTAATGTCTACCCTTAGGGAACCTGTTTAAGGAAAGTTTATACCTTTACTAGGTTTTATCTTTACATGCTAGTAGTTCTTTATTATAGAGCTTTCTAATTATAACCAATCTTAAGCTTTTAAGAAACACTATCCTAAAGTTAAAGTAAAAAAATTTAAAGTAATAGACTAGAAACTTTATAACATAAATACATATGTAGAGATTACACATACGTTTAAAGTAATTAAAAGAGTAATATAAGATCTAGTTATTTAACTAAAAAAAAATGTATACAACCTAGATGTAAGGCCGAGATGGCGCTTACGTGCGACAGGTATATATACTATTCTGCACCCGAAAATCAACGTTGGTTGATTATTCGTACCTTTTGGTTGTATTGGCGGAGTGGTGCGGAGCCCCGTCCTTACACTAGATAAGATAAGTGTTATGCTAAGCACGCGACAGGTATATATACTATTCTGTACGCAGAATCAATTGTTAGTTGATTATCCGCACCTTTTTAGTTGTATTGGCGCAGTGGTACAGAGCCCCATCCTTACAATATCTCTTATAAACTCTAGCTTTGTGACGTGAGACTGTTTACACCTTTGAAGAGAGCGTGTTGTAACGAGGTTAAATGTGAGAGTGTGAGAGCGCCGTGAAGCGGGAAGCATGAAGCGCAGAAAAGGGTATAGGATAGTATTGATAGACGAATCCTTGAGGAAACTCAGGGGTTCGTGAGAGGATATATATATATGTACTAGGGCACGTGACGAGGGTTCTCCGGAGAGAGTCCGAGGCAGTCCAAGTTGACCGTGACAAAGAAGTATTAAGCTAGAAGCACAAGGCACAGAGAGTAAATGTAGGATAGAGGGTGTATAGCAGATGTAAGGCATATATATTGTTCTATACACAGAATTAACTGTTAGTTAATATTTGCACCTTTTTAGTTATATTAGCAGAGTAGTACTGTAACGATTCGCTTGAATCGTTCCATTCAAAGTTACCTGACGAACCTATATCCGAAGGTTCCGCGTATCTGTCCCGACCCTGCCCTGCCCCCTGCACTACCCCTATCTCCAAGTATTTAGCTGCGCCTCTCCCCTTAGCTAGCTCAGTAGTTTTCTGATATCCTTTCGTACGAGGCCTATAGGTGTCAATATAATTCCCAGGTTTCTGAGTCACCACGCACTCCCATATGCCTCTGAGTGTATTCACACCGCATTCCGACCTATTGTCTTGCCTGCGCCGTTACAAGTACAGAGGCCTGTCCTTACAGCAGAGCTACAAGGGGGAGAGAGAGAGAGTAAACCTTAGGGTTAGAGGCAGAGGTACAGTGACTAAGGAGCCTATATCATGCTAAGCCCTTCGGGTGCTTAGAAGTTAGATAGCTGTAACATAACTGTGACATTAAACAACTCTATTAAGGAGGCTTAGATATAGTTAGTAAAGAGCATTTTATCTCTCAAAACAAACCTGCAAGACACAAGGCAATAAGTAGGAGGAACATTTTAGCTAGATAGGCTGCTACTAGTTTATTTCTGTTTAATTAAGGGAGAGTGCTTTAACATATGCCTAAGCCGCTGGGAGAACCCACAGTTTTAGAACCTAATTGTAAGGCCGCTAGTCCTTACAAAGGATAATGCACCTATACCGGTCCTTACGCGCGACAGGTATATATACTATTCTGTACGCAGATCAACTGTTGGTTGATTATTCCCATCTTTTTGGTTGTATTAGCGCAGTGGTACAGAGTCCCATCCTTACACTTATAAGGTAGTGTTTTATCCGCAAGGCTAAAGTCTGTAAACGTGTAACACACCTATAAAGCTTATAACTATAGAGGCTTTTATGTTGTTGCATAATCTAATTAACTAAGAGCTTAATAATTTAAGTGAACACTGCTGTAAGGACGGAGCTCTGTACCACTGCGCCAATACAACCAAAAGGTGCGAATAATCAACCAACATTTGATTTGCATACAGAATAGTATATATACCTGTCGCGCGTAAGGACCGTCGTACAAACCTCTTCCGGCCTTACGATGCAGTATCATCCTTTGTAAGGACTAGCCTAACGGCCTTACAACTGCCTACAAAAGCATGTACAGAAGATTGTAAGTGCTGCTAAGATATTATTTACTAAACAAACTCTTCTTTAGGAGTAGAGTTAATTCTTGTCTAAGAGTAATAATAAAGTTAAAGTTTACTAATTAATAAGATTAGTAGTTTAAGGAAAGGTAAAGGCAATAAGCTATAAGGACCTGAAGCAAGCACAAGCAAAGCGCGCTGTGAAAGATAAAGCTATTGCGGCTAAAGGCAAGGAAAAACGCGGTCGCTCGCACAAGAATCCTGCGCCAGAGGCAGCGACAGATGCGGCTCCGCTGGAGGAGGAGGTGGTGGTAGATTCATCGGCACCACTGAATAAGGTAGCGTGGCTGAGCGAGGTTGAACCAGCAAGACCTCTATTTCCATGGCAGGCTCCAGTAGCGAAAATGTATTAGGATAGTGTTATTACTTAAAGGTGCTCTTACGCTGGGAGTTGCATGGGCCAAGTTACATAACGTCCGTCCACCTGTAACGGAACAAATTAGAGTTACTTTTACTCCAAAGCAACAGAGCTTCTCTACGGGTGTTAAATTTTACTATATCCACCTTAGTCTACATGCTGAGGCCATTTGTGAAGCGCTATAATCCTACTTATATAAAAAATACGCTTATGCAGACGCCTTGATACATGTTTCGCGAATAGTGTCATTTAAATAAATACAAGCCTTGTACACCAGAAGGCCGCCACTACTCTTGCATCACTGTCGCAACCCCTTACGCGTTTCTATTAAAGCTAGAGAATTCAAGAGCCCTACTAAAAAGTAATAATTAGCAGTAGGGCTGCTAGTGGCGTATAGATTATTCAGGGTCAACACCATAGCCAGTACCTCTAATCGGAGCGATTACTAATTCTAGCTAGCAGAAAAATGTTATATAATTAATCATAACTAAGCGCGGCGTGCTTATAGCTGAGAGACCTGTGGCTGTGCAAATTCTTAGCAAGAGGGCCGACTTAAGCTTGGGCAGCGTGACACATAGGTGCTGCCAACAGCATAGTGGGTTCAAACCGCACGTGGTATGCGAGGATGCTGATCCCTACAGCACTAAGCCACCAGACTTATTCTAGAAAGAGGATTAGTCCTAGTCCTCACACCCAGGCGTAAGAGTAACCTACTAAGAGGTTAGGACTAGGAAGCTAGGAGTCATGACTATGTAAGGTCAAAAAATGTCGCCTTAAACCAAGGCTCAAAGGTTTCCAATCCCCACTCGCCTAGACGCCGGAGTACAGCGAGTATCCGATAAACTTTCACAAGCGACAAAGTATCGCCCATGCTTTCTGTAAACTGCAGGATTTCCTAGCACAGTTAGTGTCAAAGAATGACAAGCAGGCAATCGGAATGCACATACAATGTGTGAGCCCTTATCAACCGCTAAATAGAGATGTCAATAGTGGTTTAACACAATAATGACCGGCAACGTAATAACCCGGTGACCCTCATTAGCACTAAGCTGGCCAACCCGCTCATGCCACGCACTCAGCCAGATACCGATTTGGACCCGGGCCTCTTCCTCAGTCCTATTGACCTTGACCTCGACGGATATCATAGTAGGATGTCGGCAGAGTGGGGCGTAGAGGGATTGATTAACGGTGCGAGTGGTATTAGGCTGACTTCTCAGCCATCCTGAAAGAGAGTCGTTGGAGACGGATTGCGGGATGAGGTTGATGGCGAAGTCGACGAGTTGGGATTCAGAATACCGTTCGCCGGCTTGGGGTAGACATTCTTTGATAGGGAGGGCGTGTGATCTAGAGGTGAGAAGCTAATATTAGGTATGGAAAAAGTACATACATCTGCTTGGGCTCGATATAAGACTGGTGACGGAAAATCATGTCCAAAATGGGCCACTGCACCGAGCAATACCACTGCGGCTCATGGGCCCCAGTGGTGGACAGCGAAACAGCCGCGGCTTGCACCCTTCTTACCATATCCAATTCGATCATGAGATCGAGCTCGTCACGACCTGTCTCGTACGTCCAGTGGGAGCGTTTCTTCGCGCCAGTGATGCGATCCTATATAGTTAGTCCAAGATTCTTCTATGAGTCCACTATCTTACCTACATCTTTGACGGTATTATGCCCACATTTTTGCAGAGCGTCTGGAGATCCTCGATGAGCACGCGTATGTCTTCTGGCAGGTCCTCCCGCTCCGCATCCATAACGCCGTATTTGACCGGCTTGTTCAAGAGCTGCAGGTCACTGTAATTCTTGGCCGGACTCATTGCCCGCTTCGACTTGGACTTCCTAGATTGTACGGAGGAGCTGCTTGAATTGGTGTTGGATTGGGGGAGGATAGGATGGTGAGCGAGCGCATCAGTGTACGAGCCGGAAGGGGTGATATTGTCTGGACGATGGATGGCGGAGAAAGTAGCCAGATCCAGCGGCGGCTGGGTCAGTCCACGCTGTTGACCCCGCCTGGTTGGCTTTGGCGTTGTTGCAGTGTCTCGCAAGACAGCATTCTCCTCCATGTAGCCGTCGTCCGAGAAGACATCGCGTTCCCTGCCAAGAGCTTTCCTACTTGGGGACAATTGCTCTGTGCTATCCTTCCGTCGCGGCGAGCGACGGCTTATGTTCGCATGGGTAGGCTGGAGCGGTTGGGGTCGCTTGGGTTGTGATGCCTGTGACAATGGTCTGCGGGAGCGTTTTCGGTCAGAATGAAGCAGGCGGGGCGAGACCGGCTGGTCGGCGAGCCATCCGTGGATGACGGCGGAGTTGAACGTCGGGGGAGGAGTTGGCGGGCACCAGATACTGCCGGAATCGCAGCCAGACGAGGAGCAGGCCATGCGGAGGAAGGGTGGAGAGTGGATGGATAGGTGAGGACTTGATTGTTTGTTTTTCGAGATGCTGCATCGGCGTTCTACAGATGCCGATGTAGTGGCGGATCTCATTCTGGTGCCAAGCCGGGGTTTCTGCAACCAGAACATTGGTAAAATATTTCACCGATATCTGATGAAGGTCGCAACTAAGTAGTAGTACGGAACACAAATGCTTAGCATAATTCTTTGACCCCAGCCTCATCTCAGCTTGGTAGCTAGTTAACAGCGATATATTTTTCCGTTACGGCAGTTGTTCCGTTACGGGTAGATGCACGTTAGAAAACTTATGTAATTCCACTCCAGGCTACTGCACAGCCACAGCCTTAATTGCTAAAGTTGACCTATGAGACGGCTTCAATAAATTGCACAATCCTGATTACGTCTACTTGCGAGGTGGTGTCACGTTAGCTGAGGTTGGAAATTGCTTGAGTCTGAAGTCCCTACAGGGGTGGCGAGGCTGCATAGATTTGCACGCAAACATCGACACGCAGCCAATAATAACTTGTAAGCAACTTTGTGAGAGTCTTTAGTTTAGATAACACCACTTACAAGCATTATAGAGAAGCCGGAGCTTAGTGGTGACGTTATTGCGAAGGGACAATGTTTCTCCACAAAAGAAAGCTCCGAGCAAATTAGGCCAAAAGGCGATAGCGTAAATGTATTTTGAAGAACTAAAGGCCTCCCAATCTTGACAAATAGCTATATGATATTACTTATATATATGGTTCTTATAAAGCTTGATGTACGCGAGAGTTAAAGTTCTGTGAAATAAAATACCCCTCCAATTTTTTCGATATGGGTGGTTTTTCGCTACGCATGGAGGGACGTTAATTAAGAGTGAACGAAAACGCAGAGGAAAGACTTTGATAAAGAATGGACTGTGATTACGCTTAAATGCAGATGCCGCTTGCTGACGTATATGTACTTGTTCAAACTTCTGGCTTCCGCTGGCACCCAGGTGCCACCCAAGTTAGGTTAACTGGCCCGTCACATGATCTATTCTCTCCTTGAAAATGCTTACTCATGGTATTGCTGGAGGACCCCCATACCACTTCCTTGATTGCAACCTCCCCTCTTCTTCAAGGGTTTTGTTAATATTGGCTCTCAAAAGCTCGATCTGCCTCTCATATTCCCACTGCGGTGTTTCCGCACCCCTCATCCCAATAAAGCGTGCGAACATCCTCATCTTAATCTTCAACCTTTCGTAATCGCTTAGTCGACAACTTTCATCTTCCGTGTCTCCTGGCTTTGGTTTGCTGAGAAATGGCTTGCTCCAGTCCATATATTGGGGGTAACTGAAAGTGTGGGCGTCTGGTGCGAGTTGGGAATAGTAGCGTGCCATGGCATCAAGCTGGTCTTCGGTAAGGAGAAAGAGTCCAAGCATAGTGGATGGGAACTCCGGATGCGGCTGCCCAGTCAGGACATGGACTATCGGGGCAATGGTAAGGCGCATTTGAGAGATTTTTACAGCAAGCTCAGGGTTTCGGTTTGCCGGCGCCATTGGTATGACTAATAAACTTGCAATCCTTTGCTCAATTCCAGAGGGTTTGCAGTGAGCGCTGTCTCGTTGTGAATGTTTGACAGGAGTGCACAAACGTGTGTCTGAATCACGCGAGGGAGTAGATGACGGTTCTGATACGGATTTAATGCGGGACGCTGCAGGTTGTGCAAGGCTCAAGGGCCATGGGCATATATAAAATGAATACAAACGGACAAACAAAACGCAGAAGAAGCGTATTGTTCGCGCAGTCTCTTTGTTCTTTGTCATGCGCTGAAACAAATGTTCGTCATATATCGCCGCGAAGGGCGTTCTATTTTGTTTGCCAAAAGCCCATTGTCTTCTGATCCATGCTAAAATAATCTCTTCTACGTTTATTGTTGCATTGTGAAGGATTTCGGCCCGAATAGTGTCACTATGAACTGTGAAATACCTTGGAATCGAAATACATTGTTTGTTGGTCCTTCATGTTCTCGTTGGAAACTGCTTTCACCAGAAAAGGAGGAGTAGTTTGTGGCCGTAAAAACTCCTTTCGCGAAGAAGGGCATCGGCATCTAGAACATCGGTCAGGGGTATTGACAAAGATGAAGGGTCCAGCATACCGATGAGCTCAATTCAGCATAGCGAACGCGTTGGCATCTAAAACAAGAGATCGGGATCATGGATTGAGGACCTCGTCCAGATCCAGATCACTCTCGATATCTTCAATAGATTCGGTATTTGCCCAGAACTTGCTTAGGTGCCTGACGCCACTGATGACCACGTGAGATGCCATTCTAGAACAAATGGACTAGGTGTGCTTACCTATCACACAAGAGCGTGACGATACGGTGGCCCGGACCGAGTGATTTTGCGAGTTTTGTTGCAGCCACACCTTTGTATGTAAGTCCATGGTATTCATGAGTACGTGAAGTCCCAACCTACAATTTACGGCGCTGCTGCTGCCTACAAAGATCCCATCATGTTTCACTAACCACCGGGCCATGGCTTTGGCTTGGTCATCATTCACTCGGATAGCGTCGTCTATCAGCTCCCTTCCGACCTCAAAATTGCGGGTTTGCCGATTGATTCCAATTCCTTCCACAATCGTGTCAACCTGCTGTCTTCGGCGCGTCCCTTCTCTTTCTTTACTATCAAACATGACTCCAAACTTTACACGATTGTACAAGCCACTCCCCGGAGGATCCGCAAGCACCACTTGCACATGTGGAAGTCTCTGCTTTAAGAACAATGCGACACCAGATATGGTGCCGCCCGTTCCTGCCCCACTAACAAATGCATCAAGGCAGCCGCTCGTTTGGTCATAGATCTCAGGGCCAGTTCCAGTGAAGTGAGCACGCCAGTTGGCCTCCGTTTCGAATTGGTCGGCAAAAAGCCCTCTTCCTGATTTACTAAGGTCTGCGGTGTGCTCGGCAGCTCTTGTACGGGCAAGATTGACGAACTGTTTCTGGTCCACGATCGGCGCTGGTCGTACCCGTTCCACTTCTGCACCTAGCTTCAAAAGGAGATCCGACTTTTCCACTGCCATGTCGTCCGGCATGCAAATGTGGGCCTTGTATCCTCGGGCCCTACATATGGCAGCCAGTGAGATCCCCGTGCTCCCGACAGTACCCTCGTAGATGGTGTCTCCGGAATGAGGAGTCAAGAGCCCTTGTTCTTCTGCTGTTTCGATGATGCTCAATGCCACCCTATCCTTTGGACTATTGCCGGCGCCATTGAGAAACTCTGCTTTTGCGAGTATTTCACATCCGGTCGCTTCGGAAAGAGATTTGATCTTGATCAATGGAGTCTTCCCGATGCACCCTTCAATGCCCTCCTTAATATCGCCATTGCTGTCTAATTGCGCGAGTCGTTCCAGCTGTCGTTTTCTGATTTTTTGCTTGGAAGGCCGATTGCTCCATGCACCAGTGAGTACAACACCCAGGAAAAAGGCTCCTATGATATAGAGCCGGGAAGGCCCGGGCATTCCTAATATATCCTGAGAAAATGTAGTTTTATGGAGAAAGGTTTGGCCGAGGAGCTTTGACGATGTCGCATGCCTTGGCACGCAGATCTGCTCACCCACCACGTGCTTTTAAATACATTCCACAATCCGAGCCTCGAGTGGGCGCGCAGTCCCAGGTTTCAATGGATTCGCCGCTTGCCACGCAAATATTTCGCCAGCTCTTCTCCCACCGAGCCTCCCAATGCCTGGCTCGGGGAGCTCGGCCGGCTATCACAACTGCCTATCATGCGAACATGCAGCGACGAAGCATGGCCTCACGGTTGGGTGAGGGGGAGACTGCAAGAGAAAGCAGGTGGAAGCCGAGAAGTTTTTCATTTCCTCACGAACGGGCCGAAGAGTTCAATCGCTTCCCAATGGTTACAGCGGACATGATGCGGAACCGAAGAGAGCGACCTCGGCGGGTAAAGATGCTCCTCCGCGACTTCATTGAGGGTAATTACTCACTCAATGGTCTATCATTATGCTTTTGAGGATGAGCTGACTTCAATTAAGATAGTCTTTACAATCCGCATTATGGCTACTTCTCCAAACAAGTTGTGATTTTCTCCCCCGGCGACCCCTTCGATTTCAACTCGATAGCTTCTGAGCATGAATTCTTCCAACAGCTGAGACACCGCTACACGGCTTTTGAAGATGCGCTTGACGACTACGAGCCGAACGATCTCCGTCAGCTGTGGCACACGCCCACCGAGCTTTTCTCGCCATACTATGGAGAAGCCATTGCTCGGTATCTAGTCGAAGATTACAAATACAACTTTTACCCCTACCACGACCTCAACATCTACGAAATGGGCGCTGGTAACGGTACCATGATGTTGAATATCTTAGACTACATAAGGGATATGTATCCGGAGGTATACGAGCGGACGAGATTCAAAGTCATAGAAATTTCGAGCGCGTTGGCTACGTTGCAGCAACAAGGACTGGGGCAGTCAGCATTCTCCCGCGGCCACTCCGACAAGGTTGAGATCGTCAATCGTTCAATATTCGACTGGGATGCATACGTCTCCTCTCCTTGCTATTTCCTCGCCCTCGAGGTTTTCGACAACTTCGCCCATGACGCCCTGAAATACGACATAGAGAGTGGTGAGCCCTTCCAATCACGGGTAGTAATTGATCCCAGAGGCGAGATGTTCGAGTACTATTCCCGCGACCTAGATCCTGTAGCGCAGCAATTCTTGGAACGACGCGATGCAACCTGTACGAACTATCCCCACCCTCTACAAGGCTCCCGGATAATGTCCAATCTGCGGTCGCTTGTTCCGTTTAAAAGCTCACTGAGTACGCCTGAATATATACCCACCCGGTTGATGCAGTTCTTCTACATTCTATATGAGAAGTTCCCAAATCACAAGCTGATTACGAGTGATTTCAACAAGTTGAGTGATACGGTGGAGGGAATCAATTCGCCGGTAGTCCAGACAAGATTTAAGAGGGAGATGATACCTGTGTCTACACCTCTTGTAAGTCCACAACTCCCCTTTCACCAGGTTATGTGGTAATTTGTGCCTTAACGCGCGATAATAGGTTCACCAAGGCTACTTTGATATTCTCTTCCCCACTGACTTCGAAGTCGTACAACTCATCTACACGGCAATTACCGGAAAATTCGCTCGTACATATTCACACCAAGATTTCATGTCTGGTCGAGCAGATATTGAAGAGACGCAGACTAAGAATGGGGAGAATCCGTTGCTGAGTTGGTATAAAAATGCGAGCGTCATGATTACTATATAGAGTAGGCGAACATGGTTCTGTAAATATGTATAAACACATTATATTTGAGAGCTGAGGCCCTCAGGGCCGCGGCCCTTTGCGTGAGCAAGAAGCCACAAATTGTGAATTGCGCTATTTTCAATATTCTTTCCTCCTAGCAGCTAATGTTTATTCAGGTTCCTGATCCTTCCACTTTTCCTTCACGGCATTAACATCAAAATCGCACAGCTTCGCCTTCTCTATGACATCCCTTGCCTTCTTAACAACAGGAACGTCGATCATCTTCCCGTCTAGTGTCCATGCTCCTCGCCCTGCTCTATCTGCCTTCTCGTCTGCAATGGCAACTCTCACGGACCACTCGATCTCTTTCTCCCCAGGTGAGAACGACCGCTGACACACCTCAATCTGGCTTGGGTGTATGCACTGTTTCCCATTAAAGCCCATTCGCTTGCCATTCAGACACTCCTCTTCTAGTGTCCTCTGTCCTTCTTCGCCTTTGTATGCCGTGCAGACTAGATCTATGGTAGAAGGGAGTTCAGCTGCGCGAGCGGCTGTTGCAATTGCGCCTCTTGCGTACAAGAATTCAGTCAATGACGGTGTACGGGTTAACGACATGTCTTTCGCGAAGTCCTCAGCGGCAAATACTAAGCCGCTTAGGTACGGACTGGCATTACATATCTCTTTAAGATTCTGGATGGCTTTCGCGGACTCAATGAGAGCGATTATGCATAATGGGCGTTGTTTCGCCTCTTGCCCTAGGTTTGGTGTCGAGGGATGTCTTTCTGGAAGCACATGTCTCATCACATCAGTGACGAAGTGCAAATCCGCCGCTGACTCGCACTTTGGCAGCATAATTGCGTCCAGATGATCGCCTTTCAATACTTCAGTCAAGTCATCAAGTGCTAGCCCGCTGTCTACACTGTTTATCCGAACACACATTTCACGAATGCTCCGCGGCCGAGGTTGTCGCAAAAGATCGACGAGGTTCTGTCGTGCTTCTGCTTTCTTGGCCGATGTGACGGAGTCTTCGAGATCGTAGGCTACCGTGTCGACATACAGTGATTTGGATTTCTCGAGCATGCGCTTAGAGGAGCCCGGGACTGGAGGATTGTGAGTGGTGGAGGTGGGGGCAGGTGGGGGGAGGACGAAGTACCATACATGAGTGCCCGGCGTATGATAGGGGCAGCCATATTTCTGTTCGTATTAAGAATCCAATTGAAATCCTTCGCAGGGAAATGATTGTAAGAATAGATCTACAATTCAATTGCCTTTGCAAAGTTGAGGTATCTGAATCATGCCCGGAAGCTCGACGCGGGGAAGATTCAAGCTCAATTCCGCAAAACGCCGAACCGCCGACGCGCTTTCACGGTCCTAAGAAGCCACGTGAACGTCAGCTTCACGGAGCTCCGCTAAGCTCCCAAGCTTGACCACCGAACTTTCCATCGCAACTATTGCAGCCATGGAGACCGCGCAACAGACGCCCGCGCCGGGTACGTTGAGTTGGAAGCTCAGTAGCCATCCTATTACCCTTCTCACGTTTCTGTTCTTCAGAATTTGTAAGGACCGCGCAAACAGGCTGCCTTTCAGAAACCGATGCTGATACATGGTATAGCAAGTCTATTAGTCTACCTATTCGGCCTGCGTCTTTTCACGAGCAACTTCGTCCTCATATTCATCATCACTATCCTGCTCCTCGCAACCGACTTCTACTACCTCAAGAATATCGCCGGTCGCCGTCTCGTGGGCCTGCGCTGGTGGAACGAAGTGGATACGGCAACGGGCGATTCGCGATGGGTGTTTGAGAGCGCGGATCCCGAGACGAGAGAGATTAATGCAACGGATAAGCGCTTTTTCTGGCTTGCGTTGTATGCGCAGCCTGTGCTGTGGATTCTGTTGGCTATTGTTGCATTGGCGAGTTTGGAGTTTATTTGGCTGACGCTTGTTGGTGAGTTATGGAAGCGTTCTTGCAGGCAGCACTTCTGGAGAGAGGAACGTGGTGTTAACGGTGTCCATAGTCATCGCGCTCATCCTCACAATTACAAACACCCTCGCCTTCTCCCGATGCGACAAGTTCAGTCAAGCTACTGGCTTCGCCTCCAGCGCCGTATACTCATCCGGGCTAGCGAGAAATCTTGCGGGTGGTATGGTGAGTAGTTGGTTCAGAAGATGATTTTATAGCAGGAAAGAGCGAAGATCGTGTGGGAAGGGAACTGCACCTTGTACTATCATCATTAAGGAAAAAATATGTATAACTGCATGGACAGAGTATGGAACATTAACTATTTTTTTGGTTGGAGTTGGTCGAGTAGGTATTACAGCAAAATATCCTTTCACACTCGAAATTGTAAGCGACGTCAACCATTATGTCCTCAGTCACACAGGGACGACTTCCTCATCCTCTTCCGGCACTCGCTCTTAATCGTCTTCAGATTTCGCCAAGAGATCCCATTGCTTAAGAGAAGTTCTAAGCCAACAATAAAAGAGCCTACGCCAAAACACTTTATAATCTCTATCCATCTTTAAAAATTCACACGTGCGTCTGCTTGCCCCTCCTTGATAAATAGGAGACATCCGAAAGAAAACACTTCCAATTGTAGGAATATTGCCCAGAAGATCTTATGCGTCTTAGGCACGACCTTATCACGCCGAAGCTGTTGTTATCCTTCAATTTAACTTACTGTCAGAGTACTGTCAGTGTCACTCACTCGAACCTTTCCTACTGGAAGTAGACCACATTAAAGTCTACAATGATATGTTAAGACTCATAATGAGTCCACTCAACTATCATATCTGTTTGAACTCTGGAAGAATTTTTCAGAGCGTTTTGGGAGATATTTAGGTATTTATAGACAACTGGGAAAGTTGTTCGAAAACCATTTGGGGAGAGGGTGAAGTAGAGACTGAAGGGTAGAAGGGGTTTCACTGCCCTCTCTGAGTCTCCTTCTCACTTCGGAGAGTGTATACTCTATGCGCAGGGCGCCTAACCTATTATTATAAGTCCCTATGCCAGTTTTCGCCTCGTTGTTTACATGATTGCCAGTACAGCACTACTTGACACTGGTTTACCAGGCATTAGCGTTACAGTATAATCCTACCAAATCCTGTATGTTTGAAGATCCGCTTGCTTACACCGAGTCTAATTAATCGTCTGTGATTGTGCCGTGCCTCCTAAGTCTCCACTGCACCCAATTAAATTCAGATCATGAAAGCTGTCGCTCTAATTGCTCATATCGCTGGCTCCTACCCTGAGATTGAACCCAAGAATCACATCAGGAAGAATGTTCACTTTTGCTTCCACCCTCTATATCTCCGCTTCTGCTACCAGCTGCGCTCCAATGTCACAGATGCGATCACTACAACCGGCCGGTGTATATTTGAACATGTACCCATAGTTGTAGAGCTCCAGGCAGATCCACACGGGCCCCTGTATTGTTACGATGAGGCTACTTTTGCCGTGTTGAAGCAAGAAGTATAGATTGGGTTCAACGGGTTGTTAGTGAATCTAGATAGGAATTCGAGTAGGAAGGCGAGGCTCAGTGGCTACTTAAGGGCTCGTATACACCGCTTACACTCGTGGGCCTGCTAGTTCACGATGCTCTAAACCTAAAGTCAGCATCGGATATGACGACTTGGTGAAGTAACATACCGTTTGATATGCGATTCCTCCGCTCCTCATCTCTTTTGTTCTGCCATTACCGCCGATCGCGCGTCGCTGCCCCTGCCCCATTATCTGTCATGGTGATCCAATGGGACAGAGGCTGAAGTGAAGCTGGTCCCACTGTCGCTGGCTTGGTGGTTGGAAGGGCGTGAATTCACCGCGTGAAGGCACTGTCAAGCCTAAATTGAGTTGAAGGAGAGTTTGCGAGTTGAGAGAGTGACGTAGTGCGGCGAAATAGGCCAATGTTGACCGCTAAACACGCTATCATGTGTTTGAATTTTCCTTGTACAACGAACAAAAGGGCGGGAGAACTCTGCTAATGAGGTCGTTAGTCTTCCCTTTTCAGTTCACTTTTGGCTGCTTATTCGAACCTCATCTCACCGCCAAAGCGTTTCAGCCCTGTCATATTCCATATTTCAATCTACAGCCCTCACAGTGACGTGCTTCGCCCACGCACATGTACTATAAGTCGTAGAGGTATATCCTCATATCTTCAATCATCCGAGTTCATGATGCAGTAACGCTGAAACCACACATCATCGGTGCTAGGAGATTGGCGCTCCTTGAATAGATGATGTCCCCTAATATTGCTGTGTGGTTAACAATAGTCGACAACAATGAAGCAGTCTTAACCCAGTGCTTTTACCCTCAGAAAATAAGGAGTAACATTGGCGAGTAGAGCAACGCTATCGTGGCTAGCTTATCCAAGGGAGCCATAATACCAAATTGTGGCTACTGAAAAAGACTCCACATGGTTTAGTGGTCGTCATCTCCAACGTTTCGTAGAAGACTAGGCGGTGAGAGGGACGTCAGGTCGGATAAGCTGTGTTTCCGCTCCTTTGGTTTCCTTGATGCTTGGGGTCGTCCGGAACCTCCGAGCATAATATATGGCCGCAGCAAGCATCAGCGCTGCATGTTCGTACGAAGCGAAACTGGTCCATCAGAGCTGAGATGAGAAAGAGTCACGATGCCCGTTTTTGGTGGTGCGGCGATTTTCATGCCAAAGAGGCGTGTCAGGTGCACCACCCGGTGACTCCCCATACGGCCAGGCCTAAGCCAGCCAAAAGCAACGCCGTTGAGGCGCGAATATCCGACGCACCGTGAAGGTTAGCGGCGGAGGAATACGTGGTTCCGTTTGTAGCTTCGAAGCTCTGGCAAATATTCCCGACTAGTGAAGAATATTCTGATTCAACATTTTCGTTAGCTGGGGTCCGAAATCTAGGTATTGGGATGCAGTTTGCAGGGTAGCGAATATTGTTAGGTCATGGAAATCCGGAGAATTCAACTTCGAGATTCTCACTTACGAGAGATGTCGTCTGGGGAGCACGTAGAATTGGTCTTCAGGCACGGCTCAATGGTAAATGTCAGAGCGGAACTATACGAGCATTGGCAGGAGAAATTGGTCATGTCGCAGCGAGTTTTTTCCAGGCCCATGCCCCAACACCCATCCTGATAATCGAGTGACAGATATTAGTATCTGATCAAATGCAGAAAACGGATCCAGCTGATGAACCCTTTGTGATTGGCATGATGCTAACGTACAGCGCAAGGGGGAAGCTGGGCGGCATAGTCCGCTGGCGTTTGAGCCAAAATAGTTCCCGCGGTGCATAGTGCACTGGGGACGATGGTGGAGAGACGCATGGCGGGGAAATGTTTCCAAACGTAACGGAATACAAGAAAGCTAGTTCCGGAGAAAAAAGATGTGAAGACTAACGACGATCTTATTCAGAGGAATTGAACGACAGGTCAACGGAGGATTACAGAGAAGAACATTCAAGAATCCAAGGCGTGAAGGGTTTCCTAGCCCTTTAGATGAGCATATCAATGTTTCATGACGTTATCGGACTCCGGAGTGCCAACGGACATGCTTGCCTTTGACGGACTTGTCGAGCATGAGGCCGGGGGAAGAGTTTGTCCATTGAAACAACGATGCTCGGGATGCTCGGGATTTGTGAGATAACTGCAGTGTCCATATTTTTGAATATTGGACAAGTGCAAGGCGCGAGAAGCGGTGATGATGGCGCGAGTAGTCACTGCCTCAACATGTCAATTTCCGAGCAGGGGGGAGACGACGAAGGATGAAGGCGTCCAGTGCGGCGGATGCAGTGGTGCACGATGTGCGAACAAGTGGCACAAGACGAGGTCGGGCAAGCCACCTCCGCAAAGGCTATTCTCAGGAGAAAGCTGTGATGAAGCTGAATGGCGAACGGCAAGCATCGGCAGCAATGAGAGGTCGAGCAGTGACTGACACGACAGAAATCGAGGCTGCAGTCAGCTTGCGACGGTCGGCTGGAAGACTCACGATGGATGCGTCAAGGAAGCTCGGAGCGTCTCGCCAGCATTTCGATGTGTCAAAAGAAGCAATCTCTTACCCTCAAACAATTCTCCTCTGGGCACCATCGCACCGTGTGATCAGGCTCGTTTTGGTGCACGTGATAATTCATCTTCATTGAGTCGCACGTTCGCTTGGCTGCTGGGCTTGGCTGACGGCGAATTATGTCACAAAAACTAGGCCCTTCACTTGGGCACACAATTCCTCATCCCCAACGTGCGCTCGTCCAGCTAGCTGGCTCCCGCAATTAATTGGATTCATGGTGTCATTCATCCTCGCAGCATGACTTTTCTTAGCGCTCCACTTGGCTCCACATCCCGGGTCCCTGACCGGGACGTGATGCTGTTTCCGCCATCAACTGGGGAAACTCTTGACTAACACGGTACTACGCCGAGGGATCCTTCTTTGTAGGAAAAGGGAAGATTTTGGGCGTCCGGGGAGAAATCGAAGAATATAAGGAGTCTTGTCCTCCCACTGACCTCATAGTTCACTAACCTTTAATGCGACTATTTTCACCGGATCTAATTAGCTTACGAGCACACTTACAGTCCGCTTAGGAGTAGACAACTACGAAGCTACTCCCTGATTTGTTCTTGCAGACAAAGAACACCCCTACTATCGACGACTCCCCTTCAATGCACATCAACGAATTCCCGTACGAAATCCTTTCGAAGATCCTCGACGAAACAACCAAGGGCAACATACGCAATGGTCCGACGTACACCTTTGGCCTTTCCCAGGCCCCGCTGCCCCTCCAGAAGGCTTCGCTCCAGCGCTACGTGAGAGGGCCCGTCCCCCCAGAGATGTTGAAGTGGGACTCGACCTCTGCAATCCGTCTTGTTTGCTGGCAATGGCACCAGTGGGCTTTGGACTATGCTCTCAACGACGTCTACATTCGCCGCTGGAAGGGTGGGGAGGTAAGAAGCGTGTTCTCATTTGGGGGAAAAGTAAATTAACTCTGGCTTAGCGGTGGGCTGAGCTCTCAAACCGTCGCGAGAGCTACGGTCTCTATGAACTAATTGACCGACCCACGGGCACGGCTGTCTACCGTGACCCGTTTGCCTCTCTTAAGCATACCGTTCGGACGTTCGACAAGTACCCCGACGTAGCATCGAAGATCAAGCGCATGTGGTTCCACGGGTTCTACACGGCGGAGACGGATGACTTAGTATTCAAATCTCTTAGGAATTGCACGAGCTTGGTCTCCGTGTCTCTTCCGTGGACGACTACCCGCCATATGGATTCAAAGGCATGGCGACAGCTACTTCTCGGTAGTGGCAAGCCCCTCCGATCACTGGAGCTCTTGGCTACCGATCTAACCTCGCAACAGCTCGCCGACCCAGCAAACGAGGTTGATATGCAACCCTTCCAGTCGCTCAATTTCGGTATGCTCCGGCGCTTGAAGATCTTCGGAGACACGACCTTCATGCCGATCACTGACCGTGACCTGTATGCCATTGCTCGCACGGCACAGCTTGAAGAATTTCACTTGACCTGCATCTCGACCATCACCATTGATGGTGTCATGGCTGTCGTCAAGGCGTCGCGCTCTACCCTTCGGGTTCTTGAACACAGCCCACGATCTCAGGATGGGTTCTGGCACCCTCACCCAGGGTCACCGAGCGATTCGGAGCACCTCTGCGAGCTTCTTCGGAGCTGCCCCAAGTTAGAAACCCTGTCGATCTCCCTTCCGTCGATGTGCTCGGCACTCTTCTCGAATGAGGATGTCAAGTGGGCGGGCGATCTGCAGGTCCGCGCCCTCCACCTCTGCGGCCATGAGCATGGGCGATCCACGGGTGAAGCGCAAGATGCCCTCCAGAAGCTTCTTCGCCAGGCTCGTCGCCTCGTCCATCGCCGTGCTAATAGCGTCATCCCGAAGGAATTGTATATTGAATTGTTTTTTGCGGACTGTATCTTTGAGCCATCCCTCAACGGTGTCCATGGAGATTTCTCTCTTGCGCAGCTAGCTTCTGGGGGAGCTTGGCCTGAGACGTTAAGTTCCAGTGGTAAAGGCCCTTACGGCAGCACTGGATTGTACGAGAAGGAGGAAGAAGGACCATTTCAGCGCATTGACGAGGAGGAGTTCCTAGGTGGTGTCCGGCGAAACCACTTGTCCATCTCCACATAAACAACAAGACCAACGAGACCAACGACTGACGGCCTGACCTAAGTTTTATCCTATCCACTTTCTCCAAAGTTAAATTTTTCATGACTCACGACCACCTGCATTAGCGACGGGAGCCTGGTGTTGGGAATACCAGGCAAGCAGCCATATTTGATTGCTGCTTCTATGAGCGTTTTGCAAGAAAAAGGGGTCCATCAAAAAGCGTTTTTCATTACAGTGATGCGGCGGATATGGGTCATCGACTGTGTTTTTGCGTCAGTAGCATCAGCCCAATAGGGAGGACGTATGTAAAATGTGAATATTGATAGCTCATCTCTGCCCAACTCGCCTTGTACATTGCATGCACCCATTGATGCACTTGTTTTCAACAGAACATTGCAAATCTTGAGGTGAGGTCTTTGAGGTGCAGCACAACCCAAGCCACGGGACGATCCCCCGCTCCCGTTGCTCAAGCCCGAAATGGCAAAGCTCAAGGCACAATTCCGAGTTTCTCTGCTTACCCATCGCCTGTGGGGCAAATCACGCGAGAGCAATTAAATGCCTCCTCTTTCCTAAACCTGTTGCGGGAATCAAGCCACTGGCTTATGAAATAACCTTCAAATACTAGCTAATCACCGACCCCGCGATGCTGCTGATAAACTCGGCGCGGAATAGTGGGATTTTGGCGTTCCGAGTGGGTTGTACCCTTGCATGGCGATTTGAAGGGCATTACAAATGGTGAGCTAATCCCGCCAAGAGGACATGACGCCAACCATGTGGAGCTGCTGAGTGTGTACCCTTCCGCAAGCAGCTGGGCGGTCTTTCTGAAGCACGAACCGATTCCTGCAGGTGGGTTTCGGCTCTGTGATCGGGTCAATTGCACCATCTCAGATCTGGAATCATGGGAGGGGAATCTGGAGAGTACATAAGGCCCCATGTCCTGCATCCTCACTGCCGTTCTTCACTCTCCAATTGTGCAATTAAGCTTCAGATACCCCATCAACTTTCGAAGTAAACAAACAACATCAAATCTTCATAATGGCTCCCAAAATTGCTATCGTCTACTACTCGATGTACGGCCACGTCAAGACCTTGGTACGTAGAGCTCCTTTCTAGCTTGCGAAGTTGCAGGCCGATGTTCAGAGCTACCTCGCGATGGGAGCACTACGAATTTTGCTGACACGCCGCCCAAATAGGCTGAAGCTGAGAAGAAAGGCATTGAGGAGGCTGGTGGCTCAGCTACCTTGTTCCAGTACGATTTCGACTTCTCTCCCCCACCCCCCCACACAGCGACGCTTTACTTCACTATGTACCGCATGCTGACCAAACAATCTTCAGGCTCCCGGAGACCCTCTCCGACGAGGTGCTCGGAAAGATGTATGCGCCTCCAAAGCCTTCCGACATCCAGGTCCTCAGTGACCCAGCAACCCTGGAAGACTACGACGCTTTCCTCTTCGGTATCCCAACGCGGTATGGCAACTTCCCCGCCCAATGGAAGGTTCGTAAATATTATCAGCCTCTTAGAGCTAGAAGTCGTTGGTGTAGATGAAGCTAACGAGATTTAGACTTTCTGGGATATGACTGGTAAGCAATGGCAAACCGGTGCCTTCACTGGAAAATATGCTGGTATCTTCATTTCCACCGGCACCATGGGAGGTGGACAGGAGTCCACTGCCATAGCTGCCATGTCGACTTTGACTCACCACGGTATCATCTTCGTGCCTCTTGGGTACAAATATGCCTTTGGTTCGTGCTCATACAGGCGTCCCATTCAGCGCGTCGGATGCTAACACATTCCATTTTCCAGGTCTCCTTGCCGATTTGTCTGAAGTCCGCGGCGGCAGTCCGTGGGGAGCCGGTACGTTTTCTGCTGCCGACGGCTCTCGCCAGCCCAGCGCCAAGGAACTAGAGCTTGCCACAACCCAAGGCAAAGCCTTCTACAACACCGTCGCCAAAGCATTCCCGTGACTACACGGCAGCGAGGGAAAACAAGATACACCAAAGGAAGAAATAAAGCAAACGCCATCATCAGCACAGAAAACTACAGAAAATGGATCGGCACCTAAAGCGTCAACGCAGCAAAAGAAAGAGCAAAAGGACAAAGAAGGTCCTTGTGGGTTGCCCGCAAAATGTGTTGTTTTATAGATATCCATCAATTTTTTAAACTTTCTTGAATCCTAGTTCTCTTCGGTCAATTTTGGGTTTAGAACGTCTGACTTCAGAACCTTGATACCTTTTACTAGTTTAACGTGATGATGATCCCCACCCTTAGCCATTGGCCGTCTCGACTCTTCTTAGACATTACTCCTCTATTGATTCAAATCTTTCAAGGCCTGTTGTTGCTATCACGCGTTTTTTGTCCTTCCAGTTACTTGTGACTGCAGGGTCCAGTCACTTACCTCAGAAAGACTGTAGCGATTGGTTAGGTAGTTGTATTTTAAAGCCAATATATTCCATTCCATAAGACTTCCATGTAAGTATCTTTTACGGCTTATGATTCTAGTTTGGTGCGTCTTGACCTGGTTCCCTAGAATCTTCTGGCTGCGTTTGCACTCTTCACCTAGACCCAGGCATAAGCCAGGGCAATTCGAATTTTATGATGTTTCCACATTAAGTAAGCTGATAGTAAGGATATTCCTCTGCACTCCTTTGCCTTCTCTGAGGGTCTCCGGCCCCCTAGCATATCTTGGTCTTGTGACGTTGGTAAGGAGACAACATAGGGTACTCCAACTCAGTCAGATAAACGTGCATAAACTTTGTATGACTTGATAGTTCGGTTGTAGCGGAAGAGGTTGGAAGACAGGAGTAATGGATGCGTATTCCAGGGTTGGTAGACTTTCAGTCTGACAGCGAGTTTAGTTAATGTTTCGTAAATGCAGTCGTCTGAAAATGCAAGGCCGCGGGTCCTATGTAGTCGTGCTTCCGAAATCCTTTTGGAGAACAGGAGAGCCAAATCAACATTGAATCCAACCGGTAAACAATTTGAAGGGAGTAGATCTAAGTCCATATTCCGTGCTTACGATGCTCCTGGACACAAGAAAGTTGCTTAACATATGGTGGAGATGGCCAATTAGGCTGGAATGCCCACTTTCCACATTCATGTACCGTGGAACAACGGCTTTGGTGCTCCAAAGCCTTCGTAAACATTTGTTTTGTAAGTGCAGTCTTATCATGAAGTCTAAGGAGACGGAGCTGCAACTCCATGTGAATGTGTACTAGCACTTTAGAGACACGTTGGTCAGAAAGTAGAAAATTTGCACTATGTGCAAAAACTTATAAAAACATGCAAAAAACATACAACAGCAGGTATTCGCTAGTGGTCACCCACCTAACTACTAATCCACCGGTACCAAGGTTGTCTATCGAAGATCGAACGGGGTTCAGACTGTTCTTGGTCCTATGGTCGTATGTAATGGAGAATCTCGTGAGAATTGTATATACCTGAGTGTACTCTTAGAATAACACTAAGGTTAACAGTGAGAAGCTACAACAGAGCTATTTCTAGAGAGACAGGGATATAGTAGTAATTATTCTGCGTAGAATTCCTAGTTATAATCAAGTTTAAGCAGTCTAGCAGCGATAGTTAGAAAATGCAGATGATTAGAGATTGTTGTAGTTGTTGTTAGAACAAGTAAGGCAATGCAGGGTCAACTTTATTCCTCTCACACCTTCTAATAAAGTGCAATTGCTCTAGCAGTATAGTTTACACCCGCACAGATCTTAGCTAAATTTGCTACAAATATAATCCTCTCTACTTTAGCCTTAAATTCCTTCTAAACATAATAAAAAATAAGTATCTAACTTTATATTATTATCCTGCCTTAACAACAATACTACATAATCCTAGACTAAGATAAGCAGTCTAACTGTCACGGTTATGTTACAGCTATCCAACCCCTGAGTACCCTAGGCTTGGCACGGGGTATATAGGCTCCTCGGCCTCCGTACCTCTGCCTCCGACCCTAAGGTTTACTCTCGTTACCCCCCCTATCCTGCATTCCCTC